CCTTTCTCGCCCGGTAGGCCTCCTCTTCCCCCACGGTAGGCCTCCTCTCCCCCTTGGTAGGCCTCCTCTCCCGCCCGGTAGGCCTCCTCCCCCGCCCGGTATGCCTCCGCTCTCGCCCGGTAGGCCTCCTTTCTCGCCCGGTAGGCCTCCTCTTCCCCCCGGTAGGCCTCCTCTCCCCCTTGGTAGGCCTCCTCTCCCGCCCGGTAGGCCTCCTCCCCCGCCCGGTAGGCCTCCTCTCCCTCCCGGTAGGCCTCCTCTCTCCCCCGGTAGGCCTCCTCTCCCTCTGGGTAGGCCTCCTCTCTCGCCCGGTAGGCCTCCTCCCCCGCCCGGTAGTCCTCCTCTCTCCACCGGTAGGACTCCTCTCTCGCTGGGTGGGCCTCGTCTCTCGCCCGGTAGGCCTCCTCTCTCGCCCGGTAGGCCTCCTCTCTTGCTCGGTAGGCCTCCTCTCTTGCCCGGTAGGCCTCCTCTCTCGCCACGTAGGTGTGTGTGGCGTGTGTGCTGTGCGTGGCGTGTGTGGCGTGTGTGGCGTGTGTGCTGTGCGTGGCGTGTGTGGCGTGTGTGCTGTGTGTGGCGTGTGTGCTGTGCGTGGCGTGTGTGGCGTGTGTGGCGTGTGTGCTGTGCGTGGCGTGTGTGGCGTGTGTGGCGTGTGTGGCGTGTGTGCTGTCCGTGGCGTGTGTGCTGTGCGTGGCGTGCGTGGCGTGTGTGGCGTGTGTGGCGTGTGTGGCGTGTGTGCTGTGCGCGGCGTGTGTGGCGTGTGTGGCGTGTGTGCTGTCCGTGGCGTGTGTGCTGTGCGTTGCGTGTGTGGCGTGTGTGGCATGTGTGCTGCCCGTGGCATGTGTGCTGTGCGTGGCGTGTGTGGCGTGTGTGGCGTGTGTGCTGCTAGCCATCCAACCCGTCCATGGCGTGCGTGGCATTCGTGCTGCTGGCCATGTTGCTATGGATGTGCCCCTGTTCTCAACCCCACCGTCCTCTCTCTTCTCCCGCCTCTCTCCTCCCACCTTTCTCCTCCCGCCTCTCCCCTTTCCCACAGGTTGTGTCTCTCTCTTGGCGGCATCAGCAGCTGGCCACCACTCTTGCACATTCCACTGCTGCTGCAGCTGCTGCTACTGGCGCGGGGAGTGGGTTGAGCACAGGAGCAGCTGATGGTGATGGTGGTGGGAGGGCGATGGATAAAGAGACGAACCCTGCAGACCCCATGAAGCACCATGGTACGACCCATGCATGCAGCACCATGGTACGACCCATGCATGCACCACCATGGTACGACCCATGCATGCAGCACCATGGTACGGCGTGCCCAGCCCTTGTTTTCAGTCCGCTTGTTCCTCTGCTGTACTATTTTACTGCCGTATCATTTCATGCCGTATCCCTAAAGTCTGTGTCTGCTCCATTTCGTCTGTGCAGCGAGGCATGTGAGGAGGTTTCAGATCCCAAGTTACAGAGCGTGGCATGCGAGGAGGTTTCAGAGACCTGCCTCTGACCACCAGACCTCTGACTCTGACTCGTCTTCCGTCTTCCGTCTTCCGTCTTGGCTTCCGTCTTCCGTCTTGGCTTCCGTCTTCCGTCTTGTTTTCCGTCTTGTCTTGGCTCCCCCCTATGCACTCCATGCACCCCATGCACCCCATGCACGCGATGCACCCCATGCACGCGATGCACCCCATGCACCCCATGCACGCGATGCACCCCATGCACCCCATGCAAGCCACAGGGGGACCCTCCCATCCCCACGGGCAAGGGATATGTGGGCTCAGGCCCTCCTGAGGCCGTCAGCCGCAATCCTGGCCAGTGTGCGCACCTGCAAGCTCGTTCTAGGGCTCTCCCGCCTCGCTGCGCGCCTGCAGAAGCACGCCGACTCGTTCTTTGCCAGGTGAGCCCTCGTAATGGTCATCCCGATCGGTCTCAAGCGCCACTCAGCATTGTGCGCCGCACCTGCAAGCTCTCCCACCTCGCTGCTTGCCTGCAGAAGCACACAGGGAGCGACAAGGAGCCTCTGTGTGAGGTGAGCCACTCGAGGGTTAACTAGGGATTATTTTGGGGTAATAATCTATCGACGTTCTGTTTGTGGGTGAGCTGTACTAAATGGTTTTGTTGAAACGGCTACCGCCGGAAACACTCTCCCCTATAGTCTCTTTGCAGGAAGCTTGCTGCTGCACGAACAGCAAAAGCTACCTGTTGGGCTGAGAAAAAGCCCTTAGGATCTTTTGCAGAGACTAAGTCCCAGCTTGTAGAGACTTGAGACTTGGAGTAGTGCAGCGGAAGTTGAGGCAGTTGAACCCTTGTACTAGTATGTGAGAACAAGTGATTGATTAAAGAAACAAGCATACAGCAATATATAGAAGATAAGAAAGCAGTTGTAGAATACAGTTACAGGAACGGTTTATCGAGTCGCACAGCGACTCGATTGCCGCTTCGGTTACCATCCGTGATGTTGTAACGGTCAGTCGCAACCTCCAGTTGCGACCTTTCGAGTCCTTTCGCATTCTTTGTCCGCCCCCTCGTGTAACCTCCGTTGACTCGCGTGCTCCCCTGTAATCTTCCTCGAGTACAGTGTTACACTTCAGAAACGCTTAAGTCCTTGAGATATTTCCAACACTCCCCTTCGTTTCTGGAGTGCTGGAGTGTTCAGATCCGGTGACGTTTGTTTGCCCGGTTAGGAGCATGCAGTAGTCGAATTTTGCTTTCGCCAATTTCTTCGTCAGATAATCTGCGGCCATTTCTGTCGTCGGGCAGTAACTGAGTTGAAGTCTCCCCTTCGCTATTTCATCCTTGACGAAGAAGTACCGCAGGGCGATGTGCTTGGTTCGGTTGGCGAAGCCGTCCTTGTTCGCGATTTTGATCGCAGATTGGTTGTCGCAGAGGAGTGAGAAGGCGGGCAGGGTCGCGATCTTCGCTTCTTCGAGTAACTCTCGTAGGTAGAGTCCTTCCTTGGTCGCAGTACAAAGGGCGATATACTCTGCTTCAGCCGAGGATAGTGCGATTAACTCCTGCTTGCTCGACTGCCAGGAGATAGTTCCGATAGGTTCTAGTCGGTAGATGTAGCCCGTCCTAGACCGTCGATTTTCGCTGTCTCCCGCGTGGTCGGCGTCGACGTATCCGAGTAGTTGTACGGACGGTGTTGTTGTCTTGCTGTAGGTGAGCCCGATCGTCGGCGTGGAGACGAAGTAGAGTAGCGCTCGATTGAGTTCTTCGAGATCTTCCTGTTGCGGCTGCTTCAGATGTGTCGCCAGCTGACTCGCACTATAGGATAGGTCGGGTCGGCAGGTTACTGCTGCGAATAGTAGGCAGCCGAGCTTCTGTTGATACTCCTGGATTTGTTTCGCGGGGAGTTTTGTGGAGGCGCTACTGTTGTTCCCGTAGCGGTAGGGAGTTGGGACCGCAGTCGGTGCTAGACCGAATTTCTTCGCGACGGTGCTTGAGTACTTTCCAGCGTGTAGGTAGAACGCCGTGTCGTCTTCGACGATGTTCAGTCCTAGGTACTGAGTAACTTCGTCGGACACCGTGAGAGTTAAATCTTCTTTCAGCTCCCCTTCGAACCAGGTGGCGATGTCGATAGTGGAGCCGATGTAGAGCAGGTCGTCGACGTAGACGATGAGCAGAACATAATCTCTTCCCTTCTGCAGTCGGTACATCCCTTGGTCATGCGGTAATTGTAGGAAGCCGATCTTTGCGAGACGGCCGTGGAGATGCTGCTGCCAGAGCCGCGGGGCTTGCTTGATCCCGTATAGGGATTTTGTCAGTCGGCATATTTTCGTGGGATCGTTGATGAATCCGTGGGGTTGTTCGACGAAGATCTCAGCGTCCACAGGTGCGTATAGGAATGCATTCGCGACATCGATTTGGCGTAGTGGCAGTTTTTTCGTGGCCGCGACGGCGAGTAGGATGCGTAATGAGGTGTGACGGGAGACTGGAGCGAAGGTTTCTGTGTAGTCGGCTCCGTATCGTTGGTCGAAGCCTCGTACGACCCATCGAGCTTTGAATCGTTCGATGGAACCGTCTGAGTTGGTCTTGATGCGGTACACCCATTTCCCCGAGAGAACGTTTTTTCCGTTGATGCTCGTTGCAGGTACCAGTTTCCATGTTTCTCGGTCTTGCAGAGCTTTTAACTCCTTTTCCATTGCTTCCTTCCATCTTGCCTTATGTTCCCCCCCCAGAGCCTGCGACAACGTTGAAGGCTCTCGCGGAGAAGGCGGCGGCGGATTCTGGACGGAGACCCAGAGGCCTAGAATCTGGAGTCCCGTGGGCGTGTGTCGAGGGGAATTTTCATTCCCGGAATAAGCTGCTTCGTCACCGTCTTCGGGGTCAGGTAAGAAATTGGGGCCGATGCGTTCCGAAATATTCGTGTCGACGGGGTGAGGTGTAGCGTAACCTTGGTCGGCGAAGTGGTAAAAGGTGTCGAGGTTGTTGCTATCGAGGGGATTTTCTTCATCGAGTGGAACAGGTACGGAACAGAATGGGAGTGGTCCGGCAGCTTCCGAGGCTCCAGGTACGTCTTCTTCTGCTGCGTCAGCCTCGGCAGTATGGTCAGCGAAGGAGCGAAGGCCCGCGAAGCCGTCGGTGGGGTCTTGTGTGTTGGCAAGGTTGTCCAGGTAATGCTGCAGCGTCAGTCGTTCGTAGAAGATAACATCGCGTGATGCCACCGTGTTTTTGTCTTATATGTCGAGAATTTTCCACGCGTGAAAATGTTTTGCGATGCCGAGGTGTAGTCCCCATCGAGCTCTTTGTGAGAAGCGTCCTGCTCGGGCTGTGTGGGGTCTGTACTGTACCATGCAGCCGAAAACGCGGAGTAATTTTGTGCTGCCCCTTTTTCTTGTCCACAACAGGTGCGGTGATGCGTTGTTGGGAAGTGATGACGAGGACAGCAGGTTGTGCAGGTGAACAGCATGTGTCATCGCGTCTGGCCACAGTGCGTTGGGCAGCCTCATCCCCAGAAGCAGTTTTCGCATCGTCGTCTGCAAGGTCCGGTTCATGCGTTCTGCTACCCCCTGCTGCTGGTGAGCATAGGGCAGAGACACCAGGCGTCGGATTCCCCTTTCCGCGAGATAGGTCCTGAAGCGTTGTGACTGGTATTCCAGTGCACCGTCTGACTGGAAACTCTTGAGTTTGGTTCCTGACTCTCGTTCGGCGATTGGAAGCCATGTGGTGAAGGCCTCGAAGGCTTGATCGCGCGATTTGAGATTGAAGTGCCAGACGTATCTGGTTGCGGCGTCGATGAACGTGATGACGTAGTTGAAGTCGGCTTCGGTGTCGTCTCGAGGCATGTTTAGAATATCGCTGTAGACTTTTTCCATCGGAGCGTAAGTGGGTGCGCTTGGATTGTGATGGGCTTGAAAAGGTTGATGAGGAAGATCTGCTTCGGGGCATGTGAAACACCGTGCGCGTGGTCGTCGGAGTTCCTGGCCGTTCGTCGTCAGAAGGGCGTTGCGTTCTAACACCTCTGCTTGGATTGTTTGAAGTATCGTGCTGTTTGCAGGATGTCCGAGACGTTGGTGCCAGATGTCGTCGGGAGCGCGGTGGCCGGGCGAGCGGTGGTAGATGTCGGCGTTGGAGAAGAACGCGACGACTGAGGCGGGACTTCGACAAGCTTCTCGTGTGGCGGGCATAAGTTGGTCTGCTTCCGTTGGCGGTCCTCGTGTTGATGGTGGTGGTACTCGGCTGGGTCCTGCTGCTGATACTGCAGGTGATGGTTTTGTTGGGACACTTGCGGGTACTTGTCTTTCTTGTCTGATAACTGCTAATGCTCGTGTTCTCTCTGCTGCAGGTATGGTGTTGGAGTGCCAGAAGCCGTCACTGTCGAAGTCGGGGTCAAGATCCGGCGGGTGAGTCCAGGCGGCGAACGATACGATGCCATCGCTGTCGGCAGTTCCGCGGTCGGGGACGAAGTCCAACACGAAGACACCGGACTTCAGGAGGGCACGACCGATGAAGAGGCCGCCCTTCCCGTGGTAAAGCCGGAACTCGTTGGAGTAAGAGTCGCACTCCAGGTGAATCCCCTTGGCCATTAGTTGGCTTACGCTTAGTAGGTTGTATCCCAGATTATCGACAATGAGCACCTTGTTGAGTTGAAGTATGACATTCGTCTCCATTGATTGTAACTGAACCACGCCCTGTCTGTTTGTCTTCAGGTTTTCGTTGTTGGCGACGGTGATGACGACGTCGCGGTTGAGTCGTTTCTCCTGTTGTACGAAGCGTCCCGAGGAGCACATGTGTTGACCGCAGCAGCTGTCCAAGAACCAGGTGTTTCGCCCGGTGGGTTCGGCGTTGGCGACCGCAGCGTATGTCGGGTTGACCTGAAGTCCTTGTGAGCGCGGCGGCGGGAATTCCTCTTCGTCTGGTGCGTAAGTGGGTGGTGATCTGGGTGCGCAGTTGTCGATGTGTACCATGCAGTTGATGATATTTGGTGTCCCTTGTGCAGATGTTGAAGAGCGCCTTGGGGAACTTGCTTGAGTGGAAGCAACTTGTGGGTCTGCTGCTCGGTAAACGCGAGGGCGGTTGCAGTTGACTTTGGAGTGTCCGGAAGTCTGGCAGTTGTGGCAGAACGGCGGCACGATGGTGAGTCCTCGGTTGTCGCGTTGATCTTGCTTGCTGCGTCGGTTGTAGTTTATGTCATTTCTTCTTTGAGTGTAGAAGACTAACTGCTGTTGCTTCCTTGGTTGTCTTTCCTCGAACAGATCCATCTCCTGTTGTTCAGCGTGAAGCTCGGCGCAGAGGTGCATCTCCGAGATCCTTCCGTGGGCGCGAAGAAGCGATCGTGTGGTTCTCCATTCTGGTCCGAGCCCGGCGAGGACAAGTGTGACGAAGCTTTCTTCAGTGATCGTTCCTCCGCACCGAAGCAGGCGGTCGCGCAGGGTCTGGCAGCGACTCATATACTGCATCGCCTTTTCCCCGGTCTTCATCTGTATTGTTGTCAGCTGTTGCATGAGTCTGCTTTGTGTCACGCTGTCGTTTGCTTGGTAGAGGCATTTGAGATGATGCCATGCGAGTTCCGCGGAGTTTCCATAACTCCGATACGTTCTGATGCTCTGCTGCTCTTGTGGTGACAGGTTCCGCAGGAGGACTGTATACGCCAGTAGCGACTGATACGTGAAGATCTCTTGTTCTTTTCCAGTGCCGTTGCTTGGGAATGGCAGGGACCCGTTGAAGTATCCCAGAAGATGCGCGGCCTCCATCAGCAGCTCGAACTCGAAGCTCCAGGTAAAGAAGTCGTGTCCGTTGAACGGTGAGGATGTTTGTAACTTGATGACGTGTGAGAATTGAGCTTGAAGACTGAGAATCTCGTTTGGTGTTTGTTGTGATGCAGCTGCTGTTGGTTGGGCGCGGGGCGGCATGAACTCGAACGTTCCCGGTGAAGAATGATAAGGCGCAAAGGTAGGTGCTTGGTTGTGTCGCCCGAAGGATGAGTTGTCGAGGCTCATCGGCGCTAATCCCATGTTTCCTCCATTGCTCTGTGTTGAATGCGCAGGTGTCCTTGTCTGCTGTTGCTGGTCGAAGTGTGACATGAAGCTGAAGAATCTCTCCATGAGATTCGGGTCCACACTTGAAGAGGGAGACGGAGTCACCATCTCTGGTACTCTTCCTGTTGTTTCTTGAGCAGTCCCGGTCTCTGTCTGCAATCCTGAGGTGTGCAGACCAGAGTTGCCGTGTTGAGTTTCTTGGCCGCTGGGTGAGCCCGTAGAGGCTTTCTTGCCCTTGCTGTCCATATCTTGTAATCAATGAAGTCGTTGAATTGAGTTGAGTTGCAGTTTGTTGATGGAGCGTAGTTGCTGGGAGTTTGATCTCTGACCAGCTCTCATACCATGTTGGGCTGAGAAAAAGCCCTTAGGATCTTTTGCAGAGACTAAGTCCCAGCTTGTAGAGACTTGAGACTTGGAGTAGTGCAGCGGAAGTTGAGGCAGTTGAACCCTTGTACTAGTATGTGAGAACAAGTGATTGATTAAAGAAACAAGCATACAGCAATATATAGAAGATAAGAAAGCAGTTGTAGAATACAGTTACAGGAACGGTTTATCGAGTCGCACAGCGACTCGATTGCCGCTTCGGTTACCATCCGTGATGTTGTAACGGTCAGTCGCAACCTCCAGTTGCGACCTTTCGAGTCCTTTCGCATTCTTTGTCCGCCCCCTCGTGTAACCTCCGTTGACTCGCGTGCTCCCCTGTAATCTTCCTCGAGTACAGTGTTACACTTCAGAAACGCTTAAGTCCTTGAGATATTTCCAACACTACCAGCAGCAGCCGGAGCACAAGTGCCCTTCACACCATTTAGAGCCTTGGAAGCACCCAAGCCTCATCTTTAGGTTCGGCAGGCTTCAATCTCAGGTTGCTTCAGTAATAGAGCGGTTCTCAGCAGAGGTTTGGGTTGCTGTGGCTGCCATGGAGGTTCGGACAGGCTTAGCTGATATTGTTGATTTGGCCCAAATCTGCTGATACGCCGCTAACATACGACATTAAATGCACTGTGGCCAGATGAGTCGTGGGTCGAGACTTTAGTATGACACATGCGATCTGCTTTCGCGTATGCTGGGTCTAATACTCTCCTCGATAGCTTGTAGAGCGTGTCTTGAATTTTTATACCATCTTAAGGCTTCCATGACCCACTTGAAAAATGCTATATCCTTACCAAGCAATAGAGAATGCAACGTGATGGTACCGAAGATGCAGAAACGCTGTACATACAAGATCCTGGCGCAGACCAGTTCAATTCTGCACGAAGGCATTCTGGCCATTGAATCACTGTGATGACCTTCATGCTGTTGGCAATGTCGGGTTGGCTCCTGCAGCCCCCCATAATCTAGGAGCTTCCAGGCTACCCGTTGGAGCAGCAGCCGGAACTTTGGGAAAGCACCCCTCCAAGGTCTGCGCACTCGCAGGGTTGTGTCAGGCCTTTTGTGGGAGCGCGTCCGCATGAACGCGGATTCCCCGCCCCAACCGTTGCAGTCATTGGGGGTGGCGACACTCGCGAATGTCGCAATTGTTTGTCGCTTGCCAAGCAAAGTTGTCGTCAACACCTGTCGCTACATGGGAGCCCTTCGCGAAATTCGCAACGAAAATCGTCGTTCTGTCCGTTGGTGAAACCTGCGCTCTTGGGAAAGCGCAATGCGCCAAACTTGTCGGCGGAGCTTCCCCCATCGCCGCTCAGCCATCCTCGGGATTGGCTGGGATTCCTCTGGGCCGTGCTGAGACCTTTCTGTCGTATACCAGCGGCAACTAAGACAGCCCAGACCAGGGCTGTCGATTGGTTTGGGACCAATACTTGAGTGGCTGAGGTCCCCCGAAAACAGCCCTGAAATTTCCGGAAAGCGACCAAACTGAGCCCTGAAGCGTACGGGCTGGGGTCCAAACCAGAACTTAAAATCAGGGCTGCGCCGGAGTCTGTACTTTGCTGGAAAGAAAAAAAAAAACTTCGTAATCGTACATCAGGTTAGGCAAGATGCTGAGTGAGTGGGGAGGCCAGCCTATTTTAGCAGGAGAATTTGTGTGCCAAATGTGTTAGTAGTGCACATTTCTCAGTTATTCATAGGTGTCACGGACTGAGCCAGTTTCTGGGATGCGGGAGTGTGTGAGAGGGGCTTGTGACTCGCTTTGGAGACGGCCAAAAAAAAAACAAAAAACAAAACAAAACAAAACAAAACAAAACGGTGGAGATGGGGGAGGGGGAAGTGGGGGTGTGGGAGGAGGGGATGTTGAGTGGAGGCTTGTCGAATTCTCTGGGGAGGCGAGGGGGTTGGGAGGAATGTCTGTGGGTGTGGGGAACTTCATCAATTTTCCTATGTTTGGTTGGGGTGTGGGAAGAATGTCTCTGGTTTGGAGGACTTAGAGAGGAATTTTCTGGCTGGGGGGATTCTCTGGGGGTGCGAGGGGCGTGGGAGGAATGTCTCTGGGTGTGAGGGACTTCGAGGATTTTTCTGAGTTCGGTTGGGATGTGGGAGGGATGTCTCTGGTTTGGAGGACTTCGCCAAATTATACTAGCCGAAGGGGAAGGTGGGGTGGTGTGGGTGGGCAAGGAAGGTATGCCTAGGTCAGGGTATGTCAAGACTCTGTTACGGAAAATCAGGGAAAGGCCTCAACTCCGCCTTGAACAAATCCGGGAAAGGGCCGAACGAAACCCTTAACCATCACGGGCTAGTCCCGAATCAAACCCGTAAAAGTCGGACCCTGACGGACGGCTTACCCGGAATGTTCAGGGCATTAAGGGCATTTGCCCTTGAATCGACAGGCCTGGCCCAGACCCACAAGACAACCCAAACTTTCTTCACAGTCTTCAAACGATCTTAACCATACCGTAGTAAGTTCTTTCAACCCAACCGGCAAAATCAAACCCAAACCAGCCTACCAGCAGCAATTGCGTCGGCTGCACTCAGCAGCATTCCACATATTTGCGCCATTTCTCATTTCTCCCTCATTTCTCATTCAAGCTCGATTCTCCTCTTCTCCCTCACCACCCTCGTCTTCCTCTCATTTTCGCCTCCACGACCTCCGTTTTGCTGTTTTAGTTCAGCCGCAGATGGTCAGAAGCCTTTCTTAACGTCCACTATTCTTTCCCATCGCTAGCCTCGATGTCCTTAGTAGCGATTTCCGCCGTAAGCAGCACTTTCGCCGTCAGCAGCAACGATTTTCCGTCGTAAGCAGCAATTTCCGCTGTCAGCAGCGAATATGGTCGTCAGCAGCAGCGATTTCCGCGGTCGCCGGCAATTTCCGCCACGAACTGCAGTTTTCGTCAGCAGCAACGATTTTCTCCGTCAAAAGCCAGCAACAACTTTTATCAATCTTGCGACCTACGCTCGACTTCCGCCGTTATCAGCGATTTCCGCTGTTTGGACTTCTGTCTCGCTTCGCCATCATTCACGGTGGCGGGTGTCGCCTCGCCGTCAGCCGGTACGTTTCGCCGTGAACCATCCGATTTCCGTGCTATGCTCGACATGAAGCACTCGTTGAAGTCCAAAGAGCTGACGCGCTGCGTTTCTCTCCTTGCAGGCAACGCCACGGGCCGTGCTCTCGTGAGAGACATGCATTAACGCCCTCCCCCGTCAGCCGAAATCTCCGCCGTCAATGCCAAGCCGAAGTCTGCAACGCGGTCAACGCCAAGCCATAATCTGCAACACCGCTTTCCGCCGTCAGCCGAGGTCTGTTCTGCGACCATGAAGAGCCGCCATCAACGCTCAGCCGTTAACAGTCGCGGTTTTCGACATCAGCAGCGATTTTGGCCGTTAGAAGAAACGATTTTGTTTCCGGTGATATCCGACTTCGTTTCCGCCCTTTCTTGAGTTCGATTCTCGCCCTTTAGACTGATTCGATTCGTTTCTCTTCTTGCAGGTAACCACGACGCGTTTCCTCCACCGTCGCGCATGAAGATTTTCGCCGTCAGCAACGACTTCTGCCGTCAGCAACGTTTCCTGCCGTCAGCAGAAGCGATTTCCGCCGTCAGGAGAAACGATTTCGAAAGCCAGCAATTTCGACCTAGCAGGTACACTCGCACAAATGTCCGATTTCGTTTCCGCAGTGTCTTCCCTCGGCTCGATTTCTTGCCCTCTAAACTGATTCGATTCGTTTCTCTTGTTGCAGGTAACCATGACGCGTGTTCGCCACCTGTTCGTTGTCAAGCATTCGCCAACTGTTCGCCATCAAGCTAAGTCCGCTTCCCCTCTCTTGACCACCCCCGTGCGCTTTCTGTTTCTGCTTCAATCCACATTCGCTTCACCCCGTCATTGCTTTCATCACTCCGCCGCATGTCAGTGGCCTGTCCGGCAGAGAGCAGGAGCAGCCCTAAATTCCCGAAACCCTTAGTCTAAACGGCCTTTGTCTAGGTGTGCAGGTTCCCTTGCTAGAGTCCAGTGGGGTGTCCTCCGTTGTAGGGTCCTGAGTCGTCTCCCTAAATCAACCGATTCCTTGTTGAATCAATCAGCCACCCCCTCCTCGCCTCTGCTGGATGCGCCACTGACACGCAACCCCCCCACCACCCCCCCCCCCCCCCCTCACCCGTCGCACCATCATGCTCCCACGCCATCTTGAACCCGATTCGCAATCTGGATTTCGCTCGTTCACTGTGTGCCACACTCCCCCTCTCGGTTGCTGGCCTTCAACTCACTCCTCCCCTCCCCTCCCTCCCCTCTCTGCCCCCGCCCTCCCACCCCTCCCTCCCTCACCCCCCTTCCTTCCAGGCCTGCTCATGCTTCGCGGAACGGCGGCAAACGAGCATCCACACAGGCGCGCAGCAAGAGGGTGGGCGACAGCGGAGCAGCACCACCGTTCATGGATGGTTGAGGTTGCAGTATCACCCACGCCTCCACACACCACAAGAGCCTTCCCCCCAGGTTCAGGTTCAGGTTCAGGTATTTTCTTTGGTACTGGCTCGAGTGGTGCTGTGGTCGGCATCACATGCACATGCGCATGCAGCATCCATTGTGCACTCGCACAGCTTTCAATCGTTCTTTGCCTTTTTGCATGGATCACTCCAACTCCTCTTTGTCCGCCCTGCCCCCCCTCCCTTCCTGGCCTGCGCATGCTGAGTGGAAGGGCGGCCAACGAGCACCAGGGGAGAAGAGTGCCAAGGCGGGAAGCAAGAGGGCGGGAGGCAGGGGAGCAGCACCGTCGCTCATGGTTGGTGAGGTTGCAGTATCACCCACGCCTCCACACACCACAAGAGCCTTCCCCCAGGTTCAGGTTCAGTTTCAGTTTCAGTTTCAGGTTCAGGTTCAGGTTCAGGTTCAGGTTGAGGTTCAGGTTGAGGTATTTTCTTTGGTAGTGGCTCGAGTGGTGCTGTGGTGGGCATCACATGCACTTGCACCTCTTTCAGACTGCCTTTCCCTTTCTGCATGGATCACTCCCTGCTGTCGCGCACTCTCTCTCTCTCTCTCTCTCTCTCTCTCTCTCTCTCTCTCTCTCTCTCTCTCTCTCTCTCTCTCTCTCAAGCGGTCCTTTATTTTGTTTATAAGGGGTACAGAGGTACAAAATAGGGTTACGTATGTCATGGTGTCCCCGAGCATCCTCTCTCTCCCCTCTCGTGTGCCTGACAGGTCCCGCTGGCCCCACCAAGGGAGCGCCAACGCCTGCAGTGCCATCGCCTGCACGGCAGTAGCGCCATCGCCTGCTAGAAATCATCTTGGACTCTTCAAGCAGAGCAGAGCGAAGTACCCGCCCTCCTCCTCCTCTCCATGCATTCACCTCGCATTCCTGCTTTCCTTGCTTCTATTGTGCTTCTGTGCTTTCTCCATTCAAATCTCGCCACTGGTTGCGGCCCGGCTCACAAGCCACAGACCCCCCCCCACCCCTACCCTCAGGTTAAGCCGCCCTAAGCCTCACAGCCCCCTCAGGTTCCCTTGGGGGTCAGTGGCTTGTGGGTTTGCCTCCTCCAGTGGCCCCTCCCCTCTCTCGTATTGAAGTTTTGATTTTCAGTCTCTGCTGTTCATTCGCCCTTGATGCCCTCACGGCGCACTGACTAGTTGTGTTATCCCCATTGCAGGTGGAGGGGAGGGGCGTGGGGGCCAACATCGACACTCCCCCACGCCCCTCCCCTGTGGCCGTGCAGGCATGCACAGCAGAAGGCTGGGAGGAAGGCTGCCACGAGGGGAACTCCCAGGGAGAGTATCGGGGTGGGGCCGGCGCCTCAAGGTAAGCCCCTCGCCTGCTCTTGCCTGCTCCCCTCTCTTTCTGCTCTGCCTGGCTGGGAGGAAGGCTCGTCTGGTGCTGCCCTCTGGCGCTCATGCTTCCAATCCGCCTGTTGTTCCCTTGCACCCTGGCTTGAATCCCCCTTGGCTGGGCCAAGGCCTGCTCTCACTCGCCTCCTGTCTGCATCCCCCTTCCTTCCCCTTCCTCCCCCTTCCTCTCCACGTGAGCAGTGTTGGCTCAGCAGCAGCCCGCCAGCAGCTGTGGCAGCAGTTGGAGGGAGAAGGGGCAGCAGCCGTGCTTCAACTTTCCAGCTAAGTGCTTTCTCCTCCTTGGACCTTCCGTTTTCCGCTGCTGGGTGCTCACTATTCCGCTTTCTTTGCTTTTCCTGTGCGTTGATGCTTTCTGTATTACAAACTTGCCACTGGTTGGGGCCTCGTTCACAAGCCACAGACCCCCCTCTACTGCTGTTAAACCCCCCCAGGTTAAGCCCCCCCAAAACCTTACAGCCCCCTCAGGTTCACCCCCTACTGCAGGTTCAGCCCTCAGGTCCCCTTGGGGGTCTGTGGCTTGTGGGTATGCCTCCACCAGTGGCCCCTCCCCCCGCCCTTCTCTTGCCTTGCTTTTCAAGTCACGGTTCTCGATTCAGCCTATATACTCTCTCTGTTTACTGACCAGCTCTGCTTGTGTGCATTCCAGGTGGAGGGGAGGGGCGTGGGGGTCAACACCGACACTCTCCCACGCCCCTCCCATGTGGCTGGGCGGCATGGCAGCCCGAGGGGATGGGGGGAGGAAGGCACGAAGGGGGAGTATGGGGGCTGGGCTTGGCGTCTCATGGTACGCTGATCCCCCCTCTGGAGTTCGTTTACTGCTGCAGCGCTCTCCTTAAGTGCTGTTCCCGTTTCGTCGGATTCACTTCGTTTCCCAACGTCACCAATCCCACCCTTGCCGTCTCACCAGTTCCCCCTCCCCTCCTCTCCTCTCTCCTCCCCCTTGCTGCCCGCCACCAGGTCACGTGGCATCAAGTGAAGACTGCAGCAGAGCAGCTGAGCAGCAGACCGGCAGCAGCAGTTGCAGCAGCAGTTGTGGCAGCAGCAGTAGCAGTGGCAGCAGTGGGGGCTGGGGGGCTAGAAGGCAGGCTAGGCTAGGTCGAGTTGTGAGCGAGGTGTGGTAAAAGGCGAGGTATGGTACCAGGTGAGGTGTGGTGATCTGTCCCGCTTCTCTCTTGCTCTCCAACCCCTCCTGCAGCCTGAGGATTGGAGCTCTGGAGCACGGGTGAGAGATTGGAGTGCATCCCCTCACTCACCTCCTCTCCTCCCCTCTCCCTGTTCCTGGCTGTGGCTTGTGGGTCGGGTGTGGCTGGTGGAATCTGCGTGGCGTCGGTAGTCGGTGCTCAAGTAACCGATCTGACGTTTAAGGCTTAATGGACACCGTCAGAGTCGGCCGACCGGCGGCTCTGGTTCGCGTCAGCTCTGGCTACGTCAGGGGTGGGATTTGAGTCTTGGGCCACGTCATGCTCTTCCACCGCCACACCTCGCCCCTCAAGGCATGGCCACTTGGGGTGCTGTTTCCGAAAGGGAGTGCGCTGACTGCCGCTCCTACTGCTGACAGGTGAAGGTGAGGACAGGCAAAGGGGGAAGGGGAGGTGGGAGGGGGTTGGGTGGGTGGAGGGCGGTGATGGTGGTGGAGATTGGGTATGCGAGGATGCACTGACTGCGCAGGGCGGCACATGATGATGCTGCATGGAGTGCCTGATGCCACCCTGCCTTGTGCCAGTCTGGTGATGCATGCATGGCTTCAGCACATCCTCACAAGGTGAGGAGTGGTGAGATGTGGCGGTGGTGGGTGAAGCTGACTGGGCGCCGAAGTGAGGGGGTTGTGAAACCTCAACGGGGAAGTGGAGTGAGGGGAGAAATGAGGGGGGTCTGAAACCCCAAGGGTAAGTTGAGTGAGGGGCGAAGTGAGGGGGTTCTGAAACCCAAGGGTAAGTTGAGTGAATTGTGAAGTGAGGGGGTTCTAAAACCCCAAAGGGTAAGTTGAGTGAGGGGCGAAGTGAGAGGGTTCTGAAACCCCTACAGGTAAGTTGAGTGAGGGCCGACGGAGGGGGTTCTAAAACCCCCCAAGGGTAAGTTGAGTGGGGCGAAGTGAGGGGTTTTTGAAACCCCGAGGGTAAGTTGAATGAGGGGCGACAGAGGGGGGTCTGAAACCCTCCAAGGGTAAGTTGAGTGAGGGGCGAAGTGAGGGGGTTCTGAAACCCCCAAGAGTCAGTTCAGTGAGGGGTGAAGTGAGGGGGTTCTAAAAACCCCAAGTGAACCGTGAGTGAGGGGCGAAGTGAGGGGGTGCTAAAACCGAAGGGTACATTGAGTTAAGGGCGACGGAGGGGGTTCTGAAACCCTCTAAGGGTAAGTTGAGTGAGGGGCGAAGTGAGGAGGTTCTAGAACCCCAAGGGAACCGTAAGTGACGGGTTCAGTAAGGGGGTTCTAAAACCCAAGGGTAAGTTGAGTGAGGGGCGACGGAGGGGGTTCTGAAACCCCCCAAGGGTAAGTTGAGTGAGGGGGAAATGAGGGGTTTTCAAAACCCCATGGGTAAGTTGAGGGAGGGGCGAAGTGAGGGGGTTCTAGAATCCCAAGAGAACCGTAAGTGAGGGGTTTGGTAAGGGGGTTCTAAAACCCAAGGGTAAGTTGAGTGAGGGGCGACGGAGGGGGTTCTGAAACCCCCCATGGGTAATTCGAGTGAGGGGCGAAGTGAGGAGGTTCTGAAACCCCAAGGTTAAGTTGAGAGAGGGGCGAAGTGATGGGGTTCTAAAGCTCCCCAAGGGTACGTTGAGTGAGGGGCGAAGTGAGGGGTTTTTGAAACCCCAAGGGTAAGTCGATTGAGGGGTGATGGAGGGGGTTCTGAAACCTTCCAAGGGTAAGTTGAGCGAGGGGGGAAGTGAGGGGTTTTCGAAACCCCAAAGGTAAGTTGAGTGAGGGGCGAAGTGAAGGGGTTCTGAAACCCCAAGGGAGGTGAGGGGGGAAGTGAGGGGGTTCTAAAACCCAAGGGTAAGTTGAGTGAGGGGTGATGGAGGGGGGTCTGAAACCCCCCAAAAGTAAGTTGAGTGGGGCGAAGTGAGGGGGTTCTGAAATCCCAAGGGTAAGTTGCCCGCTTCCCGCTGCCCGCTGCCCGCTGCCCGCTGCCCGCTGCCCGCTGCCCGCTGCCCGCTGCCCGCTTCCTGCTCCCCGCTTCCCACTGCTCGCTTCCCGCTGCCCGCTTCCCTCTGCCCGCTTCCTGCTGCCCGCTGCCCACTTCCCGCTGCCCGCTTCCCGCTGCCCGCTTCCCGCTGCCCGGTGCCTGCCTCCCGCTGCCCGCTTCCCGCTGCCCGCTTCCCGCTGCCGGGTGCCTGCCTCCCGCTGCCCGCTGCCCGCTTCCTACTGCCCGCATCCCACTGCCCCTCTGCTGCCCGCTGCCCACTTCCCGCTGCCCGCTGCCCGCTGCCCGCTGCCCGCTGCCCGCTGCACGCTTCCCGCTGCCCGCTTCCCGTTTCCCGCTGCCCACTGCTCGCTTCCCGCTGCCCGCTTCCTGCTGCCCACTGCCGACTTCCTGCTACCCACTGCCCGCTTCCCGCCACCTGCCGCCCCCTGCTCGCTTCCCGCTGCCAAGAACAGTGTTTTTTTGGCGAACAGTAGCTGATTCTGGGATTGCAGACTTGCAAATCACTTGAATTCCCCAGTCAAAAAGTGCCTGTCTTTCCTCGTCGCAAGCTGCTCGCCCAAAACCGTCGTAGAAACTCCGTGCGATGCACACAGTGTTTTTACACAATCCGCATCTAAATGATCGTGTCGCAACAAACAGCACAACGAGTTCTTTCGCCATTCCTCCAATCAGCAAGCTTGACCAGAATTTGTTTCGACGCACTTTTCTTGTTCATGCTTGAACTCGAAGCTGCCTTCCATTCTATACTTAGACGGATTTCAAAACACCACATTCAAGTGGTTTCCAGGTCTGCCATTTTAACCGCCGGCTTTAAGTGCCCAATTAAATGTATATCGTATCCATGTCATATGTTTCGTTCTCAAGTTATATATGGAATGCTTGATAGCGTTGGGTCCCTCTAACGTGGATTTGTGACGACGGCCTTGTGTGCATATAACGAAGGAGCGTACGGGCCTAAATCGGAATACAACCAGCTTCAGGAGGACCTGAGTTACGCCTGAGCCGACCTGAGCGAAACTGCTTTTGTCGTACTCACACCCCCGTGTCATATTTCAGCTGACGTGGCCATGTGAATGTGCATGTGCGACACCGTTTCGACCAGAACTGTAGTCCAATCCAAATTTCCCCACAGCTTCGGGCAGTAAAAAAGGATCAAGACAACTCTTCTTTCGCCCTTCTTCGCGTTCTCTCCCACTGTTCCCTACAGCTGCTAGGAGGCAGAGCCACCTGCGATGTTCGAACTTTGCGAAAGTTACCCTTGTCGTAGCTGACTAGTTCGTAAATACAGCTAGAGCGCATTCCGCGCTCCGGAAAAACTTAAAGGCTGATCTTTGGGGCTCAATTATACGGCCTGGACGATCTAGATTTCCAGATTGGGCGATCTCGGCCGTAGAAACGATGCCTTTGAGGCTCTGCATCGAAGTTTTCACCGAGCGCGGAACGCGCTTTAGTAACTCCAGTCAAATGTTGCCTTCCTCGCCAATGGGCAAGGAGTCCACCAATGATTCTGGTCAGAACGCATTCGACAGCTGCGGGAAAACATTTTCCCTTCCCCCGCCCGCCCCAGACGACTCCACCCCAGCTTCTGCTTCCCCTGTCTCTCTATTTCTCCCACCAACTCGTCCACCTCCACTGCTTGTTTCACACAACTCTCGATGACTGTACATTACTATATTTCCCATGGGAAAAGCCCATTCCAGCTAGGCATTACCCTGCATTCGTCCACTCCAGAGAAAGCATTCGTCCCTACCCTCATCTCCCCAACTTAGCCCAGCCCAGAGCTAGCCCATTCGATGCACGAATGAGGCACAGAGAGAACAGCCCAAGTCGAAATTGCTAGTCGGTATAGTAGATTGTGCATTTTGAACATAACAACCAGGTCATTGCCTCGCACCTCAACCCATCCCCAAACAACCCCCCGTCGTCAGGTTTCAGCAAGCGCAACCACCCAGGCGCGTAGCAAACGTACCATCCCATAACCACGCCCCCAGCATTTGCGATCGGCCCGCCATGGGAACCCTAGCAGCGCGACTCGCCACCGCCCTTCTCCTGCTCTCCCTCCTAGGCATCCACTCCGCCGCAGCATACGGCGCGCGGTACGGGGCGCGTAAAGCCGAGACGCCCGTCCAGAAGGCCGGCAGGCTCCGCGCGCTGGCGGACCAAAAGGCGGCGCAACTCGACGCCGCGGAGCAGATCGCGGCACTTCTGCAGAACCAAGAGACCGACGCGCAGACGAATCTGGACGCCGCCAAAGACGAGGCGCAGGCGATGGCGGTGTCGTGGGTGCAGGCGAAGACGGCGGTCGATAGCGCCAAGGCGGTGGCGGCGAACGCGCGCAAGTCCGCCGCCGTCGCGCGGAAGACAGTCGCGGGGAAGAAACGGTACGAGGGATACTCCAAGGCGCAGGCGGCGGTCGCGGAGGCGGAGCGGAAATACAACGCGTCGAAGGCGAGGCGCGAGCAGGCGGACGCCGCCTACGCCGCGCAGCAGGATGTTTTGAACCAGCTCCAGCCGTCGAGCAACGGCGCGCAGCCGGGATACGCGCAGGCGTATAGCGGCTCGTCGGCGTATACCAGGGAGCAGAAGAAGGGGAAGGAGTTAAAGAAGAAGGCTGACGAAGCAGCAAAGGAGGAAGCGAAAGCGGCGGCGAAACTGGCGGCTGCGCGGGCCGCGGCGGCGAGCGCGACCCCGACGGCGGACGACCAGGCGCAATTCGAGTCGGTCCAGGCGGCGGAGGCGCTGGCGGCGCAGGCCGAGGCGCAGGTGAAAACAGCAGAGGTGGAGTTCCGAGCGGCAAGCCAGAGCATGAAGAAGGTCGCGGCGCAGGTGAGCGCGGCGCGCGGGCAGCTGAAGGCGGCGGAGAAGAAGCGCGAAGACGCGGATAGGCGCGTGGCGAAGCTGGCAGCGGAGGCGCAGAAGGCGGACGCGGATGCGATGGCGGCGGAAGAAGACGCGGGGATCCGCGCGCCAGGGTCGGAAGGCGCACCGGGGGAAGACGAGGATGAGGAGGACGACGAGAATGACGACGAGAACGACGAGGATGAGAATGGGGACGATGGTCATGGTGCTGGTGCGGGGGCGGACGAGTGGAAACCGACGAATTCCGCCACTGCCACGGGCGCTGCTGGGGCCACTGCGGCACAGACTGAGGTGGGCCGGCCGCTGATGGTGCGGGACGCGCCGGTGCAGACGACGAGTCTGCTTGTAACGGATACAGGTGCCGCAGAGCAGCCGTTTGGGGAGCCGCAGCCCACGCGGCCGACCCAGCCCAGCTACATGTTTTAAAAAGTGGGGTCTGTTTTTCTTGTAGCGAAGGATTTTGTACTGGTAACAGAAGGTGGGTGAGGAGGAGCTTGTAACGGGTATGATGAAAGGTAGTGAAGGGAGGCAGCCCGCACGACCCACCCAGGCCAGCTGTACATGTTTTCAAAACGGGCCGTGCTTCTTGTAACAGAAGGGCGAGTCTGGGAGCTTGTAACGGGCATGCAGCGGAAAGGTGGCACTTTCCCACTTGCTACAACCCTGGTTGCATGCTACAACCAGGCTTGTCCTCCAGTGGAGGTGTGGCTGGCACGTCCTGAGGGAGAGGGAATAGGGAGGGAAAGAGCAACACGGCCCAGGAACAGGGAGCTTAGCCGCTGCCGCCTAAATTCCTAATCATCTGACAGCTATGGCTGTCAGATTGTGTATTTTATCTTATTCTCGGGCTGTGTGGTCCATGTGATTCCGCTTAGTTGTGCGGGCATGATCCTGCAGAGATACAGCCGGTCACCACTACAATACACTCTGCAATGTTTGATTGAATCAATGTCTTCCTTCACACAATCAGAGCACCCAACCCAACACTCCAATCTATACCACATGGCACAGACCTGCAGGTGGTCACGCACACATGCGCGCTGCAGCCTCATACCATAAATGGACAATCCCTCCTCCTGCTGCTGCTGCTGCTCCTAAACTTGGCTGTCAAACGGCACCCAATCAGTCCTGGTCGCATCTCCAACTGTGGAACGCGACACCCAATCACTGCTGCTGCTGCTCGTACATCCGGTTGCGAAAAGCGGGACCCCTCAGCCCTGGTGCTGCTGACCCTAAACCTGTTTTTTCGAAAGGGGCACCCCTTAATCCTGCTGCTGCTCGTAGATCTGAATGTAGGCTTCAGAAAGTGCCACCATCTGGGGCAGGGTCTCTGTGACGTGCAGGTCCTGCATCTCGTACCTGAGGGGAGGGGGGACGGGGCGGAGAGTGAGAAGAAATATGAAAATGATGGAGGTTACCATCTGGGGCAGGGTCTTGGTGACGTGCAGGTCCTGCATCTCGTACCTGAGGGAAGTGAAGGAACTGGGAGCAAGGTGGAAGATGGAAATCATGGGCAGGCGAGGCGAGACAAGACTGTAACCATTTGACCAAGAGTCTCTGACCATGCCTGTCATGCATGCATCTCGTCCCTTAGGGGCGGAGTGCACAGACCGCGCGTAGCAACAACAAGAAACGAGTGAGGAATAGCTAGGACGCGATGAGCCAGCGAGACGTGAGCGCAAAATTGTGGGGCAGAAAGACACTGTGACGAGTGGGTCTCGCATCTCGGACCTAAGAGGTGGCGTGAAGGGACAGAAAGACATCAGTCCCAAGAGAGGTGAGACCTGGGGGGACGTGAGACCCGGGGGGAAGTGAGACCCAAGGGGGAGTGAGACCCCCTGTGTCACGCCCAACGTCCGACAGCCAACGCCCGACAGCCGAGGCCCGACAGCCGACACCCGACAGCCGCCGCCCGACAGCCGACTCCCGAAGTCAGACACCCGAAAACCGACGCCCGACAGCCAATGCCCGCCTGCCGACGCCCGACAGCCGACAGCCGACGCCCGACGCCCGACAGCCGACGTCCGACAGCCGACGCCCGACGGCCGACAGCCGAAGCCCGAAAGCCGACAGCCGACGGCCGACAGCAGCCGACGCCCGACAGCCGACGGCCGACAGCCGTCGGCCGACGCCCGACAGCCGACGTCCGACAGCCGACGCCGACAGCCGACAGCCGACAGCCGACAGCCGACGCCCGACGCCCGACAGCCGACAGCCGAAAGCCGATGCCCGACGCCCGACAGCCGACAGCCGACGCCCGACAGACGACGCCCGACAGCCGACGCCCGACAGCCGACGCTCGACAGCCAACGCCCGACGGCTGACAGCCGATGCCCGACAGCCGATGCCCGACAGCCGACGCCCGACGTCCGACGCCCGACGCCCGACAGCCGACGCCCGACGCCCGACAGCCGGCAGCCAACGCCCGACAGCCGGCAGCCGACAGCCGACGCCCAACAGCCGACAGCCGACAGCCGACAGCCGACAGCCGGCAGCCGACTCAGGGGGAAGTGAGACCAGGGGGAAGTGGGACCAGGGGGAAGTGAGACCAGGGGGAAGTGAGACCAGGGGGGAAGTGAGACCAGGGGGAAGTGAGACCAGGGGGGAAGTGAGACCCAAGGGCAGCCTCTTCCAATCGACGAAGGCCGATCGCCCTCATGCACCCAAGCCCACCGACCACGCCTCCTCTGATTTCCGCTGCATGGACGCACATACAAGGGGTCTCAACCAGGAAAAGCCACTCACCATGCCGACTCCATTTCCCGCTGCACAAACGCCCAGGAGACCCCCTCCCTCTTCCTCCCCTCCCCTGCTCCGGCTTCAACATGATTGGCGATTCAACAAGCCAAGACCACTCACCACGCCTCCTCCAATTTCCAATTTCCGCTGCCAAGGGGTAGCTGCCATGCCCCGGCTTTGCCAGATGAATGGTTTCAATACTCAACAGGCCAAGCCCACTCACCGCACCTCCTTTGATTTCCGCTGCACGAACGTCCGGCAGCTGCCCTCCCCCGGCTTGGATGCACAACCGGTATTCAACAGGATTCAACAAGGCTAAGCCACTCACCATGCCTCCTCTGATTTCCGCTGCACGAACGCGCGGTAACTGCCCTCCCCCGGCTTTCCGTCGTGCACCACATTGGCGATCAAGTCGTACTTGCTGCGAAGCTTCCCGCCCCCCTCCAGCTCCTGCAGCGGCAGATAGTCCCTCAGTTCTAGGTTCTTCACGGGGAAATTCACTGCACAGGGGGTAAAGGAGCGTGACGGTGAGTGTGAGGGTGAGTGTGAGGGTGAGTGTGAGGGTGAGTGTGAGGGTGAGTGTGAGGGTGAGTGTGAGGGTGAGTGTGAGGGTGAGTGTGAGTGTGAGGATGAGTGTGAGGGTGAGTGTGAGGGTGAGTGTGAGTGTGAGGGTGAGTGTGAGGGTGAGTGTGAGCGTGCAGGCAGCCCATTCAGCACTCCCCTCTGCTGCCTCTCGCTCCTGCAGCGGCAAATATTCCTTCAGCTCGAGGTTCTTAACAGGAAGTTCATTGCATGGGGGGAAGGAGGTAAGACAGATAAGGGGTGTGAATAGGTTCAACCACACTCCTGGCTGCCCCCCTCCAGCCCCTGCAGCGGCAGATAGTCCTTCAGCTCGAGGTTCTTGACAGGGAAATTCACTGCACGGGGGGGCAGGGAGGGGTGGGGGGAGGGGGAGGGAAGGGAGAAGGAATGTGTGTATAGGAAAGCGAGACAGAGCTAGCATGCGCCACTTCGGAGTGCCTCTAGGTGGCAGGTAGCCATTCAGTTCGAGGTTCTTGACGGGGAAAATCACTGGATGGGGGAGAGGGAGTGATAAAGGAGAGTGAGGGTGTGGCCACAGCGAAATCATTCAACACTACCCTCTGCTGCCTCCTGCTCTGCAGTGACAGGTAGCCCATCAGCTTGATACTCTCGACTGGAAAATTCACTGCAAGGGGGAGAAGGGATAACGTGCGTATGGGGGCAGATGTGTTCTGTTTTTTAGAATTCTCAAAAGTAGATGAATCCGCTTCTGTTTTCCGAGCTGCTATGAACCACCTCTGTCTGCCTTGCACACTGGCTGAGAGAGCGGGCGCACCAGGAGTGTGGCACAGCAGGAAGGTGTGGTGCACTTGGTGCATTTGAGTCGACTCAAAATGAGAGTGCGGGCATATTACCAGGAGTATGGAACAGCACAATGTGAGGAGTGCAACTGATGATATCACTCACCTAAAGTGGGGTTCTTCTCAATGAAGAAGTTGTTCTTCTTGAATCGCTTCATATGGAGGATGAGGTACCGCGGTAACCGCGTGATGCGGTACCGCATGCGGGCAGGATGCGGCCGCACCACCTCCGTCACGGTCTGCCCGTCAAACTTCTTCAAAATGTTAAAAAGAGGCACCTGGGGAATAATATTCTTCTCCATAACGTCTTTAAACAGCGGTGGAGGGGGTAGGTCCAATCCCAGCATCAGAAACGGCATTCGGCTGACCTCCCGCCGCACCCCATCCTCCCCTTCCCCATCCTCCTCTCCCCCCTCCCGTTTCCGCTTCGCCCCGGCACCATCCCCCGCATTGCTGCTCTTTCCCGCTACCTCCTTAATCACCTCCATCTCTCCTTGAAAGCACTCATGCACTATGGAGCTTATATGTCGCGGCTTTTTTCCTGCGGCCTTAGCGGCGGCGGCGGCGCTCTTAGCTAAGTCCGCGTGGAGGGCGTTTAGGAGCCATGAGAGCAGGTCGAGGGGGTCGGACTGCTGGCCTATGAGGAAGCGCTTCTTGCTGGCGAGCATGACAGCCTGGAGGAACTCGTGAGGACTCACCTGAGAGAAGGAAGGGAGGAGGGGGAAGGCACAAGGGAAAGGGGGAGAAGCGCGGGGACGTGAAGGTTGTGCAGTTATGGGAGCAGGTCGAGGGGGTCGGACTGCTGGCCTATGAGGAGGAGACGACGAGACCGTCGTTAGCCATGATAGGGATGAGCGGCAGTGTAAACGATGCTTTTAACAAAAAAGCAGAAGTCTAGTCTTGAGGCGCCTCAAAACTAGTTACGGAAGCAGGTCGAGGGGGCGGACTGGTGACTATTTGAGGAGGAGGCGACAAGAGCGGGGGGGGAGGAGGGGAATGGAAGAGGAATGGGCGCAAGAAAGGGGGGTTCAAGCAATCCGCTTCTCGCCCTGCCAAGATCACCTGCCCCTTGAAGTTCCTCCTGTGCCACACCTTTCCCATGAGCTCCCCAAAGCGTTGCAGCAGGCGGGGGGGGGGGGGGACCACTGCAGGTACACACACACCTCTCATCCTTCCTTCAGCCATGCCGCTGCTTCCCTCACCTGCCCCTTGAAGTTCCTGAGACACCTGAACCCTCACCTGAACCCTCACCTTCTCATATCCATGCCGCTGCTTCCCTCACCTGCCCCTTGAAGTTCCTCGGGTGCCACACTTTCCGCACGAGCTCCCCAAACCGCTGCACCAGGGGGGTCGGCTGCGCAGCTGGGGAGTGCGAGGCGGGCGTGTAGTTAGCGGGGAGCAGGAAGAAGTTGCGGAGGGGCGTCACGCGCATGAGCGATTGAATGATGACGTTCACGTACCCCGTGTCCTTGATGTTGTTCAGGCCCACCTGGGGGGGAGAGATACACAAGATCCACCTATCATCATACTGCACAAAACACATAGACCGCGTAGGAATTGTGCCGTGTAGCAACGCCTTACACCCCTGCAGGCTGCAACCCCCCAACAATTCTTCGCCGTGCACTGCACTCACCATGCCCGGAATGTAGTCCGTGCCGTCCAGGGCCCCGGCTCACTGCTTGCTGTGAAGTGCTTTTGAGAGGTTTCCGTACAAGTACACGGCACACTCACCATGCGTGCATGGCACTCACCATGCGTGCATGGCACTCACCATGCCCGGAATGTAGTCCGTGCCATCCAGGGCCCGCGCCCACTGCTTGCTGCGGTCAAACTGCTCTATCTGGGCGGCGCTGAACCTGGAGACGTCAGCATGACGTCATGGGAACAGAGAGGAGACGGGGAGAGGGAAGGGATGAGCCTAGGGCCTAGCATGGCCTAGCATGGCCTAACATGGCCTAGCATGGCCTACTAGCATGGCCTAGCATGGCCTAGCATGGCCTAGCATGGCCTCGCACGGCCTCACATGGCCGCACCAAGCAGCTCAGAACCTACGTGCGTTCAAAACGCTCTTGACGTCATTGACTGACAGGTCGGACACTTGGTACCCGACCGACAGGCAGTGGACCTTCTCCGTGTGCAGGTTGGTTGATACACAAGCAGTAGCCCGTGACCAGAATGCTTTTTGAGTCGACTCAAAAAAGTGAGTGCAGGCATGAGCGGAAACGACAGTTGCCGAGGACTCAGCACGCTCATGATGCCTCCACGGACGGGTTGGACGCTTGATAATCGTCTGGCAGGCAATACACCTTCTCAGGGCGCAGGTCGACGAACAAGCAGTGGCCCGTGACCAGGCTGTGCGTGCAGGTGTGGAGAGGAATGACTTCAGACGACTCTAGACTAGAAGCACTCACCGGGGATTGAGCGCGCTCTTGATGTCATCCAGTGAAGGGTCCGACACCTGTTACCCGTCCAGCAGGCAGCAGGCCTTCTCGGTGTGCAGATTGATGAACACGTAGTGGCCGTGTGTGTGCTGTGCAGGCTGTGCGTGGCAGTGCGTGGCTGTGGGCGGTGCGCGAAAGCTAGAGGGACTTACCGCGGATTGAGCACGCTCTTGATGTCGTCCAGGGACGGGTCTGACACCTGGTACCCGTCGGGAAGGCAATACACCTTCTCCGTGTGCAGGTTGATGAACACGTGGTGGCCCGTGTCCAGGCTGTGCGTGAACGCGTGCGAGGAGCGCGCGCGGCCCTGGAAGTACTTGCCGCACACCAGGCAGCCGTACACGTTGAGGTTGGAGAGCGACACGGAGCAGAACTTCTCGAAGTCGAAGTCCAGGAGCTGGGGGAGAGGGAGAGGGGGGCGGGAAGGATGGGTGGGGGGATGAGGGGGGAGTGGGCAGCAGCAGCCGCGCGCGGCCCTGGAAGTACTTGCCGCACACGCAGCAGCCGTACACGTTGAGGTTGGACAGGGAAACGGAGCAGAACTTCTCGAAGTCGAAGTCCAGGAGCTGGGGGGAGGGGAGGGGGAAAGGGGGAAGGGAGGTTGGCAATGGAAGGGGGAAGGGGGGTTGGCAAGGGAAGGGGGAAGGCGGGAAGACATGCATGAAAGGTGAGTGGGCAACAGCAGAGCCGCGCTGTAGTACGGGCGTCACTGCCAGATCCTGCTTTCAGCTTATATGCCCGTTCAATGTGTCAAGCTACCTGCCAGTTTACCGTCTCTAGCTACCTGCCGGCTGACCGTCTCTAGATACCTGCCGGCTGACCGTCTCTAGCTACCTGCCGGCTGACCGTCTCTAGCTACTTGCCGGCTGACCGTCTCTAGCTACTTGCCGGCTGACCGTCTCTAGCTACCTGCCGGCTGACCGTCTCTGGCTACCTGGCGGTTGACGGTGTCGAGGTACGGGCACTCTCGCCGAACCTCCAGGTGGCCTCTCCTCCCGCTCACGCGGATCTCGTCCTCCTCCTCGTCCTCGTTTCTATCCTCCTCGTCATCCGCGTATTGCACAAGCCCTGACTCGTTCGGGTCAGGTTTGTCATCTGCAGATCGACTCTTAGCTCTGTCCAGACTATGTGAGAAGAGCGACCTTGCTTCCGAACCAGCCGCTGCTGAAATTCCGCCCAAGCTCGCAAGGTCTGCCATTGGCTGCGGAAACAATACGTTGATCTGGCTGCTGGTGGGCTCTTGAAAAGAGTCTGATCGATGATAAGGAGGTGCACTATGAGAGTTTTCCGAATTAGGGTTCGCAACAGAAGGTGGATTTGAGGACGCTGGGAACGATGAGATATGGACGTTCTAAGACGGAATAATATGCAAGGTGTGGATCAGACAGCATTAGTTCGAGAAGCCGCGCATCGTAAAATCCTCGACATGTTCAGGATCGGTATGTGGTTTGGAAAACGCTATACACTGTACAAATGTTGCTCTGTATGTGCGTGCATTTAGTTGGCGAGGCGATGTGCCTTGGCGAAACCTGATGCTCCATGTTGCGCCAGCTTCGCCGCGGGGATCGCCAGCTACTCTTCGATTCGTGTGACAGTCGCGAAGACATCTGCAGCACACGTCATCGTGACCCCCCCCCGCTGACATGGTGCGGAACCATTGGGCTGGGCAACACATTTGTGAGATCCACATGCCCCAGGGGCATCCCCAACATGGGTTTCCCAACCTGACCGACAGCGAAAGAATACCTGCTGGCGTTCTGCGCTTCGGCTCCCAACCTGCGGGACGAGAAGGCGCGGGAAGCTGACTGGGCAAGAGCGGCAGTTCAGCTTGTGCGAAACATTTGAGGGCCCGAGCGAAATATTCTCACCTTTTCGCGAAGACTTCCTCCACGGACCAGCCCCAAGATGGTGACAAAGCAGGGCCAGCTTGGGAAGGATTCAATGGCTGAGATTTGTTCAAAATCAAAATGGATGGCCTGAATTCATCAGGTGTTCCCATGGTGTGTCGATTGACACAATGAAGGGATTGTCCATGGCTTCATTCGTTTTGCCTCGATGTTGGATCGCCTTGCACGCGTGTTTCGTATCCACTCAACTCCACTCCACTTTCTCTCCAAACCAATCCCCCATACCTCCTGTTCCTCCTGCACTTGCTCGCTCTTTTCTCTTCATCCTCCCTCTCCGTCCCGTCTCCTTCACTGAAGCAAACCTGTTCATGCAGGACTGCTGTCCCCTCCCCTAGCAGTCCGAGCATGTCTGCTCAGCAGAAGAGAAACGCAGCTGCTCCCAGTTTCAATCACTCCGCTTCTGCAGTCTGAAGCTAGAGCAGAGCTGCTGAAATAGTTACTCATGTAACCAGCAGCCAGAACCAGAGAATCCACCTAGTTTATTTCCTCCCGCGTCGCTTCATGGTAGATTCCAGAGAATCCACTCCTAGCTACCACCTCCCCTTCGCGACCTTCTTCAGAGCCATGCTAACGAAGCCATGGCGCGGCTTCAGACATCTAGCCGTCGTCGTTACGCTCCTGCTCATGATCATTTGCCTCCAAGCGGCTGCGTCGGAAGGTACTCGTTATAGACTCCTCCGCACCGAATCCTCTCCCAAGTTTCTAGGTCAAAATGGTCCCGCGCTAGAGATTCTCCCTGACGCTTCCCTTCCTAAATTACCATCGCTAACCTATCCTGATAAGCAAATCCTAGTTGACCAAAGCCTTCCTGATCCGTCCCGTCCCTTCCCGTCCCGCACTGAACTCCTACCCTCCTTGCATGCGCAGAGCTGCCCCCAGCGGTGAGCGTGGAGAGCTTCGTTCACGCCGCGGACCACGATGGCGACGGCGAGATCGGACCCGAGGAGGCCCACCAGGTGCGCTAAATTCGTAACCAGGTGTGCTGATGCCTCAAGATTCGGCACCATGCGCTGTATTATCCCACCAGGTGCGCTTATCCGTCTAGATTCCGCACCTGGTACACTTGGTACGCTTTTTCCTCTCGATTCGGCACTCATCTCCTATATCCGGTAGCATTGGCGGCTAACGCTCCCGCTCCATTTCCCCCCCCCCCCTCCTTTTTTTTGGCGATGAATGGTGAACCGTGAACGGTGAACGGCGAACGGTGGACGGCAGCTGTGGGCGAGGGTGCTGGAGGAGGAGAAGAAGTTCGAGCAGCTGGAGGCGGAGGCGTCGGGGGGCGGAACCGAAACGGTTGACGGCGAGGGCGAGGCGAGCGGCGGCGAGGCGAGCATGGCGGATCAGCGGCTGGACATGGCGTTCAGCTACGGCGGCAGCAGCATTTCCACGGCGGAGATGAGCGTAAGCCGCTGAACATTCGGAACCACCCAGCCTTCCGCTCTTGACGAGCTCTGTGGCGAGTCAAGGCTCGTGTCGTTCTATCTTGAATTAGCTCGCCACATGCCTCTGGTTCCGTGACCGGCTTGAATGCGCGCTGATTTCTTGTGTTCCCTGGCATTGTGGTCGATTCCTCCTGCTCCCCGCGTGCACGCGTGCAGGACCATCTGGGCCACATGCTGACGGGGGAGAAGGTGGTCGCGTAGATCGTCCACGGGCTACGATATGACATTTAGTCGACTCAAAAGTCATTCCTCCTGTTCCCCGCGTGTTGGTTCCGTTTGTTCCCTGCCGTCCTGCGTGGGTGCAGGACCATCTGAGCCACATGCTGACGGGCGAGAAGGTGGTGGCGTGGATCGTCCACGGGCTGCGTCTCCCCCAGTACGCGGACGTCTTCAGGGCCAACTCGATCGACGGCCTGGATTTTCCCGCGCTTATATCCGATAACGGGACGTTCCTTAAAGACGACCTAGGAGTTAAAAGCGCACTGCACAGACATAAAATCCATACAGCTATATTCCGCCAGGTGTTCGGACTAGGCAAGGCTCCTGGCGCTCCTACTAACTTAGAGTGCGAACCGTCCGGGTGTGGCGCCATTGCTGTTCAGTGGGACCCGCCAGCCAATCCGGGGGTGCCACCTGTCCACAAGTACCTTATCCAGAGACGCGTGGCAACGCGCGTGGCCTCGTGGAAGGACGTTGGAGACACGTCAGAGGACGCGTGGCTAGATACGGAGGGGCTGAAGCCGGGGACGGAGTACACGTATAGGATACAGGCGTGGGGCGGGCATGGACCTTCGGAGTGGGTGGTGCTAGAGCACTGTAGAGCGTTAGCTACTAGCGCGGATGGCGTTACTTGCACTACGGGCATGCATCAGCAGCAGCATCAGCAGCACCAGCAGCACCTGCAGCAGCAGCAGCACTCGGCTCAGCCGCTTGCCGTTGAGCCTCTTGTTAGACCAAGAGCAGAAGGGCATGGGCATGCGCACGGGTCAGAAATAGTGGCCGTTCCTGGAGCAGAGAAGGAGCATGGCTCCCGAGGAGCATGGCAGAAACGAGTGGAATCAGTTGGGGGCACGGAGTACGTTCTAAGCCGCTCCGCAGTGCCAGGAGCAGCAGCAGTGGAGGCAGAAGAAGCGAGAGGAGGGGCGGGTGGGCAGCAGGGCAGCAGGCAGGGAGCAGCAAAGACGGCGGAGCGAATACAGGAGGAGGAGGAGGAGCAGGAGGGGGATGGGCAGGGGCATGCGAGTCCACCATCGCACCACGTGTGGAGTTTCATCTGGTCGGTCAACGGCGGCATTCTCGTGCTCGGCATCTTCTCCCGCCACAGCTTCTTCTTCCGCTTCGTCCTCGCCGCCGCCGCCTCCGCCCACCGCCTCCTCCTCCGCCCCCTCTCCGCCGCGCTCCCCACCTCCCTCTCCCCCGCCAGCCCCTTCCTCCTCGTCCGCCTGGCCGCCCGGATCGTTTTGGGCCTCCGCTGGGCGGCTGGCTGTGTCTCGGCGCTGCTGCACCGAGTGATTGCTGCGTTGCTGTCGCTTGGGGGCGATGAGGGGGGGGAGGGGACCAGTGGGGACAACCAGCAACTGAGCCCGTTTTCCAACGGCAGCAGAGGGGCTAGGAGGTGGTCCGATGGGGTGGGGAATTCGGGGGTGCAGGGAGATGGGGGGCCGTGGGGGGAAGGGGAAGGGGGAGACAGAGGGGGGCGGGATGTGAAGGATTTTGGGCGGAATAGGTCTTATGAGGAGCTGTCAGGGCGGTGGGAGGGGGAGGCATCATTGGGCAGCAACGCAAGGGGCATGCCGCGGAATGGGCTGCTGTCTAGGGGCGGGCATGAGGGGTCTCGGCAGACGGAGGAAAGGAGCTATCGAGCAGGCGAGCAGGAAGGGACGGAAGCGGGGGAAGGGGGGTGGGGTGAGAGCGCGCGAATTGAGCAGGAGGAGTCGGATGACGAGACGGAGTCGCTGAAATCTGTCAGCTTTAAGTACAGGTGCGTGCACACAGGAGGGAGGGGCCATGCTACTGCAAACCCCACCTAACCGCATTGCCAGCAGCTCCTTTTCCTCCCACTGCTCTCCCACTCTTTTGTTTAGCCCCGATAGGCCCGAATTTCAGCGTGAAACGCTTTGTAATGCTTCGCCACCCCTCTTTACCACTCTCCACCCCTCCCATCTCCGCCTTCTCAATGGTGAAGGCTGCTGCGTCCGCTTTGATCACTGGTACACACTAGACGGCATTCTGAAGCATGCTCCTTTACCCCTCTCCACCACTCTTCACCCCCCCCATCTCCCCCGTCTCAGGTGCAACGCTGAAGGCTGTCGCGTGCGGTTCGACCGCTGGTACACCCTAGACGGGTTGAGGCACCGAATGCTGAAGCACTACTGCCGGGAGTGCCAGGGCGTGTACTGCGTGCGGCACACCCGCATCTCCCCCCACTCCTCGCGCACCCAGTGCGGGCTTGATAGCCACTGCATCTGCTTCTCCTGTTATGCCAGGCTCCCTGCCGAGCTGCAGCTTCGGGCCGAACGTATCAACAAGCTTCGGGTTGGGCCCGTGGCTGGCAGTGGGAGCGGCAGTAGCAGTGGCAGCTTGGGGAATAGCTTCGGAGGGAGTGGGGGAGGAGTTGGGGGCCGGAATGGTGGGGGGAAGAGTGGGGATGTAGCTTTGAATGGCAATGGCAATAGCTTTGGTAGTTCTGGGAATGGTAGTAGTGGCAGTATTCGTTGTGGTAACCATGGTAACCATGGTAGCAATGGTGACGGTGGGAGAGGAGCGGGAGGGAAAATCTCGCCTTCCACCAGCTGGATGACCTTGCTAGGCCGGCGCACCACTGACAAGCATGGCGGGGGGTTGGAAGCGGGTAGGGCGGACAGGGGGGGCGGTGAGAAAGCCCTGTCTGGTTACTTGCCAACCAGCGGCAGCACGTCCGGTTCAGACGACTCACAAGGCGCAGGGGGAGCAGGGGGGGCAGGGGGAGTAGGGACGGCTCAAGCAGCAGAGGGGGGGTTGAGTGGAGCAGCAGCAGCAGCAGCAGCAGCAGCAGAGGAGGGGCAGGCTGCAAGGGTGGTAGACTTGTCCGTAGCAGCATGCGAGGCAGCGGATACTCTTGCCTCGCCTCGACCCCTCACCCAGACAATGAGCCTCAGAGGGGAAAGGGGCAGGGGGGGAGGCGTAGGGGGGAAGATGGCTCTTAAGAAGACCCACTCAGCTGCTGCTACCGTAGGGGTTAGTGGGGCTGGTGCTGGTAGGAACGTGCGAAAAGATAGGCGTAGGGCAGATAGCATGCACCACCAGCAAGAGCAAGAGCAGGAGCAGCAGGAGCAGCAGCAGCAGCAGCAGCAGCGGCAGGCTCAGGCGTTTTTCTTTGTGGGCTCTGCTGCGGACCTCATGCCCTCCTCCGCCTCTGCTTCCTCCGACGCCTCCACTGGCAGCAGCAAGGCGTCAAGCGAACCAGACATGAGGGCCCGTAGCAAGAGACCAGCAGCATCGGGTGCAGCTGACGCCGTAAAGAGCCCCCAGACGACATGCCTGACTAGAAGGGATCCTTTGCCCATGGCGGCAGTGTCAGACCCCACTGCCACTTGCTTGGCCTCAGCTGTTCGTCCTGGTCCTGGCTTAGAGACAATGCCCTCTTGCGCTGCTTCTGTAGAGGCACGACCCTCCTGTAGTGACTCTGCAACGGAAGTAGAGGGTGCAGCAGGGCGGCCAGGGGCAGCCGCAGAAGCCACTGCCAAAGCCGCTAAGGCAGAAGCAGCAGGTAGGGAGGCAGATGCAGTGAGAGCGCGAGGCGGGTCAACTGAGAGTGGTGGCATTGACTGGGGAAGGCTTGAGCGCTGCCCCAGCCATCTCACCCGCTCGCGCTCCTCCCGATCCGCAGACGAGGCCAAGCGGTCCCCCTCGCCCTACTCCAAAGCGCTCTCTCTTTATAACAAGTCGCCCTCTTTAGGAACGCACCTTGCGAGCCGAGCAGTTGCGGATGGGAGGGGAGGTGGGACTAGGGGAGGGAGTAACTGGTTCTGGTGGTATCGGCACGGGGGCCATGGGCATGGGCATGGGCATGGGCGAGGGAATGGGCATGGGGAAGAGTTGAAGGGCCCATTGTCTCCCGGACCTGCCTTTTCAGGGATATTCACGAGTAAACGGAAGCATAAAGAGGGTAGGGGTAAAAGCGCATTGAATTTGGAAAGAGGAGGGGCAAGGGAGGGAGGGGGGCAGGGGGAAGAGGGTGAGGATGAGAGGGACGGTGCAAGTGAGGAGGGGTTAGATCGAAGACACACTGTGGAGAATGGAGAGGTTACCGGTTGGCGGGTGCGAGAGAATGAAGCTGGACGAGGCAGATACAGTGCCCTTCCACCCGCTCTTTCACCTGCGCGATTGTCACCGCCGAGTAAATCACTCTCTCCTCTGTCACCCACGCTTGAAAGTGCTGCTGAAGGGGACATGCAGGGGGGTAGAGCGAAAGGGAGGTTTGCGCTACCCGGGAGAAAAGGCATACTTAGCATGTCCTGGGACAGAAGCATGAGGTTGAGAGACAAGCAGGGGTAGTGCGGTTTGAGTCACACTTCCGTGATTATTAGTTGGTTTGGTTTTGTATGTTGGGTAGGGCATCAATTGTTGAGCATGAATGTTATCCCAATGAAGATCCAGATCGACTGTTTCGTGTAGGATACCATGTATTGTAAGGTTAGTGTATGAAAATACTTTAATACTAGGAAAATTTCAAGGAATGATTGAATCTCGAGGCTTATACATGCTATCCTAACGAAGATTCAGGTCGGCTGGTTTGTTTAGCCAGGTTCCTAAGTAGACCATGTAAGGGTAGTATAAAGATATATTCATAGGTAAAATACAAGGAATAATTGCATCTAGCGTCGGTACTACATTCGTGCTATCGGTGTAGCTCCCCCGATTTTCCCCCTTCGCCATTGGTCAGCGCGTGCGCCTCCCTCCGCCAATAACCTCCCGAGCCCCGCACTTCCCCCGCTGTGCTGTGCAATGGGCGCCAATGGCAGCGCAGTAGTGGACTGTATCTCCTCGCTTCCTGCGACCGCTGCTTCCTTCCGCCCACCTCCCCCCATCTCTTGCCGTGCGCCATGGGTCATGGGCAAGCATGTGATAGATGGCTGGAGCCTACTGGTGTAATCCCAAGGTGACGATGATTGTCTTATCAGTGCCTCACCTCACTCTCCGCTCTCATGGCCGTCTCACGGTGATTCCCCCTCTGATTGTAGAGTATAGATAAGCGTGATTTTGGTGATAGCTGTGATTATTCCCTACCGTGGTACCAGGGCAGGTTCGTAATATGCTTCGCCCTAAGTTCTTCATTACCGTTTATAAGAGCGTTCGCGCCGTGATAGCCGCTAGCGGGTCGCAGGCTCCTAGGCCGCCTTTAAGCGACTCTAATTCATCGCAATTCTTATTTATTCCGTCGCACCCGCCGTCGCTGGATCCACCCTCATCTGCGAATCCGTCGCATGCACAGCTTCCGTCGCAACCACTGTCGCAATTACCGTCGCAACCGCAATCGCCGAGTGCTCCCGTCGTTCGATCCGGTGCGAGCGATCCTCCGTTTGAGGCGGCCCAGCACACCAGCGGGCCGTACGCAATACACAGTGCTCCCGATGCTGGGCCTTGCGCCCCTGGGAATGCCGAACAAGGATGCGCAGTGGGCCACGAAAATTCAATTACACGGTTACCACATGGCGAGGCGGCGGAGAGGAGCACGCTGAACCAGCAGCCTCACCCGCAGCCAAAGCAGCAGGAGCAACAAGAGCAACGAGAGCAGCACCCTGCCAGCAGTAGCTTGTTCTTAGCACGCCAGGGATCGCCGTTGCAAGCAGCTATGGCGGTCGAGAGCGCAGCCCGGGGAACAGCGCCAGAAGCGCTAGGGCCAATGGTGGCCGCTAGTAGCGGCAGTACTGCCCCCCAGCAGACCTCCCACCACCCCTTCTCACACCATTCCGCCGCACACCACCTCTCCTCGCACCATTCCGCCTCTACCTCCTCCTCCTCCTTCCTCCCCTCCTTTCGGTCCCTCGCTTCCTCTTTCACGAAGCTCTTTAAGCGCCGCTCGCCGCCCGAGCCTGTGCTGCAGCCTCGGCACCATGTCGCAGCTGGCTTGGTGCCCGAGCCTACCCCACAGGCTGTGGTCGAATGGGCTGCCGAGCCAAGCTCGCAAACAGGGTTTTTTCGCAAAATGAGGAGCGCTGCAGGCAATCTCTTGACTCAGCCGCCCAGTTTGCCGCGCCTCTCGTCCAGCCTGGCAGATGCGACAGGCACTGCAGGCCGGAGGCCTCACGAGGAGGTGGCGGAAGGGGGCCTGGCGGAACGTGCGGGAATGCAGCAAATGGCGGAGAGAGTGGCGGAGAGGATTGAGGGGAGGATGGAGGGAAGGGCACCGAGGATTTTGCCGGATGGGGCAACGGCGAGGGGGGTGGAGTGGGCAGAGGAGGCAGTTGTGGCAGCGCGGAAGAAAGGCCGAGGGCACTGGAGGGGGAGTCGGAGCCGAAGCAGTGCTTCAGCTGTGCGCTCTGCTGGTGCTGGTGGTGCTGGTGGTAGTGCTGGCGCTGGTGCTGGCGATGCAGGCTATCATAGTCGCACGCTCAACGCGGCTGTAGCTCCATCAGGTGCTGCTTCAGGTGCTGCCTCAGGTGGTGCTTCAGGTTTTGCGCCAGGTGCTGTCTCACGAGGTGCAGCACCAGGTGGTGCCTCAGGTGCAGCTGGGGCGGCAGTTGCTCCTCAGCTTCAGCTGCAGCAGGGGCTTAGGGCGGGGTACGCGCAGCACAGGGAGCAGGCGCAACAGGTACTGGCGCAGCAGGGAGCCGGGTGGCAGGGCGTGGGGCAGGGCGTGGGGCAGGCACAAGAGGCTCGGGGCATGCAGCACGTGGCGGGGCGGCAGGGGTCGGTGAGGGCAGGGGGCGTGCAGCGTGCGGTGTACCGGCAGGGGAGCGGGGAGAGGCATGGGGGTGGGGAGTTGAGCGAGCTCAGGAGCAGCAGCGGGCGAGGCTTCAGCGGGCAGTGGGATCAGGGGGATGCTAGAGGACGTGGTAGCAGCAGCAGCAGCAGTTATTCCATCACACCACCACCAGCACTGGCACCAGCACTGGCACCAGCACCAGCAGCAGCACCAGCACCGGCAACAGCACCAGCACCAGCACCAGCACCAGCACCGGCAACAGCACCAGCAGCAGCAGCAGCAGCAGCAGCACCTACTACTCATGCCATGGCTGTTACTGTCACCGCAATTCCACCCCGAACCCCTTCTCATGGCCCTGCCCCGTCCTCCTCTTCCACTCCTGCTCCCCCTCCTCCTGCCAGCATCCACTATCGAGGCTTCGCTCGGAGGGCAGAGAGAGGGTGGCCGCTGGCAGCAGCAGGCAGTGCTGCTGACCGGGTGACGTCAGCAGCGGCAGCACCAACTCCAGCTGTCTCACATGGACCAGTGGCGCTAGACGACGCAGCAGCAGCACGAGGGAAAGCAGCAGCAGGTGAAGCAGCAGGAGTGGCAGCAGCAGAGGCAGGCCAGAGACACGGAGGGGAGACGAGATGGCAGAGGGAGCCTTGGGCTAGGGAGGGATTTAGTGGGGAAGCAGGTAGAGCGCTGGGAGGGCGAGGGAGAGGGAGAGGGAGAGGGAGAGGGAGAGGGGGACGGGGAGGCAGAGGCGGCGTGGGAGCGCCAGCAGAGGAAAGAGGGTTGAGAGGAGACGGAGAGGGTGGGATGTCAGCGCAGGGACCGGACAGATATGCAGTTGCTGCTGCAGCGGGAGCAGTGCGAGCAGTGGGGGTAACGGGAAGAGTGGCAGGCAGAGTTGGCAAGAGAGCAGCACAGCGGGAGAGGGACAGCGGGCTGGTGTCTGCCATTCTCAACATGCTCAGATCCATCCTGCCCTCGCCTCCCGCTGCTCACGCCGCCACTCCTCTGGCTCACCCTGTCCCGGACGCTGCTCCTGCTGCCCCTTTCCAGGGCCCTGCTACCAGCTCTCCTCTTCCTGCTGCTGCTGCTGCTGCGGGTGGTTCGCCTGCTCAAGTGATGGCGATGCAACGGGCGACGAGTGGTGGAAGGATGGGTGTGGATGAGATGGGGGCACTGCTGCAGCAGCAGTGGCAGGACCGGCTAGCCGGCAGCAATGCCGGCAGCAATGCCGGCAGCAGAAGCGCCAAGAGGAAGAGCAAAAGCAGCAAGGGCGGGGACGAGGAGCCCACTGCCAGGAACACAGGCAATAGTCAGCGCGCAGTGCCTTTGCAGTCGGCGCAAAAGCCGCTTGGGAAGGTGAAGGCATACCATGTGAGCGAGGTGCTCAAGGCTCTCTGGGACGCCGATGCGGGCCTGGCGTTCTTCCGGTGGGCCAAGGACGTGCAGGGCGTGCAGCCGGACGCGCACGTGTACTCCAGCCTCCTCGGGCTGCTGGGCCGCGGAAAAAACGCTGCTAATCTGGAGGGGATCGAGGAGGAGATGAGGAAGGATGGGTGCGGGCACAACTCGTACACGCTGCAAGCTCTTGCTGCCGCGTATTCTCGAGCCGGGAGGTTTGAGGAGGCGCTTGCGACAATGGCTGAGATGGAGCAGAGGGGCATTCCAGCTGACCCCTTCTCGTTCGGGTAGGTGGTCGCTCGGGCAGGTGGTGGCTAGGGTGTGTGTGGTCTGTCTGTCAGGGATGCCTGCAGTTTGTAGTATGTGCTGTTGACATGAATGCGTTCTCCCCCTGCCTTGCTGTGCCACCAGATAGTTGACATTCGCCATTGCGCGGACTGGTGGTGCCACGCCACGACTGCCTCTTATGCTGCGATCCATCACTCCTCACTCCTGCGGCTCCCCCCTCCCCTCCTTTTCACAGGACTCGTCTGGACGTGCTTTATCGCGTGGGCCACCACTGGTACCATGAGCTTCCAAGACCTTCATTCCTGGGCTACCACCGCTACGACGTGTTCATCTTCCTTCCTTGCTCCTCTCACTTACACTGCATCTCCTCCCCCGTCACAGCACGCGCGTGGACGTGCTGTACCGCATGGGGCGGTACCGCGACGTGATCAAGACGTTCCACATCATGCGAGAGGCGGGCCACGTGCCGGACGTGTTCGTGTACAACACCGTCATCACCAGCTACGGCCGCTTGGGCAACATCATCGGCGCGGAGCTGGCATTCCGGGAGATGCTGGCCCATGGGATGACCCTCAGCGTCTTCTGCGCCAACAGCCTCATGGACGGGTATGGGCGGGCTGGGAGGCTGGATGACGCCATGTCGATTTTTGACCGAATGTGCCTCTCTGCTGTTGCTGCTGGGGCGAGTAAAGGGAGGGGAGGTGATTCGGAGGGGTTGCCGACGGTTGCTGCAGTAGGTGCGGTGGCTCCTGGTGCGGCCGGGAGGGCGTTTCTGAAGGCCCAAAATGGGTTAAGAGTTCCTCTGTCTCTACCTGGAGCAGCACCAGCATCAGCAGCAGCAGCGGCTGCAGCCGCGAGAGCCACTTGCACCAATGCTGCTGCTGAAGTGGTACCCGCTGCGCCAGCAGCACATCCCACTGCTCTCACCACCACCACCCGTTCTGCCCGTCCGTCCATCTGGCCAGCCCCGGACATCTCCACGTACAGCCTGGCGATCCACCTTCTCAGCACGGCAGGGCGGCTGTCCGAAGCAGAGGCCACGTTTGAAGCGATGATGGTAGCGGGCATACAGCCGGACGTGGTGGCGTGGTCCACCATGGTGCAGATGTGGGCCAAGGAAGGCAACCCCCAGCAGGCGGCGGTGTGGTTCAAGCGCATGGTGCTCGCAGGGTGCCGGCCCGAAACCCCCGCGTACAACTCTCTCATGTGGGCGTTTGTGAGCCGGGGGATGTTTGACGAGGCCGGGGAGGTGCTAGCTGCACTGAAAAACGGGTGGGACCTGGTGGGGCAAGCGGATAGGCTAGGAGAAAAGAAGCCAGCCGGCTTAGGTCTAGAGAAGTGCTGTGAAGCCGGCGTTGAGTTGATACCAAACGGGAGTGAAGGCAGTACTGCCGATACGGCGGTTAAACCCTTCGATCCGATACCCGGTGTGGGCCCTAACCTGATGACGCACACCATGTTTCTCAGCGCCTGCACCGCCTCGACCGCTCGCTGCGAGGTCAGCCGGCTGATGCGCCTTATGGAGGCCACGGAGCATCCCGCGCACGCCATCTTCCAGCTGCTTGCGGAGGAGCCTGTCGAGACGGCTCACATGGCGGTGGTAGAGGAGGTCGGGAGGGAGATGGGGAGTGAGAGTGAGCGTACGAGGGTAGAGAGGGAAGGGGAGAATGCTGAAACGAGGGGAGAGGATGAGGGAGGAAGCGAGGTGATTCTTGAGTCGACTCAAAAATCACCTGGGGATGGGGGAGGAAGGGAGGAGTGTGGTCACAGGGAGTTGGGGCAGGGTGCAATCGCAAGGGTGATAGCGAGGGGTTTGGTGGAGGTGGAAGTGAGGGAGGTGTGGAGGGAGCGCGAGGAGGAGCGGTGGAGGGAGATAGAGAGGAGGATGCGTCATGATTCGTTCAGTAAGTCGGAGGTTGAGTGTCAGCGTGCCTTTGCTGACACGTCAATTTCCTTCCTGCATAAGTTTGGGCGGCAAGAGCGGGCGGCGCGCATGTGGGACCTCTGCCACACGCGGCTGCAGCTGTACCCTAACAGCATTCGGCTGCCTGCGATTGCCGGGCGGGCTGGACGATGCTCGGTGGATTTGCATAGCATGTCGGCCGGCACGGCAGTGACTGTGACCAGGTGGGCCCTGGAGAAGATGCGGCAGGCTGTGGTGGCCACTGCTGCTTCAGACGCCACTGCTGGTTCAGATGCCACTGCTGCTTCAGATGCTGGGGATTCCACAGCAGAGGTGGCGGATCCAGCAGAGGAATCAGAGGATGGTGAGGATGGGGCGGCACTAGGTGACCAGGAGCCATCAGGATCATCATTGTCATCAGGAGCAGCAGCAGCAGCAGCAGCAGCATTTTCAGCAGAATCACCCCTGCGGTGGCGCCGACCAGGAAAGGTGGAGATAGTAACGGGGTGGGGTAAACGCAGCAGGGTGCAGGGAGCCTCTCTGGTGAAGGCAGGAGTGGAGGCGGTGCTGCTGAGGGAGCTGGGGGCGCCCTTCTCCGTGCACCGCTTCCACCCCGGCTCCTATGAGGCCGATGGCGCTGACCTGGAGGCATGGTTGCTCTCGCCAGGTGTCGACCAGCTACTGGCTCCTTGAGATGAGGGGTGATGGGAGAAGGCACCTACTGCTGGGCCCGTGAACCAACTGGCAACTGGGGAATGTTCACTAAGGCGGTACAAGTTGGATCTGAGAAAAGTTGGATCCAAAAGTGAATTACATGCACTGCACTGTACGGCGCGCGTATAGTGGGATTCGAGGTTTCAGATCTAACTTGTTGCCGATGCACCAACCAACGTTGAAAACTAGAACGAACGAATGAATCTGCCAGCAACAAAGCACCCTCCTCTCCTCGCCCACTCACCTATCGCGATGCTTTATGAGTTGTAGGCATGGCCCCATTGCTGGAGTCTTATTATCCTGTAGTGCTGTAGTGCCCCCCAGCCAAACTGCGAGGTACCATACTACCGTAGCCCAAGGGCTCGTCCGTCCCTGGACAAGCTATCAATCCCAAGATGCCCACAGGGAGGTCAAGAGAATGTCCCACAACAAACACTTGATCTTGAACCTGCATGAAGAGCAATGAGTTGGGCTGAACCTGGAAGTGGGAATCGAAGTAGAGAGTTAGACTTTGATAGTAACTTTGAGAAACGTAATTTGTAGAACACCGAATGTGTAGTTTCCAAACCTATATACGAAATTGCTCTTGGAGCAGTAACCGAATCTCAAACCTTCCACCCTGAAGTCCAGAAGTCATTGTCGCGTACAGCCAATGCACCTCTCTTTAGACTATTGCCTCTGCCTGGCGGAGGAAGTCGAAGCGGCAGTTGAAATTTCGGCCAGATTGGGAACATGCTTCGACCTAGGCTCGTATTTACAGTTTCTAAGCGCGTTCGAGCTGCCATAGTGGTCAGCGGGTCGCCCGCTCCTAAACCGTCCTTAAACGACGCTTACTCGTCGCAAACCGTACCGATTTCCTCTCACCTGCCCTCGCCCGAACCGTGTTCTCCTGCGAATTCGTCGCAACCGCTGTCGCACCTTCTGTCGCAACGGCAGTTGCGAAATGCGTCCACCAATCAACACGGTGCCGGCGATCCTCCTTCTGAGGCGTCTCGAATCGCTACTGGGTGGCCATACGCGGTAGACTGTGCTTCTGATTCTGGGCCTTGGGAAGCAGCAGCAATACCAGCACCATCAGCAGCAGCAGCAGCAGCAGCAGCAGCAGCATCCAGTGCTCTGGCTGTGGGTGCCTTTGTTTTCCCTGCTGCAATTCGGACCCTTGCTGCTGCTTCTGCCCCTTACCTCCATATCCCTCACGCCCCTCCTCCTGCCAGCATCCACTCTCGAGGCTTCGCTCGGAGGGCAGAGAGAGGGCGGCCGCTGGCAGCAGCAGGCGCAGCTGCTGCTGACCGGGTGACCCCAGCAGCGGCGCCACTGCCGCCACGGGTACCAGCACATGCACCTCGACCAGCAGCAGCCGGTGCAGCAGCAGCCGGTGCTGCAGCAGCAAAGGCTGAAGAGCGATATTTGGAGGAGAATAACCGAGAACGGCGTCCTTGGCCCGAGAGGGTTCGGAATGCCGTGCCAGGAGTGGCACACGGAGCAAGAGCGGGGCGATGGGGAGAGAGACGGGGAGGGGGAGGAAGAGGGGAGGGGAGAGCAGAGAGCGAAGGACATGCAGCAGCACCTGCAGCAGCGAGAGCGGCAGGCAGGAGGGGTAGGGACGAAGCGAAGCGGGAGAGAGACAGCCGCGTGGTGACGTTCCTTCTCCACATGCTCAGATCCCTCCAGCCTTCCCCGCCGTCTGCTCCTCCCCTCCCTCTGACTGCAGCTTCCTCCCCTGCCATTACCGTTCCCTCCTCTCCTGCAGCTCCTCCCTCCCGCCCCCTCGCTTCGCCTCTCGTCCCTCATGCCATCCCTTTCCCTTTCCTCGCTTCCCACCCGCCCGCTTCCCACCCGCCCGCTTCCCCTACCTCTGCCCGTCCTGTCCCGCCCACTGTCCCTCTTCCCTCCTCTCCTCCTCCTGCAATCCCTCCCACTCAACGGATGGCAAGCGGCGGGCGAATGGGGATGGAGGAAATGCTGGCGCGGCTGCAGCAGCAGTGGCAGATGCAGGTAGCAGGCAGCAGCAGCGGGAGGAACAGGAAGCGAAAGAGCAAGGGCAGGATCACAGGAACGGGTGAAAGCAGCAAGGAAGGCGAAGAGGGGTCGGTAGGCGGGATTCAAGATAACATTCACACCAGGGGGGCTGCAAAAGTGAGGTCGTACCATGTGAGTGAGGTGCTCAAAACGCTGTGGGACGCTGACGTGGGCCTGGCGTTCTTCCGGTGGGCCAAGGACGTGCAGGGGGTGCAGCCGGACGCGCACGTGTACTCAAGCCTGTTTGGGCTGCTGGGCCGGGGGAAGGATGCAACAAGTCTGGAGAGGGTAGTGGAGGAGATGAGGGAGGATGGGTGCGGGCACAATGCGTACACGCTGCAAGCACTCGCTGCTGTGTACGCTCGTGCTGGGAGGTCGGAGGAGGCTCTGGCGACGCTGGCTGAGGTGGAGCATTGGGGGTTCTCAGATGACCGCTCTACTGTTGGGTATGTGTCTTTCTGTCTGTCTCTCTCCTCACTCCTCTCGTGTTTTTTTTTTTCTACCATTTGATACGGAATCGTTTTTTTTGGCCGTTTAAAACGGTCCTGAGGTGCGTTTTTGGGTTGGTGCAAAAAAACGGTCGTATTTTTTTAACCAGCCAAAACCTGGGGGAACATTTTTTGTAATTAAATTGTAATCACTTTCGGATGCACCGTGGTACTTCATTTGTGAGTGTTGTTAATGTTTTCAGACGGTGGTGAGGGTGATAGTGGGGGGAAGACGCGGCACAGGAGGAGGACAAAGATTCAACACACATACCTGTAGAAATGTTTGTTAGCCCCCTTAGCCCTGAGTAAACCATCGTAGCCACAATGCAACATGTTTCCGCAGGGTTTTTTTTTTTTTTTTTTTTTTTAAGGTGCCCAAAAATGTCTTTAAAAAAACGGTCGTTTTTTTTTTTTTTGCCGTATTAAACGGACTGTATAATACGAAAACCGTATTTTTCCACCTTGGTTTGAATCCTCTCATTCACCACTCCTCTCACTTCTAGCTCCTCTCACTTCCGCCCTCACTCCCCACAAACAGCCACTCTCCTCCCATGTCTCTCCCTCTCAGAGCTCGAGTGGACATGCTGTTCCGCATGGGTCGGTACCGCCACGTGGTCAAGACCTTCCTTGCTCCTCTTGCTTACACTGCATCTCTTCCCCTCCCCACCCCCACGCCCTGCACCCTCTTCCCCTTCACAGGGCGCGAGTGGATGTGCTGTTCCGCATGGGGCGGTACCGCGACGTGGTCAAGACGTTCAATGTGATGCGAGAGGCGGGCCACACGCCCGACACTTTCATCTACAACGCCGCCGTTATGAGCTACGGGCGCCTCAACAACACCGTCGGGGCGGAGATGGCGTTCAAGGAGATGATCACAAAGGGAATGGCGCTCACTGTGCGCTCTGCCAATAGCCTCATGGAAGTGTATGGCAATGCTGGCAGGATTGACGACGCCATGGCGGTGTTTGATCGGATGTGCCTGGCTGCCTGCACCAATGCTGCTGCTGCTGCTGTACCGGCAAGCACTGCATCAGCAGCACCTCGTACCACCTCCACCAGCACTGCCCCTTCTTCTTCCCCGCCATCCATTTGGCCGGCGCCTGACATGATCACCTACACCGTGGCAGTGCACCTTCTCAGCAACGCCGGACGGCTGTCAGAGGCAGAAGCCACGTTTGATGCCATGCTGGTGGCAGGGATGCAGCCGGACGCTGTTGCGTGGTCCACCATGGTGCTCATGTGGGCGCGAGAGGGCAACCCCCAGCGCGCGGCCATGTGGTTCAAGCGCATGGTGCTTGCCGGGTGCCCGGCCAATGCATCGGCGTACAACGCACTACTGCTGGCGTTTGTAAGCGTGGGGATGTTCGAAGAGGCTGAGGAGGTGCTCTCTGCGTTCAAAAACGGGTGGGATCTGGTGGGGCAGGTTGACTTGTCAGGGGAAAAGCATACTGGTTTCGGCAAACGCAGACCTGACCAAGCATCAGGTCCAACGGACGGATCCATGGAGGGCGATACCAGCCTTTGGGCAGGTCAGGCAGTAAACCTGGTGCGAGGCAAAGTCCTCAAAGTGCCGGTTGGTGAGGGCCCCAACCTGATGACGTACACCATGCTGCTGAATGCCTGTACCACCTCCACAGCTCGCAGCGACGTGGGCCGGTTGGTGAGGCTGATGGAGGCCACGGAGCACCCCGCCCACGCCGTGTTCCACCTGCTCTTAGAGGGGTTTGACGCGCCTCAGAAAGTGCCCCACCTGCCCGTAGAGGCGGCTGGGACTGAGAGAGGGAGTGAGGGAGGAAGTAAAGAGGGTAGCTATGGGGAGACAGGAAGGGATGCTGTTGCGAGAGTGGTGGAGAGGGGTTTGGTGGAGGTGGAAGTGAGGAGAGTGTTGGGGGAGTGGGAAGAGGAGCGGTGGCGGGAGGTAGAGAGGGCAATGAGAGGGGCCGTGTGTACCAAGGCTGATATAAAAACCCAGCACGCCTTCTCCGAGGCATGCGTCGCTTTCTTGCATAAATTTGGGCGGCATGAGGGGGCAGCCCGCATGTGGGACCTCTGCCACACGCGGCTGCAGCTGTTCCCGAACATCATTCGGCTGCCCGCGGTTTATGGGCGGCATGGAAAGTGTTTGTTGGACCTACACGGCATTTCGGCAGGCACGGCCGTGACTGTGACCAAGTGGGCGTTGGAGAAGATGCGGCAGGCTGTGGCGGCCTCTGCTGTTTCAGGTGCGGCTGATGCATCGCTTGAAGCAACAAGTGTCACTCCAGAGCACGGACAGAGTCTCGTTTTAGAAGCAGCGGATTCAGTTGATTCAGACGATGCAGACGAAGGAGCTATGTTAGCTGCACATGAGTCAACAGAATTATCACCAGGAGTAGGGGCAGCCACGGCATCCAATGACTCACCGCTGGAGTGGCGACGACCTTTAAAGGTGGAGATAGTAACGGGGTGGGGTAAACGCAGCAGAGTGCAGGGAGCCTCGCTGGTGAAGGCGGGTGTGGAGGCGGTGCTGCTGAGGGAGCTGAGGGCGCCCTTCTCCGTGCACCGCTTCCACCCCGGCTCCTATGAGGCTGACGGGGCTGACCTCGAGGCCTGGCTGCTCACGCCAGGTGTCGACCAGGTACTGGCTCCACGAGATTCGGGCTGAGTGGAGCTCCGGACTAGGCCTGTCAGCCAAATATCCGGCGTGATACTGCTGTTGGACGCTCGGGTTGCTGAATCTAGGGGTACCGTTTTTTAGGACACTCAAGAAGCATGGGCACAATGCCTTCAACATGGCATAGTGCAGCAGAGCATGTGAGTTCATTGATGAAAAACGATCCCACCTCGACTCAGTGCAAGTTCCTTTGAAGCCAGGCCAGAGTCTCCTGATCAGCTAGAATTGATGATGAGCTTGTTCACAAGTGTGCCAGTTGACAATGTGTGTGACTGGACCTGCCATTTCAAAATTAGCCAACTTATCTCTAGATCACATCCAGTCCATCTCCTGGTCCATGAATGAGCATGCTGGAAAGTGGGCTGAGGCTGAAACCGTTGCACAACTACACCTGGACCCCAGGAGCAACCCACGCCCAACTGAGCTACGCCATGATCCGCTTGGAGTGCACGAAGATGCTGTCAACCGCCTGGTTCATGTGCACGATGCTGTCAACGACTGTCGGTTACATACTGCAACGCATTAGGAGTCATATGACAGCGCCTCTCTAAGCCATGATCCGCTTGGAGCGCACAAAGAGGCTGTCAACCACCTGGTTCATGTGCACAATGGTGTCGATGGCCGCCGGGTACAGTGCGTCCGGCACCTGCGGCTGGAACACCACCAGGTTGCCCGCGCCCTGATCCAACGTGCCCTCAAACTTGCGGTCCAGAATCATCTGAGACAGCTTCGACTCCACCTGGGAGACAGATGGGGGAAGAGGCAGGGGAGAGGGTGGAGAGCGGGAGAAGAGGGGATAAGCGGATGGAAGGCACACATTGCCATGGAGCACATACGAAATAGCTTTGACTCACTGGGGGGGGGGGGGGGGGGGGGAGAGGAGGGAGGGGAAACAACACGTGAAATAAATGTGCAAATCCGCAGGTCTCGGATTCCCATCCAGCGGACACCCTGTAACCGAGGAACTACGAAGCTTCACAAAGGAGCTATGCAGCCTCCACTGGAGACTGGTGAAGCCAAGCGATGGTCCATCTGCAGTCTCGTAGATAGCATCACGACACATGAACAATCTTCACCGAAACGAAAGGAGCAAAAAATCAGCTGGAGCTTCAGACTCCAATTTCCCCACAATACATTGAAACCTACTCTGTCCCACATGCATACCTTTTCCAGTGGCAGGCCAATCAGGGACGAGATATGGGCGATCTCAACACACGAGTAAGGCTCAATCAGCCTCAGCAGATTCTGCTCCAGCAGCGAGTCGTACAGCGCTGCCAGGTGGCGGCTGATGATTGGATCGTCTGAGAGCTGGTGCTTGTAGGTGCGCAGAGCCTCCTCAAAGGCCTTGAGCGACCGCTGACTGTGCGCTGACGCGACGGTCTTCATCGCGTCCACCTCATCACCTGTGTACTTCAGGGCTGCCTTGCTGCCAATGATGCTTGCCACGTCATCTGCTTGATTCAGCATAATCTGTAAATAAAGGACGGCGGTAAAAAGAGCCAGAATCCCAAATGGAACAACTGACAGATAAGTTGATTCGAATGATGCTTTGCCCAACTGCATCCTGCTGGAAAACGATGTCAAGAAACAAGTACGAAAAGTCTGAACTTGCAGCCAGGCACAACCCAGTCTCAGACGCGTCATCATCACCTTGCAGAGCAACATGTATTTGAGGCAGGGAACGGTCTTGGGGTCGTCGAGTCCATTAAAGCACTCAAAAGCCTCGAAGAAGTACGAGTAGGCCGTCTTGTAGTCCTTCTCCTCCGCGTGCAGCACGCCCGACTGCATGTCGATCTGACCCTGCTGCGCCGGCGGCACGTAGATCGAGTTCGCCGCAGTTCGCGCCGCCGTTAACGCCGCCTTAGCCTTGGGAATGTTCCGGAGCTGATGGTGCAGGCGGCTCTCGAGCAGATCTATGTCGACCAATAGGAGCTTGTCGTCGAGCCGCCTGACCTCCCTGACAAGACTACTAGTTAACGCGAGCGCGGTCTGGTAGTCCTTCGTCTCCATGTACAGCGCGCCGAGTCTCGCCTCGACTCGCTGCCGAAGAAAGGTTCGCTTTTCCTTCTTGGTCCACTCGACCATTTCCTTGCAGAGCGCGAGCTGCACGTCTGTGCTGTTAGGGATCTTCGCTACCAGATCGATCACCGTACGGACGAGTTTCGCGGTCTTCGCCTTAGGAATAAGAGCGAAATAAGGACGTAAGTCAGTCAGCAGGTCGCGAAGCTCCTCCGCTTTTCCCTGCTTCGAGAGAATCTCGCCAAGGCTGCAAACGGCGGTCTCCTTCGTGCGAAGCGCATCAGCTGACGTGGCATCATCCTGGATAATCCCGCGATAAATCGCAGCAGCGGCTGAGGGATCGGTCGACGCGAGCTCAGACGCTCGCTCGAGGGATTCAGGCGTGGCGGGACACGACGAGGATGATGCAGCAGGCGGAGTCTCCGTGACCATGGCGTCTGCCATGATGGCTTCTAACAGCCGACTGTGCTATCGCAATTCCTGACTGAACGAACCGGGAATTAATCTCTAGAACCCTCGATTTCCCCCTGCAATATTTATCTCGGAGCTTTCTTCGAGGAATCTAGTGATCGAATTCCTGCCTCGGTTTAGACCGACGATAACTGCGTAGAGGAGAAATGATCTGACAAGGAATTCAAGCGAAGTATCAGTGAATCTGTGAATCTGTGAAATGGCTCTCCTCCTGGCAAAGAGCTGTTGGTGGCTGCCGTTTGCCAGGCGCAGGTGTACTTCGCGAAAGTGATTCAAGGTTTTGCGAGGTTTGCAGGTTTCGCCAATAAGGTTACGCAAACTTTCTACATATTGTAGCCAATCACAGTTGCCTGATACGAGCAGAAATGTTTCCCGCCTCTTCAGGCCTTTCGTGAAACTCCCAACCCAAGGCCTGCTTGAGAAGAATTCCGGCCATGAGCCGTGTGGAGTTCACTAGGCCGATATTCAGCCCCGTCCCTCCATCTCCCAGCCCATCATTCCTGGTTGCTCCCAGGCGTTGCTATGTTTCCCGTCACACCATCCTTCATGGAGGTTTCAGGCTTCAGCTTCTGGTCAATTCAACCCCCCCTGGTGGTTAAAAAACACACATGCCAGCCATTTATGACGCTGTAGAACCAGAGTCAGATACAGCTAAGGTTTTCCGGATTCCGAGGGCTCTGTGTCAGCGACTTCTAACCACTTAAGGATATCTTACCGAGAAGCAAGCCGTTTCGAAGGAGCTATTAGCACTCTTTCGTCTTAAGAGCATTCTGTTTCGTCCGTAGCCCTTTCGCATCCTTCAGTGGACGGCTTGCCTAGAAGGACCTGTCTGATGACGAGTTCGACGGATTTCCGTTTTTTCCTCTCGTGCGACATCAACTTACCCATACGCTTTAAAGTCGAAAGTCTTCTCGGCAACATCGATGCGAATGCCGGCTCAGCTGGAGGTATGCAGCCGCTACGATCACAGGACCTGTTACAAAGTCCTCGTCATGCACCTTTCCTCCTCTCGTCTGTTGAGTTTCTACCTTAATAAGATTCGTACAGCGTTTTTACTTCTGAGTGCAGAAGCCACCTCTTGCGCTCGCGAGCACAGCTCCCCCACCGAAGGTCACGGCGGAAGGCAGCCAAGCGCAAACGGTACATGGCTCGGTGATCCGGGTTGTCAGGAGGCAAGTGCTCTCTGCGTGGAGTGCGAGCTGTTCATCGACGGAGTCTCGTTTGGCCAACCCGTCGTCACGCGGTAATGGGCCTGGTAACCAGTGCGAGAATGTAACTGGTTTTCCTGAAACTGGATCAGAGCACCTTTCAGATATAGCCATCATTTCCGGAGCGTGCCTGCCTATTTTCGTTGTTTCGCTTCTCCATAAACGCATAAGAGTCGGTGATCTCAGTGTAACTCGTGCTCTTGAACGCTGCTCAATCCGACAGGAATGCAACATGGAGTGAGGCAGATGGCGGGAGATGGCGATGGGACGAATGGGTCCTACTGACAGCCAAATACTGCGACCTGTCTGCTTACTCCTTCATTGCGTTCACTGTGAGATAATTTTTCCGAGCCCTTCTTTTCAGCCTAGCTGCTATCGTGCCGACTCCTTATGTCGGATATTCATGCTTTCCAGGGTAACTCATCTCGTTTCCAACAAGTCATTCTTCTACTCGTTCCAACTTCCTGTTCACGCGCTCCTCCTCTCTCACTCCCATCCCATCTGGCCTTTTGACAGATCTGGGACATGAAGCGTCCGAACAGGCCACGTGTAGTTGGAGGCACCACACTCCCTCTCTTCTCCCACACCATGTCAGCGCATCCTCCCCCGTCACCCCCCTCCCCCTCACCACGATCATCATCACCACTTCCACCCCACACACCGCTCCCTAGCATCCCGGACGTCCTCTCTCCTTATCCTGACGCCTGCTTCGGTGCGGATTTAGGCGCACTCCCAGGTTTGGCGCCAGGCTCGGGCGTGGGTTTGGCAGCAGGCGCTCAGATGCAGCACATGCTGAAGATGGGGCGGTTCAAAGCACGCGTGTGGCAGGGGAAGAAGGCTGACGGAGGGGTGCCCTGCAGAACACCAGGGAAGGTGAATATTTATTTTGACGTGCATCTGAATTGTCTCAGAATGAACCCTGCTGCTGTTCTCTATTCGATCTCTGCCCTTTTTCCCACTAATTTTGCCTGCTCTCTCTAGTCTCCAATCTCATCCCTCTGTATCCTGCCTTGTCCTCCTGTCGTTTCAGGTCCCCAAGGAGGAGCAAGGGGAGACCGAGAGGTTGGAGCGGTTGGTGAATCGCTATGACCGTGCCCAGATGGCACGAGCCGATTGGCTGGACGATCTCGCCTTTGCGGCCATTGACACCATTCTTGAGGGGGAGGAGAAGGAACGTTCCAGGAAGCGGGGGAGCATGGCGCCAAGACTAGTTGTGGAGTTTCCAACGTTTGACCATCCAGTGGCGTTTCAGGTGGGGACTGGATGAAAGAACTGATTTGAGGCACCATTTCACTTAGGGGACTGGGGACTGGAGGACACGCTGATCAAAGGCAGCGTTTCAGGTAGGGGACTGGCTGTAGACAGATGTAAGAATGGGTGGGTCGATGGGTTGGGGGTTAACTGGAAGGTTGATAATTAAGAGGCTCAGAGCTCATCTGAATTGTCCTATCCGAATCTTTCCATGTTTTGTCATCGTCTGTTGGCTGTGTTCAGTCAATTTCCCAACCTGGTACCATCTATCCATCTCAACTTTCACCACCACCCCTCTGCGTCCTCCCATCTGTCCTCTCTTCCCACCGCAGGAGCTAGGCGCAGCAGGAGTGGCAGGGGTAGGTACTACCGCGGCAGCAGGGGGCGCTATCAGCAGCAGTACACTAGGCACAGGGGCGATACCCATAGGAGTGGCGCCCATCCCGGCGAGCAACGAGGTGGTGGTGCTGTGGGACCCAGAGATCGAGCAGCGCGTGAACCCCGCAGAGGCCAAGCAGCTGAAGCTCACACGCATGCTCACGAGAGGCAACATGGAGAGGGATCTCAAGCCCAACCTGGCAGAGAGGAAGTAAGTAGTGACACGGGGGAGGGGGGGCTAGGGCTTAACGGGTGAACCCTGCACAGGCAGAGCAGCCAAAGCTCACACGCATGCTCACGAGAGGCAACATGGAGAGGGATCTCAAGCCCAACCTTGCAGAGCGGAAGTATGTGCTGTGAAGGGGGAACGAGGGAGGCGTACTAGTTGATTGCATGTTTCACACATGGTAATGACGACAGTGCAGGCTCCTTATTGGCCACTTTTTACTTTTCCTTTCCTGCTGCATGTCTCCCTCATATTCTCCCATGTCGTGTGCATCAGGGCCATCGCCACCATCCTGAGCTACCCCCCCACGCAGTCTTTGTCCCCAGAGGACGTGCAGCTGCTGTGGCGCTTCCGCTTCTCCCTCACCACCGACCGCCGCGCGCTCACCCGCTTCCTGCGCTGCGTTGACTGGAGCGATGCCGAGGTGAGGGGGACTGGCTGAAGTGCTGAGGTAAGGGGGGTGGTCGGAGTGCCGTGGCGACCAGGGACCGGCAGTGCTTCTCCCTCATCACTGACCACCAGGATTTCACCCGCTTCCTGCGCTGCATTGACTGAAGCGATGCCGAGATGAGAGGGATGCTTGCAGGGCTGAGAGCCTGAGGCTAAGGGAACGGTTGGAGTGCTCTGGTGGGGGATGATTGGAGTTCTGAGCTAAGGACATTTGGCTGGATGGCCAGAGTGAAGAGGTGGGTAGGATGGCCGTAATGCAATGGTGGGGAGGAAGGATTTTCTTTCTCTCTTGAGCACGGGCTGCTGCTGATTCACACATGGGGCCCCATCACTACTGGTGATGCTACCTGTGCTCCGGTTGACACTTCTGACTGTTTCCATCTGTGTGCCCCTCCATGCGTTTCTCCTCACCACTACCAGGAGGCGCGAGAGGGTACAGAGCTGATGTACGCATGGGCTCCTATCGACACTGCTGATGCTCTCGAACTGCTCTGCCCCACTTTCTCCTGTGAGGAGGTGAGTGCTCTGCCTCACAACAAACCAAGTGTTCCAGTGCTCTGGTGGGCTTCGACCGGTGTGCTTTCGACCGGTGTCCTTTCGACCGGAGTGCTTTGGACCGGAGTGCTTTGGTCCGGAGTGCTTTGGACCGGAGTGCTTTGGACCGGAGTGCATTGGACCGGAGTGCTTTGGATCGGAGTGCTTTGGATCGGAGTGCTTTGGACCGGAGTGCTTTGGACCTGAATGCTTTGGACCGGAGTGCTCTGGACCGGTGTGCTTTTGACCGGAGTGCTTTGGACCGGCGTGCTTTGGCAGGGGGGGAAGTGGCACGGGGGGTTAGTGGCACGGGGGGTAGTGGCACAGGGGGTAGTGACACGGGGGGTAGTGGCACGGAGGGTAGTGGCACGGAGGGTAGTGGCACGGGGGGTAATGGCACGGAAGGTAGTGGCACGGGGGGTAGTGGCACGGCGGGTAGTGGCACGGGGGGTAGTGGCACGGCGGGTAGTGGCATGGGGGGTAGTGGTACGGAGGGTAGTGGCACGGGGGGTAGTGGCAGGGGGGGTAGTGGCGGGGGGTAGTGGTACGGGGGGTAGTGGCACAGAGGGTAGTGGCACGAAGGGTAGTGGCACGGAGGGTAGTGGCGCAGGGGGTAGTGGTACGGAGGGTAGTGGCACGGGGGGTAGTGGCAGGGGGGGTAGTGGCGGGGGGTAGTGGCACGGGGGGTAGTGGCACGGAGGGTAGTGGCACGAAGGGTAGTGGCACGGAGGGTAGTGGCACGGGGCGTAGTGGCATGGAGGGTAGTGGCACGGGAGGTGGTGGCACGGGGGGTGGTGGCATGGGGGGTGGTGCTTTTCGTCGGGAGTGCTTTCGACCGGAGAGCTCTGGACCGGAGTGCTTTCGACCGGAGTGCTTTCGACCGGAGTGCTTTCAACCATAGTGCTTTGGGCGGGAATGCTTTGGTCCGGAGTGCTTTGGTCCGGGGTGCTTTGGACCGGAGTGCTTTGGACTGGAGTGCTTTGGGCCAGAGTGCTTTCGACTGGTGTTCTTTGCGACAGGAGTGCTTTGGATCGGAGTGCTTTCGATCGGTGTCCTTGCGACCCGTGTCCTTTGGACCAGAGTACTTTTGACCAGTGTCCTTGCGACCGGTGTCCTTTGGACCGGAGTGCGTTCGACCGGTGTGCTTTCGACCGGTGTCCTTTCGGCCGGAGTGCTTTCGAACGGTGTCCTTTCGACGGGAGTGCTTTCGTTTGGTGTGCTTTCATCTGGTGTGCTTTCGATTGATGTCCTTTCGACCGGTGTCCTTTCAGCCGGGTGAGGGAGGGGGCGGCGAGCTTGCCTCTAGGCTCTAGTTACTCGCTAGCTTTTCTGCAGCTCCACTGCTCTGCGGGTGAGGGAGGGGGTGGGGAGAGTTTCTTTCTTTCTGTGGCACGTCTGCTTTCGTGGCCCTACTGCACCCATGCACTCTAAGCCACTGTTTTCGCCCACACTCCACCCTTCAACTGATAGCAGGTGCGGCCCTATGCGGTGACCGTGTTGGGGCTAGCTTGAGACGAGGAGGTGGGAAGCTACCTGTTACCCCTGCTGCCTTTCACCCCACTGATCACCCTCAACGTGTGCTGGTGGCAGGTGCGGGCGTACGCAGTGATGGTGTTGGAGCGTGCCGGGGACGAGGAGCTGATAAGCGATCTACTCAAGCTTTCTTTCCACCTCTCCCACCCTGCTGGTGGCAGGTGCGGGCGTACGCAGTGACGGTGTTGGAGCGTGCCGGGGACGAGGAGCTGAAGAGCTATCTGCTGCAGCTGGTGCACGCTCTCCGATACGAACGCTCCGACTTCTCCAACCTCGCCCTCTTCCTCATCTCCCGAGGTAAGCGCGGCCCCAAGTCAGATGCGTGTCGTTTGAAACACTCCAAACACGTGCATACTCCTCTCCTTGTCCTCGATATCACCTCTGTGTTACACCTCCCCTTCAGACCTGCAGTTTTTTCTCATGTGCACGTCCGCTTAGAGCACTTCAAACATCACATACTTCTCTCCGATTCCTCAATATCACCTCCGTGTTTACACCACCCCCTCAACCTTAATCTTCGTTACTCTCGTTTCCTCATCTCATCTCATCTCTTTTCTTCCTCTCATTCGTTGCGTTTCTTGCAGGCTGCCATAAATTTGAACTCGCCAATTTCCTGCACTGGTATCTGCAGGTGGAGAGGCAGGTGCGTGAGGTATCCTGTATGCAGATGAGTGAATGCTTGCACATGGGATGACTGAGAGGCGCACATGGGATGACTGAGAGGCGCACATGGGATGACTGAGAGGCACACATGGGATGACTGAGAGGCACAGAATGTCGCTTGATGATGATTCAGACTCCAGCAGTCTACCAGTTACGCTTTAGAAGGCTTGTTGCACTTCTTTGCCTGCCATGCCTTATTCCATCTTACACCTTCTATGCCCCCATTCCCACTTATTCTCTCCCAAATTCCTCACCCCGTTCTGCTGCTATCACAGGATCACGTGTTTGCATCCCGCTATGCCTTCGTGCACGACCATCTCCTGGCCACCTTACTAGAGGTGCGTTCCCTTTCCAGCATCCTCTCTCGTCTCTGTCTACGCTGTGCTTTCAATGCCCCCTGCATCCCGCCTCTTTTGCCTCCGCCTTGACGTCCTTTTCTCCGGCAATCTCTCTCTCACCCTCTCCCCTCCATCCCACCCCTCCTGTCTCCTCAGTTGGGTCCAGAGGGAGCGGAGGTGCATGCGCAGCTGATGCGGCAGTGGCTTATGCTTGCTCCCTCTCCATTCACTCCCTCCCCTCCCTTCATAAATCTCAGTTGGGTCCAGAGGGAGCGGAGGTGCATGCGCAGCTGATGCGGCAGTGCGAGCTGGACACAGCGCTGGCGGGCACCATGCAGGCGATCAATGCAGTGCGGGGCAGCACAGCCCGCAAGGTGGAGCAGCTGAGGGCGCTGCTGAGTGCCGACAGGGATGGCAGTCTAGCTAACTTCGCTCAGGTATGGCTCCACGGGCAGGGATAGGTTAGGGGCTGTTGGAGCGCTGAGGGGCATCATGCAGGCGATCAAGGCTGTGCGGGGCAGCACGGCCCACAAGGTGGACCAGCTGAGGGCGCTGCTGAGCTCTCCCCCCCTCCTCTCCCCCCCCCAACACACACCTCTCCTACAGCCCCTAGCTCTGCCCGTGGAGCCATCCATTTGAGTGGTGGGGATAGCAGCAGTGGATTCAAGCGACTTCAAGAGCATGCTGCACCTGAAACCCCCTCTCTACGGCCCCCCACCCCAACCCCCCCCCCCCATACCTCTCCTACAGCCCCTAGCCTTGCCGGTGGACCCATCCATTCGAGTGGTGGGGATAGCGGCGGAGGAGTCGAGTGTGTTCAAGAGCATGCTGCACCCGCTGAAGCTGTCGTTCAGGCGGGAGGACGGGGGGCTGTGCCGCGTCATCTTCAAGAAGGGCGACGACCTCAGGCAGGACCAGCTGGTGAGACGACCCCAGGCAGGACCAGCTGGCGAGACGACCCCAGGCAGGACCAGCTGGTGAGACGACCCCAGGCAGGACCAGCTGGTGAGACGACCCCAGGCAGGACCAGCTTGTGAGACGACCCCAGGCAGGACCAGCTGGTGAGACGACCCCAGGCAGGACCAGCTGGTGAGACGACCCCAGGCAGGACCAGCTGGTGAGACGACCCCAGGCAGGACCAGCTGGTGAGACGACCCCAGGCAGGACCAGCTGGTGAGACGACCCCAGGCAGGACCAGCTGGTGAGACGAGGTAATGCGACCCAGGGTCAGCGTATCAGCGGGTCAGCAGCGGGTCAGCGGGTCAGCGGATCCGGCAGGATGAGCTGGTGAGGATGAGGTGATTCCGGCCATGGGAGGATTTCTGAAAGCTGCTGGTCTCTTTGCTGAACAGCAGGAACGGGATCAGCTTCCTGTGTCTCTGCCATGCGCTTTAGGGTCATTCCCTATTCCCAGTCCACTCCCCGTCCTCTCTGTCCGGCTCATCCCCTTCCTCCCCCACCCCACCAAACTAATCCGTGTCCGACCTTGTTTCCACTCCTCATCCCCCCCCCTCCTCACCACACTTGACTCTGATGGGGACGCTCATGGGCCATCTGCTCAAGAAGGAATACCTCGGTCTCGGCCTCACGAGTCACGCCCTACTGCTTATTAGTGCTCCCTGCCCCCCCTCCGCAACCCCCTCTCTTTCTCCCTGCTCACCGCCCCATGTGTATGAGTGCAGGTGATTCAGATGGTGACGCTCATGGACCGTCTGCTGAAGAAGGAGAACCTCGACCTCTGCCTCACGCCGTACCGCGTGCTCGCCACCGGGGCGGACCAGGGCTTTGTGGAGTTCGTCCCCTCCATGCCCCTTGCTCAGGTACGCATGCTTTCTCAGGTGTTTCCGGGTGTTTCCGGCTTTCTCAGTGTCCCCTCCATGGCCAAGGGGCGGACAACCCATGTCCGTACAGTCTGCAGTCTCAAATTTCCCCCACCAGTTCGCACTTCCCCTCCCAGCTTCCCACCTACTTGGGATTTGGATCTGAGCAGTATTTTACATGCTCTTGAGCCCCTAAACAAAGTACGGATGCAAAAAAAGGGCTTAGTCGATGTTCATTACTTGGAAATAACTCAATTTGTTACCTCATGGTCCAACGCCCAAGCGCTTGGACATGGGGCAAAAGTACCTATGCCATAGTTTTCCACCTACTTTGAATTTGGATATGTGCAGTAGTCTACACCCCTGAACTAGTTACAAATGCATGAAAATAAAATTGAGTGATGCTCACCAAATGTAAATAACTCAAGTTGTTAGCTCATGGGCTAACACCCAAACGCTAGGACATGTGGCAAAAGTACCTATGCCATAATTTCCCACCATCTTGGGATTTGGATATGAGGAGAAGTCTACATGCTCTTCAGCCTCTAAATTAACTACATATTAAAAAAAAAATGCTTTGGTGATGCTCATTACTTCGAAATAACTCAAGTTATTACCACATATGCCAACACCCAAGCGCTAAGACATGAGGTAAAAATACCTATGCCATAGCTTCCCACCTACTTGGGATTTGGATTTGAGCAGAAGCCTACATGCTCTTGAGACCCTAAACTAACCACGGATGCAAAAAAAAAGAGCCCAAGTCATGATGCCCAAGTCAGCATGCCCAAGTTAGCATGCCCAAGTCAGCATGCCCAAGTCAGCATGCCCAAGTCATCATGCCCGAGTCATCATGCCCAAGTCATCATGTCCAAGTCATCATGCCCGAGTCATCATGCCCAAGTCATCATGCCCAAGTCATGATGCCCAAGTCATGATGCCCAAGTCATCATGCCCAAGTCATCATACCCACGTCATGATACCCAAGTCTCCATGCCCAAGTCATCATGCCCACGTCATCATGCCCAAGTCATCATGCCCACGTCATCATGCCCAAGGGCTTGGATGGGTTTGGATGAGTTTGGATGGGTTTGGATGGGCTTGGATGGGCTCGGATGGGCTTGCTTGGATGGGCTTGGATGGGCTTGGATGGGCTTGGATGGGCTTGGACGGGCTTGGATGGGCTTGGATGGGCTTGGACGGGCTTGGATGGGCTTGGATGGGCTTGCTTGGATGGGGTTGGATGGGGTTGGATGGGGTTGGATGGGCTTGGGCGGGCTTGGGCGGGCTTGGATGGGCTTGGATGGGCTTGCTTGGATGGACTTGGATGGGCTTGGATGGGCTTGGATGGGCTTCCTGAAAACCCAGCCCCTCCCACCCCCCCACACACACCCCTCGTGCAACGCTTTCCCCCACCCCCCAATACACCCCTCATGCAAAGCTTTCCCCCACCTCCCTCCTCTCCAGGTGCTGTCGGAGTACCGGTCCATCAACCCGGACCCTAGGCACCTGAATACTAGAGCCCCCCCCTCCCCCCCTCCCCTCCGATCTCCCTCCTCTCCAAGGTGCTGGCAGAGTACCGGTCCATCGAGCGCTACCTGCACCAGTTCCACCCGGACCCTGACTCGCCGCACGGCATCACGCCCACGTGCCTCGACACCTTCATCCGCAGCTGCGCTGGTTATTGCGTTACCATGTACATCCTGGGCGTCGGAGACAGGCAAGTGGCAAGCCTATGAGGTGGTTAATTCCTGCGCTGGTTACTGCGTTACCACGTTTGCCAGGGGCATCGGAGATATGCAAGTGTTAGGATCGGTGCATGAGGGAGCTGGTTACCGCATTGCCACAGTGCACAGACAGGCGTCTGTTCCACATTGACTGTGTTACTCCGTATACCACCTACCCCCCCCGCCCCCTGTCCTGGCAACCAGCAACCTGGACAACCTGCTCCTGTGCATGGACAGCCGTCATTTCACATTGGCATTGGCTACATTGTTGGTTGTGTTGTTTGCATTGTCTCCACTCCCCCTCCCAACTCCGGGCATTCAGACACTTGGACAATCTCCTGCTGTGCACGGACGGCCGCCTATTCCACATTGACTTCGGCTACATCTTTGGGCGCGATCCCAAGCCCTTCCCGCCGCCCATGAAGCTCTGCAAGGAGATGCTGGATGCCATGGGAGGCGCATCCAGGTGAGATTCTGGATGCCATGGGAGGCGCTGTGGGGCTTTCCAATAGTTTGCAACCACCCTGAGTGGTATTCGAGTGGTTTGCCACCACAATTAGTGGTTTTCGAGTGGTTTGCCACCAACCTGAGTGGCTTTTGAGTAGGGTTGAGCAAAATACCCGCGCGGGTCGAGTACCCGGACCCGGATCCGCTTTTTGGGCGGGTCGGGTATCTGGCTTCCCATAAATTACTCGGGGGGTCAGGTCCGGGTACCCAGGCGGGTAATTGCTACCCGTTACCCGACATGTCGGGTAACGAGTACCCGCCGGGTCAGGTATTTGATACCCAAATTCGGGTAATAACCCGAAAGCGGGTCAGGTATACCCGACCCGAAATCGGGTCGCTCTGCTACCCGTCGGCAGCAGTGCGACCAAAATGTGTGAGCGTTGGAAATTTCAACCATTTGGTCGAAATTTCCAGCCCAGCTCGCCAGATCTAGTTTCGACCTAGCCTAAGCTTACATCTTCCACCTCCAAATCTAAGCCGCTTTAGCATCACACCCGTCCACACCCTGATAGTTGGAGTGGTTTTCCACTACCCTGAGTGGTTCTCCTGTGGCTTCCCACCACACTGATTGGTTTTCGAGTGGTTTGCCACCATGGTGAGTGGCATCCGAGTAGTTTGCCACCACCGCGAGTGGCATTCGAGTGGTTTGCCACCACCGTGAGTGGCGTTCGAGTGGTTTGCCATCACCGTGAGTGGCATTCGAGTGGTTTGCCACTACCGTGAGTGGCATTCGAGTGCTTTGCCACTAGCGTGAGTGGCATTCGAGTGCTTTGCCACCTGAGTGACATTCGAGTGGTTTGGCACCACCGTGAGTGGCATTCGAGTGGTTTGCCACCATGGTGAGTGGCATCCGAGTGGTTTGCCACCACCGCGAGTGGCATTCGAGTGGTTTGCCACCACGCGGAGTGGCGTTCGAGTGGTTTGCCAGCACCGTGAGTGACATCTGAGTGGTTTGCGACCACCGTGAGTGGCATTCGAGTGGTTTGCCACCACCGTGAGTGGCATTCGAGTGGTTTGCCACCATGCTGAGTGGCGTTCGAGTGGTTTGCCACCACGCGGAGTGGCATTCGAGTGGTTTGCCACCACCGTGAGTGACATTCGAGTGTTTTGCCACCACTGTGAGTGGCATTCGAGTGCTTTGCCACTACCGTGAGTGACATTCAAGTGCTTTGCCACCACCATGAGTGACATTCAAGTGGTTTGGTACCACCGTGAGCGGCATTTGAGTGGTTTGCCACAACCGTGAGTGGCATTCAAGTGGTTTGCCACCCTCGTGAGTGACATTCGAGTGGTTTGCCACCACCCTGAGTGACATCCGAGTGGTTTGCCACCACCGTGAGTGGCATCCGAGTGGTTTGCCACCACCGTGAGTGGCATCCAAGTGGTTTGCCACCACCGCGAGTGGGATTCGAGTGGTTTGCCACCACCCTGGGTGGCATCCGAGTGGTATGCCACCACCGTGTGCCATTCGAGTCGTTTGCCACCACCGTGTGCTATTGAGTGGTTTGCCACCACGCTGAGTGGCATTCGAGTGGTTTGCCACCACCGCGAGTGGTTTGCCACCACGGTGAGTGGCATCCGAGTGGTTTGCCACCACAGTGAGCGGCATTCGAGTGGTTTGCCACCACGCTGAGTGGCATTCGAGTGGTTTGCCACCACCGCGAGTGGTTTGCCACCACGGTGAGTGGCATCCAAGTGGTTTGCCACCACAGTGAGCGGCATTCGAGTGGTTTGCCACCACCGTGAGTAGCATTCGAGTGGTTTGCCACCACGTTGAGTGGTTTTTGCACACTGAGTGAGTCGCCCATCACCGTCATTCACCGACCTGTTCCTCGCAGGCCATAGTACCTAGTATTCCGCCCTTCTGTTATGCGTTCAACACCTTGAGGACCATCCAACCGCTTTCCTCTTCCTCTTCCTCTTCCCCAATCCCTTCTCTTTTCTTTCTCCCTCCCACCCTCTCTGCCAGGCCTGAGTACGTGCGCTTCCGCTCCTACTGCTGCGGGGCTTGCAATGTCTTCATCCGACCCCTGTTCTTCTCCTTCCCACTGCCCCTCTGCCAGCCCCGAGTACGTGCGCTTCCGCTCGTACTGCTGCGAGGCGTTCAACATCCTGAGGGCCAGCAGCCGCCTCTTCCTCAACCTCTTCCACCTCATGGCGCACGCCAGCATCCCCGACATCGCCTCGCACGACCCCGACCAGTTGTTAACCAAGGTGTGTCGTGATGTTTATAGCAGAAGTGTTGTTTGATCATGGCGCACGCCAGCATCCCGGGCATTGCCTCACATGACCCTGACCAGCGGCTCACCAAGGTGTGCTAAGGGGTGATGGCATGGCATGGAGTGCCATGGTGCACTCTAGCATCCCGGACGTTGCATTGCACTACTTATGTCAGCAGCTCACCAATTTATGCTGAAATTTCTTAATCTGGTTTGGCCATGGACTATGGCGCATGCCACCATCCATGACTCAGCATCCCATGACCCTGATAGGTGTGTCGGGGTTAGGTGGAACATCCGATGGTGGTACCGCAACATCCGATGGTGGTACCGCAACATCCGATGGTGGTACGGCAACACTTTCCTCTCTCCCTTGCATGTCCCCCCCTTCACCCCCCGCAGTTGCAGCAGAAGTTCCGCCTGGATCTGGACGATGAGGCGGCGGTGCAGTTCATCCAGGCGCTCATCAACGAGTCCGTGTCCGCGCTGCTGCCGCAGATGGTCGAGACCATCCACCGCTGGGCGCAGTACTGGCGGTGACACGGGTGTGCACCATTGAATGCGAAGGTTTCATCCAGGCTCCAGTCCAATCCAGTGGCGCTCTTCATCGAGGCGAGTGGACTGTAGTGCCTTCGACCTGCTGACGCACATGATGGAGAACATTCACCACTGGGTGCAGGACTTGCAGTGAGAAAGAGCCTACCGCAGACCTGAATGCTGCCTGGTTGTTCGACGAGTGTACAGCCGGGCTTTGAATAGGTGTACATAGCCGTAATACCCAAGGATGTCAAGAGCTTTCACATAGGAAATCTCATTCCAACACATGTATGTTCTCGATCAACTGTTGAAGTGTGGCTCATGCCAGTCACACTCAAGTGTAGCTGTGGGGGTAGTTCTCAATTATGTACATATGTTACAGGATAAGGAAACCCATCCTCTGCAGAATAGTGTGCTTGTATCTGCTTTAATCTCCTCCACAGTTAATGCACTTCTTGTGTTCATCAGTCCATCAATGGCAACAGCTTCTTCATGTGTGCAGTGCAAACATTTACTCAACATCATAAGCTACATACAAATGTACAGCAGCAGGACCCACCCCTGTGCAATCTACCGGTAAGATCACCGTCCCATCCCAGCATCTGTCTGAAGACCTCCAACCTCCTCATCCCCAGCCTTCAATACGTGCCTTACATGCCTTCGCCCCAGCCTCTTCACCCGCAACAGCTATCGCCGGCCACAGGGGAGAGGTTGGCCTTGGCCGGACCCTGAATCACCTGCCCAGATGTGTCGAACTGGGACCCGTGGCACGGGCAGTCGAAAGTCTTGTCGTTTGGGTTCCACCTGACCGCGCACTTGAGGTGCGGGCAGACAGCTGGAGGCAGGAAGGGGCGTTGGTGAGACAGGGGAGAGACACGTGGAGAATAGTGAAGATCAGGCATCAACACTCTTGTAAGAGCCATGCTCCAATGTACAAGCAAGCTTCTCTGACGATGCATGCTGCACTGAAGGCATGCCCCAAACTGCCCCGCTAGTCCCAACATCCTGTGTTTTCCCCCTGTTCTTTCACCTGAGAACCGCTTCAGCTTGCCCTCCTCAGTGCGGTACACTGCCTGCTTGTGCAGCCCCACCGCCACCAGGGCGCCCTCCCCCGGCTTCACGTCATTGACGGATCGCACATCCCCTGGCACAAACAGCAGATCAAAGGCGTAGCCCTGGTGCGAGGGACGACACGGAGGGGGGGGGGGGGAAGTGATTTAAGTTGGGCGAGTGGGGGATGGCAAGGGGATAGTCAGTTGAAAGGAAAGGGCGGCTGACAACGGAGCAAGCATCTTCTCACTGCATGCCTGCCAAACCCCACCACCACTCACCTGAGCTGTGCCCCAAGTGATGGGGGCGATGCTCTGCGCTGTCTCCTGCATATGTCTACCAGACACCACCACGTGTCCACCAATCATACACCGCCACATCATGCACCATCACTCACCTGGGCCGTGTCGCGTGTGATGGTGGCGATGCTCTCAGCTGTCTCCTGGGAGAGCGGGGGAAGCCGGCGCGGGTCATAAAGCTCCTGCCACTCGCTGCGGCCCGAGAGAATCAGATCCGACACCACGAGGCCGGAGATGGTGCCGCCCGTCATGCCCTGCCCGCTGTTGCCTGGCGGGCGGCAGCGCATCGGCACAGGGAGGGGAAGAGAGGAGGAGGGGAATGAGGGTGGAGATGCCGTGTGAAACCAGCCTTTGACATGCACACACGGGAATCGATTCCTGGTGTGTCGTGCATGCAGGCAACAGCGAGCAGGCACCCTGCGCCATAACATGTTGTGACGGCATACCTGTGACAACGTAGACGTCCTTGGATGGGCGGTTCACGAGAGGGTTCTTGCCGTACAGCCCGAGGAAGTCCACTGGCTCATACACCTGCCGTTGTGAGAGGTGGGGGGGAAGGGGTGGTGTGGAGGCGTGCAAATGGTGCGGGCGAGATGAATGGGGCAGAGGAAGGCCAGGAGGGCAACATGGGCGGGTTTCCGCCGTACAGCCCAAGCAATTCCGCCGGCTTGTACACCTGGCAGGCAGAGAGGCACGCATTAAGGGCGTGCAGCAGGGGAGAGGGCCAGAAGGATAGGAGAACGGAGGAGTGGAAATAGCGGAAGTGCAATGGAATGAGGAGTGTCAGAAACAGCAGGAGCAAATTGCTTCATGACTCGGAGCAGGCGGGCTGCCCAAGTCAAGCAGGCTGGAGAGGGCCCTCACCTGGCCAGTCCACCGGAACACAACTTTCCCCGCCGAGGTCCACCGCTCCCTGGCCCACCGCTCCAGGCGCTCATACGCCCGCGGATACTCCTTGGGGGCCAGCACGCCCGTGGGGTGGTCCTCCCCGCCCACTATCAGCGTGTCCGCCTCTGACTCGCCGCCGCGGCCGGGGGCGATGCGCACGTAGTGGTAGGGGGACGCCGTGTCCCACCACTGTGCACGGCTGGTGAGGGGAGGGGCAGTGGGGGAGGGGCAGTGGGGGAGGGGCAGTGGGGGAGGGGCAGTGGGGGAGGGGCAGTGGGGGAGGGGCAGTGGGGGAGGGGCAGTGGGGGAGGGGCAGTGGGGGAGGGGCAGTGGGGGAGGGGCAGTGGGGGAGGGGCAGTGGGGGAGGGGCAGTGGGGGAAGGGCAGTGGGGGAGGGGCAGTGGGGGAGGGGCAGTGGGGGAGGGGCAGTGGGGGAGGGGCAGTGGGGGAACGGGAGAAGGGAGTCGGGAGGAGGAGAGGGAGTGTGCTATCAGTCGAAGCGCGTGTAGTGGCAGGGAGAGGCCGCATCCCACCACTGCTTACGGCTGGTGGGGGCAGGGGGGCGATGTGGGGAAGCGCAAGACAAAAATCAGGCCGAGAGCACAGGAAGTTGGCAATATACTCGCCACTCACAAGGTGCCATGCCGTCGCTTCTGCTACACTCAGGTTAGCCACAAATAGCATGCCTGCATGCCCTGCCAGTCGAGCACCCCAATCCAATCTCACCACACTGCAACCCCACCCCACACCCTTCCTCACTCACTGCACACTGCCCTTGGGAACCGCCAGTCCGACCACATAGGTGCGGTCCGCGCTCTGGCGGGCGTGCACGGCGAGGTTGTGGTTGATCGGCGAGTTGGTGGCCAGTACGACGCTGCCAGCTGTCACGCGCACGCCCGTGTTGAGCTCGAGCGCGGTGGAGAGCGACGAGTTGCGGATGACCCGCGTGTTCTCGTGGATGCGCCCGCCCATGGCGGTGACGGCCTCTGCTAGGCCCTGCAGGTACCTGCAACGCATGGCACGAGACGGGAGAGATGGAGACAACCGAAGGCAGGCTTGCTCCCGTGAAAATTCCGGTCCCTAGGTGAGCAATGGAGGCGTGCTTGGAGTCCAAAACGTAGAGGGCTGACTTGAGGGCGACTCACTTGAGCGGGTGGAAGTCAGCGGCGTTGGGGAAGCGCAGCGCGGAGGACAGTGACCCCAGGGCGGGGTCGCCCTGCACGTCCACCAGAGAGGCGTCCACGCCAATGCGCTGACAGGCTGCCAGCTCCTGGTGAACAGGGGGGAGAGATAGAGGGGGAGTTAGGGAGGTGAGGTGAATCCGGTAGCGAGAGCTTGTACGAAGGAGATGACTATTGAGGTGAATAACTAACCTCAATAGTCCTCTCAACCTCCTTCGTACTGTCTCTCATTGTAGTATTCACTTCTCAATAAATGCCACACTACGGCTGCAGAACCCCACCTGCAGCATCTTGCGGTTGGCCTCATCAGAGCTATCATGTGGGAAGAGGTACCCGTCCACGCGCTCAAACTCGCACTCTATCCCGCGCTCCCGCACCACACGCTCCACCCAATCAATGGCTGCCACGTGGCTTCTGCCCACCAGCGCCGCCCGGCGCCGCCCGAAGAGGCGCTCGAGCACGCTGTAATAGTCGTCGTTCCACGGCATGAGGTGCGCCGTCGTGCGGCCCGTCTGGCCGGAACCTGCACAAGTGTGGTGAGGGGAAAGGAAAGCAGCGGGGACCAGGTGAATGAACCAGCTCGTCTCAGCCGCAACCTGCCTGCGCTCCGACCCTTCAACATCATGTGGTACATGGGACGAGGAAGAAAGAAGGCGCGTGCAGAGAGCAACAAAAGAGGCATACTGATAACACGGGCCTATCATACCGATGGCGCGCGCCTCCAGCACCACCACGGACAGGTCCTTGCGCCCTCCTCCACCTGCGGCCTTCCCCCTCCTGTGCTTCTCCAACAGCGCGTACGCCACGCTGAGCCCGTTGATGCCGCCGCCCACCACCGCCACGTCCACCGTCAGATGTTCGTGCAGCGGGGGGCACGGCGCGGATACGCCCTCCTGCCCCCACACCGTGCGCCTCAGCCCCGTTACTGCCGGCGCGCTGGAGGGTTGGGGCTGACGTGGCGGGGAGTGCTCGGGCCGCTGCTCCTGCTGCTGCTGACTGTCTTGCCGCTCCTCCTTGCGCTGCTGCTCGTGACCCAGTGCCTTGTCCGCCGCACCGGCCTGAGCACCAGCAGCCGCAGACAGGGCAGCGCCAGGAGCTACAACCCCCCCTGCGCCCAGAAAGGCCGACTCAGCGGCCTCACCACTCTCATCACCGTCCGCTCTCTCCTCGTTCCTACGCACTCTCACCTCCTCCCAGCCCTCCCTCTGCTCTCCCCCACTTGTTGTACTTTCCTCCCCCATCCCCTCCGCAGCAGCAGTGGCGGCATACACGCTGGCAGCTTGAGCGGCGGCCTCGGCTGCCATCTCAGCTGCCAGCTCGGCCGCTGCTGCTGACGCCTCCGCCACGTCGTCTGACACATCCTCCACGTCACCTTCTGGAGTGTAATCCTCACTGCGTGCCACATCAGCCGCATCTTTCGCATCGTTATCCTCACTAGCAGACGCCCGCCGCCATCCCCCCAGCCGCCCCACCTGTCCGCCTATCCTCCTTAGCAAATCCCCGCGCCCATGCACGCGCGCTGCGTACGAGCGCCATACCGCACGGCTCGCGGTCAGGGAAGGCGCGGAAACGGGAAGCGCGCATACGGTGGGGGCGCGCGCACGGGGGGCGGGGAGTGGGTGCGCAACACACGGCAAGGAGGCGCGGGCAGCGGCGAGAGGGGCTGATAGGAGCGCCATGATCCGCGCTGAAGAGCGTTTCGCAGCGGACCGAGAGAGAAAAGCGGCGAGGGAGGGGCGAATTCAAAAGAAGCACGGAGTCGAGCCAAGGGAGCACAGCGCGCAGCAAGGAATGGCAACGACGGTGGGTACTTGAGAGGGCGGCGAGGGCGAGGGGAGCGAGGAGAGGCGAGAGCGAGGGGAGGAGAGGCGAGAGCGAGGGGAGGAGAGGCGAGAGCGAGGGGAGGAGAGGCGAGAGCGAGGGGTCTGGCGGCCATTTCCGCGGGGAGCAGACGAGCATCGTGGCGCCGCGCGAGGGCGGAGCGCATCGGGCGATGCATGGCTGCGCTGTGCGATCAGCACGTGCCGGCGATTAGTGGGCCTGGAAATGCTCGAACAGGAGAGGCAGGATGCGCCGTTTTTACATAACAAATTATTACTTTGCCTCCCCGTTGACAGCCGGTTTAGCTCAGTGGTAGAGCGCGTGGCTTTTAACCACGTGGCCGTGGGTTCGATCCCCACAATCGGCGATTCCGTTTTGCCGTTGCTCAGTGCTCCCTACGCCGACTTTTCTTTTGTTCCCACTCTCCTTCCTTCCGCCGCGTTCCTCGTCTTACGTCCCACCTCTTACCGAGTTGAACCCCCCCGCCGCCGAAGCACGTCCGCGCCTCAACACCCTCCATTCCGCCACACAGACTGTGGCGGCTCATCGCCCCCGCCACCCCATCCGCTAATTCGCCCCGCCGCGCCTCCTTCCGCCGGAATTTTTGGGCGGCGCCCTTCGCCCCTGCTCGCAGAAGTCTGGGGCAGACGGGGCATCGGCGCGAAGAGGGGGGCGCGAAGTGGGGGGGCGCGAAGTGGGGGGGCGCGTAGTGGGGAGGCGCGAAGTGGGGGGGCGCGTAGTGGGGGGGCGCGAAGTGGGGGGCGCGTAGTGGGGGGGCGCGTAGTGGGGGGGCGCGTAGTGGGGGGGCGCGTAGTGGGGGGGCGCGAAGTGGGGGGGCGCGAAGTGGGGGGGCGCGTAGTGGGGGGGCGCGAAGTGGGGGGGCGCGAAGTGGGGGGGCGCGTAGTGGGGGGGCGCGCAGTGGGGGGGCGCGAAGTGGGGGGGCGCGTAGTGGGGGGACGCGTAGTGGGGGGGCGCGTAGTGGGGGGGCGAAGAAGGGGGCGCGGAAAAGAGGGGGGAATGCGGGGGGGGGTCGCATTTGGGTTTCCAGATTGAAGCGTGTGAGGCGGAGATGAAAAAATTCGCGTTCTAGTGTAGGGGGGCTGGGAGACAGGGCATATATTCCAGTGGATTTCGTCTGCTACTGTAGGGGGGGAGCGTCGTAACGGCATGGGGCGCCATAGCAGGAAGAAGCGGAAGGGAGGGAGCGAATGGAGGAGAGAGGGGGGGGAGGCGGACGGGGGAAGAGGTGGCGGAAGAGGCGAGTGGGCGAGGGGAGTGGGGGCAGGTGAAGGGGAGGGGTTCGGGGGAGGAGCGGAGTGGGGGAGCGGCCTGGGGAGAGGTGTGTGGGGGGGGTGGGGGGTAGAGGGGGGAAGAGAGGGAGGTTGGGGAAGAGGGGGAAGTTGGGGAAGAGGAGGACGTTGGGGGAAGGGGGGTGAAGTGGAGGGAAGGGGAAGAGGCGGCAGCGGGGAGCATGGAGGCAGGCATGGCAGGGGGAGGGGCAGAGGGGGAGGTAGTGGGGGAGGTGGAGGGAGGGGCAGTGGGTCCGCGGGTGGTGGGGCTGCTGCTGGCAGTAGCGCGGTTGGGGTGGACAAGGCGGAGATCACGTGCATTCCACTAGGTCAGACGCAGCGATAAGCCCTTAACTCCCGCTCGTCTCACCTCCCGCACCACCTCCCCTTCCTCCCCACAGCAGCCGTTTTGTTCCGTTCTCCCCCCTCCTCCCCTCCTCCCCTCCTCCCCTCCGTCCATCGCATGTGGCTGTAACTCGCCCTCACTTCCGTTCATCTCGCCCCGTTTGCCTTCGAATTCCGCTCGTCTCACCTCCCACACCGCCTCCCCTTCCTCCCCACGGCAATTGATTTTTATTCCATTCTGCTTTATCCTCCCCCCACATTCCGTTACACACGACTGTATACCGCCCTCACTTGCATTTCATTGCCGCGACACCAGGAGCCGGGCATGACGTGGCAAGTGCTGGGTGGTGGGGAAGAATGCCGGTCTGCATTCTCATTCTTCCTCACACCTGCCTTCCCTGCACCGCCATGGCACCAGGTGCAGGCCAGCATGTATGCAAGAGCTGGGTGTGCAGTGGTGCGCATGGGCGGCGGACTGGTGTCTTCCTTTTCCTCACAGCACTACCCTTCGTTTCCATCTGCCTCCGTGCACCATCAACCAGGCGCGGGGCAGGACGTGGGCAAGAGCTGTGTGGTGGTGCGGGTGGGCGGCCGGGTGGTCATGTTTGACTGCGGCATGCACATGGGCTTCCAGGACAGCCGCCGCTTCCCCGACTTCCCTCGCCTGCGTGCCTTGGCCCACTCGCACTCGCACTCGCACGTGCACTCGCAGACCGCTGAGCGTGGACATGGGAATGGGCGTGGGCGTGGGGAGGGGCATGGGTATGGCGGTGCGGTGGACTATACGGGCATCATTGACTGCGTCATCGTCACTCACTTGTACGCGCTTCCCTTTCTGCTCACTTGCTTGCCATCCGCACGCACTTACTTGCCTTTCACATGCACCTCCCCATTTCAAAGGTTCCAACCCCCCCCCCCCCTGCGGCCTGCTCTTCTCATCTCTCTCCCTGTGTTGGCCCCCCACCAACCACTTGGACGGTCCACAGCGGTGCTCCTGCCACGGCGCCCAGCCATCTCAGGCAGTGCCTCCATGCGCCCCTCTCAGGCAGTGCCTCCATGCGCCCCTCTCAGGCAGTGCCTCCATGCGCCCCTCTCAGGCAGTGCCTCCATGCGCCCCTCCCAACGTGCCCAACCCACCCCCTTGCACCCCAATCTCCCTTCCACCCCCAGCCACTTGGACCACTGCGGCGCGCTGCCTTATTTCACGCAAGTGTGTGGCTACTCGGGGCCCGTCTACATGACTGTGCGTGCACTGTATCATCTCCTTTATAATCACCATCGATTCTGGCAGCTACTGTTACTGTAGATGGTGAATATTACTGTTACGTGTACTTGCTTAGAGTAACTCCGAGGTCCTTCAATCATTCATGCACTTGTCCCCTCCACCTCCTCTCCTCCTGCCTCCATCATCCTGCAACCCATCTCGTTGCTGGATGCTCGTGCATCCGTTGCTTCTCCTGTCCTCCCTCGTCTCCCGTCCGCTTCCTCGATACCCCACAAACGGGGGGTGGGGGCGCCCCTAGTGCTGGAGGGCTATCGGCACGCCCTCCCTCAAGGCGTTGGCCCCCGCGATACTGGAGGGCCACGTGAGAGTGTGCCCCACCATGTGCGTGTTCCTTCAACTATCACTCGTGTCGTCCTCTCAGTCTCCCCTCCTATGCGCGTCCCCCCTTCTCCCCCCCTATGCGCGTCCCCCCTTCTCCCCCCCTATGCGCGTCCCCCCTTCTCCCCCCCTATGCGCGTCCCCCCTTCTCCCCCCAGTACCCCACCAAGGCGCTCGCGCCCCTGATGCTGGAGGACTACCGGCGCGTGGCGGTGGAGAGGAGGGGCGAGGGCGAGGAGGGGCTCTTCTCCAGTGCCGACATAACAGCGGCTGTGGGGCGAGGTGCGAAGTGGGAGGGAGAAGGCAGGAGGGGGAGATAAGGTAGAGAATGAGCCGCGACTAGCTGCCACTAGCTGCCACTTGCTGCCACTAGCTGCCACTAGCTGTCAGTCACTAGCTGTCTGCAGCTGTCAAGAGCTGTCACTAGCTGTCACAAGCTGTCACAAGCTGTCACGAGGTGTCAAGAGGTGTCACGAGCTGTCAAGAAATGTCAAAAGCTGTTAAGAGCTGTCACTAGATGTTGAAAGAAACGTCAACCTTCTGACAGCTCTGCGCAGCTACGCACCTTCTGACAGCTCTGCGCAGCTGCCAGGCACCTCCTGACAGCTCTGCGCAGCTGCCACACACCTTCTGACAGCCCTGTGCAGCTACCAGGCACCTTCTGACAGCTCTGCGCAGCTGCCAGGCACCTCCTGACAGCCCTGCACAGCTGCCAGGCACCTCCTGACAGCTCTGCGCAGCTACCAGGCACCTTCTGACAGCTCTGCGCAGCTGCCAGGCACCTCCTGACAGCTCTGCGCAGCTGCCACACACCTTCTGACAGCTCTGCGCAGCTGCCAGGCACCTCCTGACAGCTCTGCGCAGCTACCAGGCACCTTCTGACAGCTCTGCGCAGCTGCCAGGCACCTCCTGACAGCTCTGCGCAGCTGCCACACACCTTCTGACAGCCCTGCGCAGCTGCCAGGCACCTCCTGACTAAGTGGAAAAATTCGCGTTTCGCGCAAATTCGCTGACAAATTTACGCTGGCGTAAATTCGCCCGAACGCCAGGGCCCTGTTTTGAATTCGTTGGGAAATTCGTTCTGCCTGGGCAGGCCCAAAAAAAAGGTTCCCAGGCAGGGGGTGCATGGGGGGTTTCAGGGCAACTCTGTTTAAGCAAGAAAGTTTTAGCACAAAATAAATAGTGCTTCTCAAAGTTTATGGCAATAGCATGTTCTAGAGTTTGGGGGGAATCCTTCGCAACAACAGCCCTGCAGGATGAAACATACAGCAACATCATACTCGTGAGGTAAGCTAATGTCTATGCTTAAACTAGATCTACTAGCTAGGACGCGGAGTGGTTAGCTAGATCTACTCTACGTCTGGTAGAGTAGCGTGTGAGATGCGTGATATGGTTGTGTAAGTTGTGTGGGGTGGTGGATGGGTTAGGTTATCTAGATGCGGTGGGGTTTGATGCGGTTGAGAGAGTGGGAGGGGTTGGGAGCATGTTTGGAGGTTCAAAAGTTAGAATCGCGAATTGGCAAGGCCACGGATGGCTTCGCCAAGTTGTCGCGAATCCAGTGGGAAAATTCACGTTTTTTCGTCTGGGCTGCCCGGAAATTTTTCCCCCAGCGTTTCGCGAATTTCAGGTAAATTCGCAAACGCGAATTTACGCTTACGAATTTACTCAAAACGCTGGGGGCCCCCAACGAATTTGCCCACTTAGCCTCCTGACAGCTCTGCGCAGCTGCCAGGCACCTCCGAACGGCTCTGGCAGCATGGCCAGGGTAGCATGGCTAGGGCAGAATGGCTAGGGCAGAATGGCTAGGGCAGCATGGCTCGGCCGGCATGGCTCTGGCGGCATGGCCAGGGCAGCATGGCTCGGGCAGCATGGCTCGGGCAGCATGGCTCGGGCAGCATGGCTCGGGCAGCATGGCTCGAGCAGCATGGCTCGGGAGCGTGGCTAGGGCAGCATGGCTCGGGCAGCGTGTCTAGGGCATCATGGCTAAGGCAGCAGGGCTCGGGCAGCATGGCTAGGGCAGAATGGCTAGGGCAGCATGGCTAGGGCAGCAGGGCTCGGGCAGCATGGCTCGGGCAGCATGGCTCGGGCAGCATGGCTCGGGGAGCGTGGCTAGGGCAGCATGGCTCGGGCAGCATGTCTAAGGCATCATGGCTAGGGCAGCATGGCTCGGGCAGCATGGCTAGGGCATGGCTCGGGCAGCAGTGCTAGGGCTGCATTGCTCGGGCAGCATGGCTCGGGCAGCATGGCTAGGGCAGCATGGCTAGGGCAGCATGGCTCGGGCGGCATGGCTCGGGCGGCATGGCTTGGGCGGCATGGCGGCTCGGGTGGCATGGCGGCATGGGCGGCATGGCGTCTCGGGTGGCATGCCTTGGGCGGCATGGCGTCTCGGGCGGCATGCCTCGGGCAGCATGTCTAGGGCGTCATGGCTTGGGCAGCATGGCTAGGGCGGCATGGCTAGGGCAGCATGGCTCGGGCAGCATGGCTCGGGCAGCATGGCTAGGGCAGCATGGCTCGGGCAGCATGGCTCGGGCAGCATGGCTCGGGCAGCATGGCTAGGACAGCATGGCTCGGGTAGCATGGCTAGGGCAGCATGGCTCGGGCAGCATGGCTCGGGCAGCATGGTTAGTGCAGCATGGCAGCTCGGGCGGCATGGCGGCTTGGGCGGCATGCCTTGGGTGGCATGGCTCCGGCGGCATGTCTCGGGCGGCATGTCTCGGGCGGCATGGCTCGGGCGGCATGGCTCGGGCGGCATGGTTCGGGCGGCATGGCTGCTCGGGCGGCATGGTGGCTAGGTCGGAATGGCGGCTCGGGCGGCATGGCTCAATCAGCATGGCTCAGGCGGCATGGCTCGGGCAGCATGGCTCGGGGGCATGGCTCGGGCGACATGGCTCGGGCAGCATGGCTCGGGCGGCATGGCTCGGGCGGCATGGCTCGGGCGGCATGGCTCGGGCAGCATGGCTCGGGCAGCATGGCTAGGGCAGCATGGCTCGGGCAGCATGGCTCAGGCTTCATGGCTAGGGCAGCATGGCTCGGGCAGCATGGCTCGGGCAGCATGGCTAAGGCAGCATGGCTCGGGCAGCATGGCTCGGGCAGCATGGTTTGGGCAGCATGGCTGGGGCATCATGGCTCCGGCAGCATGGCTCGGACGGCATGGCTCAGGCGGCATGGCTCGGGCGGCATGGCTGCTCGGGCGGCATGCCTCTGGCGGCATGGCTAGGGCAGCATGGCTCCGGCAGCATGGCTCCGGCAGCATGGCTTAGGCATCATGGCTAGGGCAGCATGGCTCGGGCAGCATGGCTCGGGCAGCATGGCTCGGGCAGCATGGCTTGGGCAGGATGGCTAGGGCAGCATGGCTCGGGCAGCATGGCTCGGGCAGCATGGCTCGGGAGGCATGGCTCGGGCAGCATGGCTAGGGCAGCATGGCTCGGGCAGCATGACTAGGGCAGCATGGCTAGGGCAGCATTGCTCAGGAGGCATGCCTCAGGCGGCATGGCTCGAGCAGCACGGCTCGGGCAGCATGACCAGGGCAGCATGTCTAGGGCAGCATGGCTCGGGCAGCATGGTTAGGGCAGCATGGCTAGGGCAGCATTGCTCAGGAGGCATGGCTCGGGCGGCATGGCTCGGGCAGCATGGCTCGGGCAGCATGCCTAGGGCATCACGGCTAGGGCAGCATGGCTAGGGCAGCATGGCTAGGGCAGCATGGCTTGGGCAGCATGGCTCGAACAGCATGGCTAGGGCAGCATGGCTCGCGCAGCATGGCTCGCGCAGCATGGCTAGGGCAGCATGGCTCGGGCAGCATGGCTCGGGCAGCATGGCTAGGGCAGCATCATGAGGGCAGCATGAGAAGGGCAGCATGGCTAGGGCAGCATGGCTCGGGCGGCATGGCTTGGGCAGCATGGCTCGGGCGGGATGGCTCGGGCGGCATGTCTGGGGCAGCATGTCGCCGGCGGCATGGCTCGGGCGGCATGGCTCGGGCGGCATGGCTCGGGCGGCATGGCTCGGGCGGCATGGCTTGGGCGGCATGGCTCGGGTGGCATGGCTCGGGCAGCATGGCTAAGGGAGAATGGCTCGGGCAGCATGGCTCGGACGGAATGGTTCGGGCGGCATGGCCCGGGCAGCATGGCCCGGGCAGCATGGCCTGGGCCGCATGTCCCGGGCCGCATGACTGAGGCGGCATGGCCCGGGCGGCATGGCTCGGGCGGCATGGCTAGGGCAGCATGGCTAGGGCAGCATGGCTAGGGCAGCATGGCTCGGGCAGCATGGCTCGGGCAGCATGGCTCGGGCAGCATGGCTCGGGCAGCATGGCTTGGGCAGCATGGCTCGGGCATCATGGCTCAGGCAGCATGGCTCGGGAAGCATGGCCCGGGCGGCATGGCCCGGGCGGCCTGGCTCGGGCGGCATGGCTAGGGCAGCATGGCTAGGGCAGCATGGCCAGTGCAGCATGGCTCGGGGGGCATGGCCCTGGCACAATGGCCCAGGCGGCATAGCCCGGGCGGCGTGGCCGGGGCAGCATAGCAGGGGCGGCATGGCCCGGGCAGCACGTCCCGGGCGGCATGGCTAGTGCAGCATGGCTTGGGCAGCATGGCTAGGGCGGCATGGCCCGGGCAGCATGGCTAGGGCAGCATGGCTCGGGCAGCATGGCTCGGGCAGCATGGCTCGTGCAGCATGGCTAGGGCAGGCGGCATAGCCGGGGCTGCATCGCCTGGGCAGCATGGCCCGGGCGGCATGGCTAGGGCAGCATGGCTCGGGCAGCATGGCCAGGGCAGCATGGCCCGGGCAGCATGGCTAGGGCAGCATGGCTCTGGCAGCATGGTTAGGGCAGCATGGCTCGGGCAGCATGGCTCGGGCAGCATGGCTCGGGCAGCATGGCTCAGGCAGCATGGCTAGTGCAGCATGGCTCGGGCAGCATGGCTCGGGCAGCATGGCTAGGGCAGCATGGCTTGGGCAGCATGGCTCGGGCAGCATGGCCAGGGCAGCATGGCTCGGGCAGCATGTCTCGGGCGGCATGGCTGCTCGGGCGGCATGGCGGGTCGGGCGGGATGGCGGCTCCGGCGGCATGGTGGCTCTGGCGGCATGGCAGCTCAGGCGGCATGGCGGCTCGGGCGGCATGCCTTGTGCGGCATGCCTCGGGCCTCGGGTGACATGGCTCAGGCGGCATGGCTCGGGCCGCATGGCTCGTGCCGCATGGCTCGAGCGGCGTGGCTCGAGCGGCATTGCCTGGGCAGCATGGCCCGGGCCGCATGGCTCGGGCGGCATGGCTCGGGCGGCATGGCCCGGGCAGCATGGCTCGGGCAGGATGGCCCGGGCGTCATGGCCCGGGCGGCATGGCCCGGGCGGCGTGGCCCGGGCAGTATGGCCCTGGCAGCATGGTCTGGGCAGCATGGCTCAGCCGGGCAGAATGGTCCGGGCGGCATGGCCCAGACGGCATGGCCCGGGCAGCTTGGCCCGGGCGGCATGGCTCTGGCGGCTTGGCCCGGGCGACATGGCTCGGGAGGCATGGCTCGGGCAGCATGGCTCGCGCGGCATGGCGTGGGCGGCATGGCTTGGGCGGCATGGCTCGGGCGGCATGGCTCGGGGCAGCATTGCTCGGGCAGCATGGCTCGGGCAGCATGGCTCGGGCGGTATGCCTAGGGCAGCATGGCTCGGGCGGCATGGCTCGGGCGGCATGGCTGCTCGGGCGGCCTGGCTGCTCGGGCGGCATGGCGGCTTGGGCGGGATGGTGGCTCCGGCGGCATGGTTGCTCAGGCAGCATCGCGACTCGGGCGGCATGGCGGCTCGGGTGGCATGCCTCGGGCCTCGGGCTGCATGGCTCGGGTGGCATGGCTCGGGCGGCATGGCTCGAGCAGCATGGCTCGAGCGGCATGGCCCGGGCGGCATGGCCCGGGCGGCATGGCCCGGGCGGCATGGCCTGGGCCGCATGGCTCAGGCGGCATGGCTCGGGCGGCATGGCTCGGGCGGCATGGCTCGGGCAGCATGGCCCGGGCGACGTGGCTGGTGCGGCGTGGCCCGGGTGGCATGGTCTGGGCGGCATGGCCCGGGCAGCATGGCTCGGGCGGCATGGCTCGGGCACCATGGCTCGGGCGGTATGGCTCGGGCGGCATGGCTCGGGGCAGCATGGCTCGGGCCGCATGGCTAGGGCAGCATGGCTAGGGAAGCATGGCTCGGGCGGCATGGCTCGGGCAGCATGGCTAGGGCAGCACCCACAAACATGGCCTGATAAAAATGCGGTAGAAAAATATCGGGCGATGCACATCGCATTGCACCGCGCGATCGTTTTCTACAAAGAAAAAAATATCTCAATCACAAAAAAACGATATTTGCGATGCGTTTGGATATGCTCGGCTCTACTCTGAGGTCAGCTCTTTGTGTCTGAGATGCTGTCACTGGCTGTCACTTGCTGTGATGAGCTGTCACTTGCTGTGATGAGCTGTCACTTGCTGTGATGAGCTGTCACTTGCTGTGATGAGCTGTCACTTGCTGTGATGAGCTGTCACTTGCTGTGATGAGCTGTCACTTGCTGTGATGAGCTGTCACTTGCTGTGATGAGCTGTCACTTGCTGTGATGAGCTGTCACTTGCTGTCATGAGCTGTCACTTGCTGTCATGAGCTGTCACTTGCTGTCATGGGCTGCCACTTGCTGTCATGGGCTGCCACTTGCTGTCATGAGCTGTCACTTGCTGTCATGAGCTGTCACTTGCTGTCATGAGCTGTCACTTGCTGTCATGAGCTGTCACTTGCTGTCATGAGCTGTCACTTGCTGTCATGAGCTGTCACTTGCTGTCATGGGCTGCCACTAGCTGTCATGAGCTGTCAATAGCTGTCAATAGCTGTCATTGTCCCACTACCCCCCATGCGCACAACCCCCCATGCATACAACCCCCCATGCTTCCATCCCATCCCGCATGCATGTGCCTTGTTGCCCCATGCACGTGGTCCGCGAGCAGCGATCCCAGTGGACATTCATCAGACCGTTCAGGTCAACCAGCACATCGCCATCACGCCATACTATGCCGGCCATGTGAGTGCAACGGCTGCTTTACACGTCATGGCTTGGCGCAGGATGTGACGCTGCTGGCATGGGTCCATGCCAGCATGCATGGTGCAGTCAAAGAGGCAGAGATGCATGTGTAGCGGCCTGTGTTGTGGCAATGGTGGCTTTCACCTTTGCACATGTAAGGATGATGGCATCGCTTGCATGGGGACATGAAGGATGTCATATGCCTTGTACCCCTCCCCTCACTGCACTCCCCCTCCCCTCACTCCATTGCCCCCCCCCCACTCCCCCAGGTGCTAGGCGCGGCCATGTTTCATGTGCAAGCCAGCAACGGGGCTTCGGTGCTCTACACTGGTGATTGCAACATGCTTCCTTTTGTTCTGTTCTCACTTGGTTTCAACAGAGGTCCCTGTAGTAGACTCTGTTACTTTTCGTCTCATGCAAAGCAAGCATGTAGTTGGGCTCAGGTGATTCCAGCAATACACCTGATGGCTCACCTGATGGCTCACCTGATTGCACAACTTCAGATGGCAATATTACTGTCCTTTGCTGGTGATCCCTCTGTAGGTCATTGCTTATCGTTCTCAGGTGCTTTCTCCACATGGCACCTGACAGGTGCTTTCAACATGGCACCCCTCAGGTGATTTCAACATGGCACCTGACAGGCACCTGGGGGCAGCCAGGGTGGACCAGCGACTTCGACCCGACCTCATGATATCCGAGTGAGCAGGCCTTGTCATGCCATGCCATGTCCGAGTGAGAGTGAGCACACCGCATCATGTCCGAGTGAGAGTGAGCACACCGCATCATGTCCGAGTGAGAGTGAGCACACCGCATCATGTCCGAGTGAGAGTGAGCACACCGCATCATGTCCGAGTGAGCACACCGCATCATGTCCGAGTGAGCAGGCCTCCGAACCGAAGCTGCCATGTCCTTCTGCCATGCCATGCCATGCCATGCCATGCCATGCCATGTGTGTGCCATCTTTATCCCTCATCGTGCTTCTCATCCCTTGCCCTACCATTCGCTCTTCGCTCACCTCATCATAAGCTCACCACCTTCCCTTCTGCCCCGCCCTCCCATCCCCGCCCATCCCCGCCCATCCCCGCCCACCGCCCCCAGGCCCACCTAAGCCACGACCATCCGTGAGTGTCAGCGCGGCCGCAAGAAGGGCTTCCTATCGCACGTGCTCGCGTGCATAGCGAGGCCCACCCCCTCCTCCCCCCTCCGCCCTCTGCCTTGCCTTCCCCAGGTCCACCTACGCCACCACCATCCGCGAGTCGCGGCGGTCGCGCGAGATGGACTTCCTCTCGCGCGTGCATGCGTGCGTGGCGGCGGGCGGCAAGGTGCTCATCCCCGTGTTCGCCATGGGGCGCGCGCAGGAGCTGTGCGTGCTCATGGACGAGTACTGGGACCGCATGGGGCTCGACGTGCCGATCTACCTCAGCGCTGGTAATGCCCCGATGCAATCTCGTCCGGCCATGCCCGTATAGATGGAGCGCTCCACTTCTCACTTTGCCCCCCTTTCCCCCTCTCCTCACACTCTCCGCCTTCTCACTCCCTCTCCCCTCTCCCCTCTCCCAGGTCTGACCTCTCAGGCCACGGTGTTCTACAAGACTCTGCTGACGTGGACCAATCAGCACATCCAGTCAGCACATGCCAACCGCAACATCTTTGACTTCCGCCACGGTATGGTTGCGGGGCACCACAGCTTGCACCGATAGCTCATCTTAGAAACCGGCACAACCGTAGTGCAGAAGTATGTGGTAGTAGTATGCACCCATCCATAGTGCATACAGTATGCCGCACGCTCCTGTCCAACCCATCCCTGCATCGCCCTCCCCTGTCCCTCTGTCTCAAACCTTCCTCTGCAGTGCGGCCGTTCGACCGTGCCCTCCTGGAGTCGCCCGCCCCCATGGTGCTCTTTGCCACGCCCGGCATGCTCTCGGGGGGGCTCTCCCTGCAGGCCTTCAAGAGCTGGGCGCCGCACCCACAGAATCTGCTCGTGCTGCCGGGGTACGTCTGCTGCTGCCTGTTTGTGCCTTCTTGTGCCTTCTTGTGCTGTTGCTGCAGCTGCAATGGCAATGCCGATGGCACAATTAGACTTTTCGGATCCAATTCTGTCCTCTCGCCCGTCACACCCCCTTTCGCCCCCCTCACTGCCCCCCAGGTTCTGCATGGCGGGCACGGTGGGCGGCAAGATCATGGCCATGGCATCCGCCAATGCCGCTGCTGCTGGCGGTGGTGGTGGGGGAGGAGGGGGAGAAGGAGGGGGAGGAGGGAGGGTAGCCATCGACCAGAGCACTCAAGTGGCTGTCAACTGCCAGGTGTGTTGTCAGGAGATACCAGCAGAGCAGATGAGCGGAAAGGGTCATCACGATGCCTGAACCATGGCAGCTGCAGTTGCGTGTGACAAGAGAGGCGTATGCAGCCTCTTTTCTCTTACTTGATAGTCTGCATCACAAGCGTTTGCAGAGTGTACCATACATACCCAGGTCCTGAGACTATTCCCCGTGATCTTCCCTCCTTTGCCGCAGGTCCACGTGCTCTCATTCTCCCCACACACCGATGCCAAGGGCATCACCGACCTTATCCGCCACCTGGCACCGCGCCACGTCATCCTGGTGCATGGCGAGCGTGCCAAGATGGCGCAGCTGCGGGACAAAATCTCAAGCCAGATGGGCATTCCCTGCTTCACCCCGGCCAATCATGAGGCGGTTAGAGTACCCGGGACGATCTCTCAGAGTGCTGCTCCTCCACATGCAGTGCCGGCAGGTGATGTTGAGATACGGAATGGGGCCGTGGGGAGTGGAGCAGCAGGGGAGGGGGGTAGGGTGGAAATAGAGGGAGGGACTGACGGGAGAAGTGGGGTAGGAGCAAAGGAGGAGGACGGTGCAGAGGGGGAAGAGGGAGAGATTGGAATAAGTGGGGGAGGACGTGAGGAAGTGGAGGAGCGTGAAGAGGGCAGTTGAGAATAACAACTACGAGAGTAGAGAAGAGAGTTGAGATGGTACAAGAGGTATTGTTTAGAAGGGGCATTTGGGACGGTGGAAGGAGGGCAAGGTGGGATGTAGTGTAGAGTATTATGAATAAAAAAAAATCTTTAGGTCCTAAGACCAATCTACATCTGAAAGTACCTGTGTTCTGTACAAATTAGCTCGAGATACTTTGGGTCCCAGTCACGGCCCCTCGGGACCACATCATCGTGACATGTCGGTCTGTCCTTCCCTCGCCGCGTCATTCCTGCATCCGCTTGACCTGTCGCTTGAATTGCCCTCCGGTCGACAATCCCAAGGCTGGATCAGCCGCACACAGCCGTGTCTTCTCAACTTTGTGAATCCTCCTGATGCATCTCTGCTTATCTTACCAAATAGCAGCTACTTTCGCTGTATCTCTTCCGTCTGCGTCCAGTAGAAGCTGCCGAACGCAGCACGCGGTTCCTGGCGCGATCCATTGCCTCTTATCGGCTCGCAGAAATATTCCCTCTTAAGTTTGCCTGTGTTCGTTAAGAACCTTCACGTCGTATCGTACTCGTCAGCAGCGTTGTTTACGCCGTCCTCCTACCCCCGGACCGCCATCGCTCCCCGGCACGCTGGCTGCGCGCCATGTATGCGCGGCTGGCCTGCAGAGCAGCGCGCAGGCGAGGGTCGCCGCTCGTCGACGCGCTGCTTAGGGTTTCCTCCCCCTGCCATACAGAACCGCCGCAAATCGCGGCAGATCTACCCGGATCTTTGCGGCTCAGCGCGCAGCGCTGGTATTCGTCCGATCGAGACGGCGACGCGGATCGCGAGGAGAACGACGTGGTGATCATCGGCGGCGGGCCCGGCGGGTACGCGGCGGCGATCCGCGCCGCGCAGGTGGGGCTGAAAGTGACGTGCGTGGAGAGGCGAGGGCGGCTCGGCGGCACGTGCTTCAATGTCGGATGTATCCCCTCTAAGGTATGACCCGGTGCTGTGCTCGGTCTGATAGGGTTGTGTGGTTTGGCATGGGGGCATTGAGACGCGTCTGGCGACTGCTTGTTTTTTGGGCACATTCGTACGCTTTAATAGCCCACACAGCACGACGTACTCGGCCGACAAGTAGGGCACGTGAGTGTCACTCGTGATTCAACGTAGGCATGAAGCAGCTTTGAAAGAAGCAGCAACAGAATGCACAGAAACCAGAACAATGCTGCTGACATTTACGTCGTCCGCCACAGTGGTCTCTGACTGCCCACAGTCCGCAACCACCGCAACGACCGCAACGAACGCGTCGACTGCCATAACAACACTACGCCTCACCATCCTCCTCCCCCATCCCCCCTTCCCCACCCTCCTCCCTTGAATCTCTTCATTCCCCCCCCTACCCCAGTCACTGCTCGAGTAATCGCGCAAGTTCCCCGAGGCGAGGCACTCCCTAGCGAGTCATCATTTGACCCGAGGCGAGGCGAAGGCGAAGCACTGCTTCATCATGTGACCCCCTCCGTCCTCCCTCTCCCCCTTCGCCCATCCCCACCGACCCCCCGTTTCTTCCCCATTTCCAGTCGCTGCTGGAGTCGTCCCGCAAGTTCTACGAGGCGAGGCACTCACTAGCGAAGCACGGCGTGCGCGTGAGCGGCGCGGAGGTGGACCTGCCGGCCATGATGGCGCTGAAGAACGACGCCATAGAGAGCCTCACGTCGGGCGTGGAGCGCATGTTCCAGCAGCACCGCGTCAACTACGTCAAAGGGGCAGGGCGCCTCACAGGCACCCACGAGGTCACTGTGCGGCTGCTGGACGAGCACGGGCAGTTCGGGCAGGAGAAAAAGATTCTCTCGGCGAAGAATATAATTATCGCCACGGGGTCGGACATTCGGCAGGTGCCCGAGGTGCCGATCGACGAGAAGAAAATAGTCTCGTCCACAGGGGCGATGAGCCTGGAGAAGGTTCCGGGAAAGATGCTGGTGGTGGGGGGTGGGGTGATTGGGCTGGAGATGGGGTCGGTGTGGAGCCGGCTGGGCGCGGATGTGACTATAGTGGAGTTCGCGGATGGCATCGGCGGGTACATGGACAACGAGATCCGGCAGGCGTTCCACAGCGTGCTGGAGGCGCAGGGGCTCAAGTTCCTCCTCGGCACCAAGGTCGTGTGCGGGGACGCGTCGGGGCCGGGCGTGGTGTTGCAGGTGGAGCCGGCCAAAGGGGAGGGCGAGCGGCAGGAGATGCATGCGGATGTGGTGATGGTGGCGGCGGGGCGCGTGCCGTGCACCAATGGGTTGGGGCTGGACGATGTGGGGGTGAAGCGGGACATGAACGGGCGGATCTTCGTGGATAGCCACTTCCGCAGCACCAAGCCGAACGTGTATGCCATTGGGGATGTGATCCCGGGGCCCATGCTGGCGCACAAGGCGGAGGAGGACGCGATTGCGTGCGTGGAGAACATTATGAACGGGCACGGGCAGGTGAACTACGCCACGGTGCCTGGGATTATCTACACGCACCCCGAGGTGGCCATGCTGGGTATGACGGAGGAGGAGCTGCAGGCCACGGGGATGGAGTACCAGGTGGGTAAATTCCCCTTCAAGGCGAACAGCAGGGCGCGGGCCATGGGGGAGGTAGAGGGGTTTGTGAAGATCCTGGCGGACAAGGAGACGGACCTGGTGCTGGGCGCACACATACTGGGGCCCAGCGCAGGCGAGCTCATCATGGAGTGTGTCTTGGCCATGGAGCACGGGGCTACCACGCTGGACCTGGCCCGCACGTGCCACGCGCACCCCACGCTCACTGAGGCTGTGAAGGAGGCTGCTCTTGCGGCCCATGGCAAGCCCATCCACTCGTAAGCAGCCAGTGGGCCGTGGAGAAGCAGAGCAGAGGGGGAGTGAGGAGTCAAGGAATGCGCAGCAGTGGGGAGCGGATAAAAGGGGAGGTACTGTAAGGGGGGGGAGGAGGGGGGGGGAGACTGGTTTGGGTGGGGTCTGGGGAGGCGGGGGTGGTGGGAAGCAGAGCGGAGGGAAGGAGTGCATGGAGGGCAGGAGGTGGGGTGGATAAGCACCCTGGGTCCCTCACGGATGCTGGGGACGTAAGGTACAGCAGCGGCCATGTGCTACAGGTAGCGACATGTGTAAGGGTTGATGCTGCATTGCAGTGTATTTCCTGTACTATGGATGATAATCGTGTCTGTTCTGGTAGTGAACAAGCACACCAGTTGAGCAATCCCGAGGGTACAGTCTGGACTGGGCTGGTCAGAAGCTAACAGTGGAGATGTTCAGTTTAGCACCTGCTGTGGCAGAGTTTCTGCTTTTGGGGCGCTTGCTGCGCTAAGATCCACATGGACGCTTGCCTGCCATGCCAGTTTTGATGGAAAGTGCACTGATGATGCTATATCAGGTTAGTGGGAGCTGGAGCTGTAAGCATTTTCATCGCTTTTGTAAAGATTATGCCCGTGGCAGCAGTCATCGATCCAAGGCTTGTACACCGCTCTGGGTCGTAGCAGGCAGTTGTGAGCCAGCACATGCTTGAGGCCTGAACTTGTGTATGTTGCAACATGACATATTATTGAAAATCCCTGCAAGCAGGATGGCAAAAGGATATCTACGGTTTTGGGTGGGGGGCTAACTTGATAAACGCCATCGCTATACAACCACGAGGTGCAGATGACCCTGGAAATTTTGCTCCATCCACGGTTTTTGCTCACATGTGACATGCCATGGTTATTAGTTTCGCTTGCTCTTCTTGGGTTAGCTAACTTAATTGCTTTCAGCATTGCAGGAAGTACAGAATGCATATTCACAATTTTCATTCTTCCCTAAACACAATGAATCGAGAGGCGGCTTGACCCTGCATCTACCTATCCCTGCGATGTTTCCCAGTCCCCCATGCCTACCCCGGCTACACTCTTCTCCCCACCTCCGCCACCTCCGCCACCTCCTCCACCTCATCCGCCTCCCCCTGTGCCTCCCACCCGCCGCTGATTGGCTGCGCCAGCGATGCATCGTACAGGTGGCCCATCTTGGCCCGCTTTGTCTCCAGGTATCTCCTGTTCTCCTGCACAGGAGGTAGCGGTGGAGTTGAGGGGAGAGGGCAGACACGCAGTTAGCAAGGTAATGATGAGTGCGCATGGACATGTGAGGGAGGGGCGAGCATGGCAAAGATTGGTGAAAAGCTTCGCGGAGAAGAGGGCAAAGAAGGAACAGAGGAACAGTCCAGTATGGGGTGGAGAGGCTAGCAGGCAACAGAGAGGGATGAAAATGGACGTAGGGGCGGCTCTACTCACCATGTTGATGGGGCACAGCACCGGCACTCTCCCCGTCACAGCGAACCCCAATTCACTGATCGCCGTCAGCTTGGCGGGGTTATTCGTCATCAGCTTCAGCGACCGCACGCCCAGGTCTCTCAGGATGTGCGCCGCAGCACTGTACTCTCTGGCGTCTGCGGGCATGCCCAGGTCCAGATTCGCCTGCACTGTGTCCCGCCCCATGTCTTGCAGGTTGTACGCCTGCAGCTTGTGCCCCAGCCCAATGCCGCGCCCCTCCTGCCCGCGCAGGTAGATGCACACACCACGCCCCTTGGCCTCGATTCGCTGCAGCGCCTGCTGCAGCTGCGGGCCGCAGTCGCAGCGCGCCGAGGCAAAGATGTCCCCCGTGAGGCACTCGCTGTGCACGCGGATCATCACGTCCTCGCCAGATGATATGTCGCCCTGAGACAGGGGGGCGGCATTGGGCAGGGCGTGCATGAGCCATAGGGCTACAGGGATAGTCTAGGCGAGAGGAGAGAGAGCCCATGGAGAGCAATGGGGGTGAGAAGAAAGGGGGTGAAGGATGGGAGAAGGGAAGGGGGATGGGGGGAGCGAGAAGGGGGAGGCGGGGTGGGTGGGGCGTACCTTGACCATGGCGACGTGCTCGATGCCATCCACGTCGCTCATGTAGCTCACGATGTCGAACGTGCCCCACTCCGTGGGCAGCCGCGCCACTGCCGTGCGCCGCACCGTGCGCTCCACCAGCCGCCGGTGCCTGAAGGGGGGAACGGGCGAGGGGAGACGGGAAGACGGAGTGAGTGGTAATGAGGGCGATGGTCAACGGAGTTGCGCCACTGCCGTGCGCCACACCGTGCGCTCCCCCATGCGCCAGTACCCGAGGGTGTGTGGTGGGATGGTGGGGGGAGGGGGGGAGGGGGAGAGATCTTGTTGAAGGGTGCTCTCTGTGGAAGTGGCTGCGTGGCTTGACAGGCTTGGCAGTGCTTTGATGCAGGGGAGGCATGGCTATTGGCAAGGCAAGGCATGGCCCTGCATGCGACGGCACTCACTTGACGATATCTTGGACGGAGATCAGGGTGAGCGCGTTCTGGGCGGCAAACTGCTGCGTCTGGGCGGCACCAGGCAGGGAACCGTCATCATTGAGCAGCTCGGTGACAGCTGTCACGGGCGGCAGCCCCGCCAGCACCGCCATATCCGCCGCTGCCTCCACGCGGGTGGCCTGGCGCAACACTCCGCCTGGGTGCGCGCGCAGGGGGAAGACGTGGCCCGGGCGGCAGAAGTCGGAGGGCAGCGAGAGCGGGTCCGCGAGGGCCCTGAGCGTGCGCGCCCTGTCCGCCGCGGAGATGCCCGTTGTGGTGCCCACCACCACGTCCTGAGCATAGGGGGGGGGAGAGGGGGAGCACGGAAGGCAGGGACACGTTGGTTGGCTTTGGAGTCAGGCGAGGGACAGGGCGGAAGGCAGTGATTAGGGCTTCAGAAGGCGGGCTGGTTTAGGCAGGCGCGGATACGGTGGATGGCTTACTCCGGGGATCCGAAGGAAGGGGGGATGCCAAGCGTGTGCTACATTGGCCAGCCTGAAAGTGCAAACCCGACAGACGTCGCCAACTCACCACAGACACGGACGATGCGGAGCCGTTGTTCGCGCCGCCCTCGCCCCCCGCCATCATGGGCGAGATGGCGAGGCGATCCAGCACGGCGGGGGACGCGGCGGCGGAGACGATCCCGCTGCCGTGGCGCACCATGAAGGCCATGCGCTCCGCCGTGGCGAGCGATGCGGACATGACGAGATCCGCCACGTCGCGATTGTGCTCGTCCACCACCACCACCACCTGCCACGCCAGGAGGGGTGTCGCCAGAGGAGGTCAATGGGGGTGCTTGTTCAGTTAATTGAAGTGGCAATCTCGACCGACTCAATGAGGCGATTAAGGTTACATACAAGCCCTGCAAGCCGAGTCCACGGCCCAGCTCGAATGTTCGGCACTGACTTCGCAACCCACGATCATACAGTCTGCTGCCGAACCCTCTCCCCCAACCCATGCTCAGGTCGCGCTCACCTCGCCTCGTCGCATGGCGGCGATCGCCTCCTCCACGCGTCGCACGCCGGGCGCTGTGCTGCGCGCCGATCTGGGCGACAGCGGTCTGTTCGGCGCCTCCCTGTAGGTCTCCGCCGCCTCCGGCTCTACCAGCTGCATGGGGCCCTCTCCCCACCTGCAACGACACAGCAGAAGTCAGTTTTACGCCCGAGATCTTCACTCACAGATGAGACGCTGGTAGTCGTGATGCTGAAATCGTAAGTACGAGAATCATGCTTACAGGATAGTGGCAGGACCCTCGAGCCGTCCCGGCGAAGTGACGCCGTTCTGCGTGAACGAGGCGGCATTCTGAGCACGGGCGGTGCCGTTAGGCGACACCGCGGCGCCGCTGCTGGACGCTGAGGCTCGAAGGGAGAGGCGCCTTCGTGGGAGAGTCAATGATGGCAGGGATGGTCGCGCGGAGGCAATTTGACGGGACAAGAAGGAAGCGTCGGGGACATCTGCTCGAGAGAGAAAGGAGCTATTCAAGGTAACTCGGGAGTGAGCGGCGACGACGTCCATGGCGATAGAATAAATAATCTGTACAAACTGACAGTACTGACCACAAAGCAGCAGCAAGTCTAATGACAAAAGAATAGCGACGAGTGGTCGGCAAAATATGTTGAGAAGACTCGTGCAAATATAGGATATGGCGGGCGAAGGGTTAGTTCCACAACAGTGATCTCAAGGTGGTTGAGGGACAGACAGACACCAAGCAGACCAGAGGGGAAGAGGCGGAATGCGGGGAGGCGGGAGGGGGGCGACTGACCAGCAAGTGGCGGACGTTCTGTGCGGGAGGGCTGTTGCGCGCAGCGGAGCTGATGGATGAGGAAGGCGCACGCGAAGGTGGATGGAGAGAGGCGGGTACCGCACGCCCGCACCATCAGCAACGACAAATCGAGTTGGGGGGCCGCGCCAGTGATGGGAATGGCGAGACAGGAGAGGCGGAGAAGTGGACACGAAGCGGAATCCTGGAGCCGCCTCGAATCCTGGAGTTTGGTTCGGTACACGTGGAGGAATTTCCACCAAATCCTTGACGTGAACCACCCAGTGCTGGGCACGTTGGCCATTCTACACAGGCATTCCGTCGTCAGCAGAACCTGGTCCACGCTGGATTCAGCGTGCTGACATCGCTGGTCAGAGAAGTGCAAATCGCTGTCGTCGGCAACCCCAAACAGAAGCAGAAAGCAGTTGAGCCTGGGACGGGATGCTGCGTGTGTGGCTTCCTCCACTGGGCTTGAAGTCTCCAGCCAATCAGAGCCAGACGCCAACATTTCATTCATTGTTGTCACAATCTAAAAGCAAGCAGCAATATTCATAAGCGGCACAAAAGATTTCATTGTTAGCTACACTTCACACCCTGCAAGCGCTAGCACTCCCACACCAGAGTTTGGGGGAGGACACTTGTTCACCTTGGGAATCCCTTCCTCCCTGTTCTCCTCTCCACTTCAGCCAATGTATCGGCTGAAGCTCCTTTCATCTCACTCAACCAGTACTTCGCCATGGCGCCTTTTCGAAATCCCCACGCCCTAGTCGCCGAAGCCGAATCGATGCACTGTAGCGGTCGTCGCGTTGAGGATCCTGGGGTGGAAGCATTTGACGGGATAGTGTCAAGCGTGCCGTCCCCATTATTCGCTGCGCGAGACATAGCCGCTCGCACAGTCCTGAAGACCAAACTCTGGGTAACCTGAGAGATTCCCCAGGCGGGTTTCCCCAAGGATCCCCATTAGCCTCGTAGAGACGTCGCAGAGGCCGGCGGGCAGCGGATCGTCGCAGCCTGGCTCTGTTAGCCACCGCGAGCATCATGCCACGCTTCAATTTGTCTCGGGGGTTGGTCGCAGCAAGTCTACTAGGGAGACGGCTCGACATGATATCGGCGATCGCGCCTCGTGGCTTGATGGCTGCCGTCGTGATCGCATCGTGCCTGTTGCTCCCAGCCGTCGCTCTCGGCGATGCCGCGGCGACCAGTGACGGCGACATCAGCACCGCGCGCCACGCTTCGCGGAACGACGGGGCGACGGCTCGCACCATGGACTACGTGTCGGACGACCCTTCTGCTACTAACTTCCCTGGTAACACACACAGGCGGCCGTGCTGGTGCTGGTGGCTGCGTTACTCCCCTCTCTGGTGCTCCTCTGGTCACTCCTTCACGCCCCTTTCCGCCGCTGTCCTCCTTATGCCTGCAGCTCCCACGCCATCTCATGGCGTTGCAATCCTCTGGCTGTTGACGCCCATCCGATTCCTCAAGCTATCGTCTGCGAGGCTTTCTCCTCTATTCTCTTCGCGTCATCCAGTGTCGCTCTTCTATCCCCCGATGTTCTTTCTCCCCCCAGGCCCGCCGCGTGTGTCCGCCAACTCGTGCGCGCGCCCCTGCAAAGTGCCGAACCCTCCTATCATCATCAACGTGGGGTTCGAGCGCGACATCCTGCGCCGGGCGACGCTCCCCAACGACACGCTGGTCACCATGCTGCTGTGGAGTAACGTGCGCCTCACACGTGGCCTGGTTTTTGGCGGCAACTTCTCGTGCACCATCTTCAACTCCACGCGGCCCAGCAGGCTCACCATCTCCATGCCTAACACCGCGTGAGAACAAGTGGCATGCCGTCCATACCATTCTGCTAGTGCTGCACGTGAATGGCTGTGGCATGCCGTGGCGTTCTGACTGCATGCCAGAGTTGCACGTTTCAGTAACTAGCTCCCTACCAGCGTCAACAGCGTCATCTTCCCCTCGTGTCCCTCTCTCCCACTGCCTTTCCCACTGGCAGCACGCCGGTGCTGGAGCTGTTCAACACGCACAACGTGCTCATCCACGGCATCAACTTCCACATCCCTGTGACGGACGCCGACAGCACCGTCTGCCGCTTCCCCAACATTGACCAGGTGCGCGACATCTACATCGGCCGCTACTCCTGCCCCGCCATCTTCCTCTTCCGCGTCTTCGCCGTGCAAGTCGCGCAGGGAACAGTGTTCGGCCGAATTGATGTCATGCGGGCGGCGTTCTCCCGCATTGATAACATGCGGGTCACGGTGAATCCTGCCAACTGGCCCGCTGCCATCCGCGTCTCGTACTCTGGGCACGGCCCGACCCTGCAGCGGTCCAACGTGTGGATCACGAATAACGAGTTGTTTTCGGGCGGGGAGGGGCGGCAGCAGGCGCAGAGGGCGCGGGTGGGTATCATGATTCTGTGGGGCGGCGTGGGGGTGAACGTGCTGAACAACCGGCTGCATGACTTCAGCCTGGCGGGGATCCAGCTGGGGCACGGCATGAACAACGTGGGCGACTCCATGCTCAACAAGATTGCCTACAACGACATCCGGCACGACTTTGGGGAGACGGGGCAGAACACGCGGCTGGACAACAGCGCCATCTACTTTGACACGCACTGGGTGAACCCAGGCAACTACCTGCGCTGCAACTACGTGCACCGCGGCGGGCACTGCCTGTACATCGACTGGGTGTCCAGCGGCGTCATCTCCGACGGGCTCGTGTGCGACCAGACGGCCGACGGGCTCAAGCTCAACTCGGGGAAGAAGTGAGTTGCCATGGAGTTGGGTAGCGATGCGACCGCTCCACTTGGTAGAAGTAAATTTCTCGCCTTGCTGCTCCTGCCTTCCTCATGGTTCAAGGTTTCTTGAGCCGATGTGGTGTTCGCTTGTTCTCTCTACTGTGCCACCTCTCATCCCCATGCTTATCTGCGCGCTGCCTCCGCTCCCCTCCTCCCCTCGTGCCATGCAGCAACATGGTGCTGGGCATGGTGATGATCAACACGACGCAATTCTCAGTGGGGTACATCTCGTGCCAGAACAACCACCTCAACAACTGCGACAACTACGCCGGCCCCAACTGGAACCGCCTGCTCAAAACCTACTTCCAGACGCCAGAGATCCGATGGGTAAGATCAGCACTCACCAGCGATCCTGTTCTGCTTCTGCTATGTATTGACTCATTCTCTCTCCCTTCCATGCTATAACCCACTGCTATTTCACCCGCCCCCGATTACTCCATCTATTGAATGGGCAGAATTATCCCTATCTGACCAACTTCTGTGGGAAGAACCGCATCAACGGCATCGACTGCAACAACGGCACTGACGCCGCTCACAGCCGCGCCGTCACATCTGGCTGCAGCGGGCTGCCCACGGAAAACTATGCAGAGCTCGTCTCTGCTACCCCGTCAGGCGCCCCCAAGTATGTCATCTACATGCCCAACTGCGCACCCTTCCCCTCAGTGCCTGCTCTCAACCGCATGCGCTATTTCGCGACGAGCATCGACAAGGCAGGGTTCCGGGACCCGAAGAATGGCGACTATGGGCTGAGGAGTAACTCTGAAATCTTGAAGCGGTTTCCACTCTTCAGAGGCTGCCCGAAGGAACTGATAGGTCCCAAACCGCAATCCTACAAAAGCTATTTCAACTTGTTCAACATACCGCTGCCTTCAGCCAGGCCAGCTTTACGGAAGAATTATGTTAGTCCTCGGTAAATGGTCTTATGCTCATGAGTATGTGCTTTTTTGTGTGTCCAGTAGTGCTAGTATTTACAGCTAACGTTAACTCTTTTTGGTGGGTACATGCTCAGCTTGTTTCTGTCGGCCCTTGATAGTGGCCCTGCGTAATAACGCGTCTGTTGCCGTGAACAATCTGTGTTACCGTTTCGTTCGGTTTGGCGGGTGCACGCGATGAAAAAGGACGTCAGACTCTGTTTCGTCAGTCGCCAAACCGCTTCTGCGAAGCTCTACCTTCCTCAAACCCCGCCCCACCTCACTCCAAATCACGTCTGCTGGAGAGATCTATCGATTCTGCCGCCAGCCGCAATTGGGCTTGGCGGGGTGTGCGAAAATCCCCCGACTGACTCAACGACCACCTTATCGCACACAACCAGACCCACCACCCCACCTCCAAGGCGGTGCGAGCCACCACTGTTGCCAAGAACCAGGCTATCGCAGCCGTTGAGCTTCGGAGAAGCCAAGGAGATCTGGTGGTTCTCGTCCGCACGGCACTCCCTACGCGTAACCTATCCCGCACTCACTTCCGCCAAACCCCCGCCAAACCACTCCCAACCGCTCGTTCTCCGCTGGGCTGCGCTGGTTCGAGAGATCCCGCAACCGTCCTCCCAACCTCGAGCCCATCCCTGATTCCTCCTCGCCGCACTTCTGCTGAATTCTATTCCTTGTTCTAGCCTAGTCTTTCGTACAACCACAGCGAATCACAGCGACCCAGCAAGTAGACGAATTTCACTATCCGTTTTGCTCTCGCGCCTAATCGTATCCCTTGACCTCGGACGATGTCGCAGTAGTTGACGCTCTTGTGGTAATCGGCGGAAGACCAGAGTAACAAATTAGCTGACGTGCATTCGTGCTGTATAACGCCAGGAATGACGGTCCATAGATTCTTGCAATGACGAAGGTGTATCAGGCCTGGAAGGGCAGTAACGTAAGTCTCCCGTGCAGAACCCGTGTTCTACCTTAGCTTCGTAAAAGCTTTTCGCTTGCTCGTAGCATCCAGCAGCTTATCTAGTCGTTTTTCAACAGTGTGAGTTCCTCGATAAAATCCTCTTCGCGAACCAAATCTGTCTCGTTTACCTCCGCAGAACTTCTGCTGCTGGGGCCGCTTCATATTCGGTCCGGACGTGCGGTCGCTGCTTGTATCCATCTGCCTTATATCGATACCGGGGACGCTCTTCTGCATCTTCGTCGGCGCGCAGTTCATTAACAAGATCAACGGGGGCCTAGCGATACTAATAGTCGGAATATGCCTTGTAGTTTGGGTGAGTAGTGATGCGTAGACCAACCTCGTCGCACCAACACTGCTTCCTCGTTTCGTGTTTCTCAGCTGTCGACGCCATTTCTCTCCTCCACATGCCGTCTGTTGACAGGCGTTTGGAGCATGCTCGCTTCTCTCCCCCACCTGCGCGTCGTGTCGATGACTCTGTCCATGTCTCCTCACTCGTCTCGTCTCTGTCGATGCCTCTGCCCTTATTTCCGACGCTCTGGAATGTGCGCTTTTCGCCTTCCGTGTTGCCATCCTAATTCCATCTTCACTATCCCCGCCTCGTCACGTGTCGCGCAACTTCACGTCTTCCCATCCCTCCTCCACTCTAGCTTCTCTGAAAAGGCTTCCATGTCTTTTGTTCAGCCTTGTGCGCGGCATTATTTTGGGATTTGCATTCTTGTGGGGAATGGCGTTTAGGGTGTTCTTTCAATCTCGCTTCCCTCGACACCCTTCCCGCTGCAACCCCTTCCCCACTCCGTGACTTCCCGTCCGAATTCTCTCCCATGGGCCTCTCCCGTCCGCCCGCCGTCCAGGATCTGTGCGTTCTTCTCTTCACGTCCAGCCGCGATCCCGGCATCGTGCCGCGCAACACTCACCCGCCCGAGCCCGACGGTGACGTGGAGGCGCCGCGGCCGGCGGGGGGAAGGCGGTTGCCGCGGACTAAAGAGGTGGTGATTAAGGGCAAGACGGTGAAGGTCAAATACTGCGACACGTGCATGCTGTACCGGTGAGCATGGCGCATGCCCCTTATATATCCAGGCACGCGTGAATGAACGTGTGTCTTCCTTTCCCCCATCTTCCCTCGCTTCATCCCCGCATTGCTCCCACTCCACCATCTCACGAATCTCCCCCCCTCCCCCTCCCTTCCCGGCTTTCCCCTTCCCCCGGCCGCCTCCCCCGTCTCCGCCAACCGTGCGCGGCAGTCCCCCGCGGTGCTCGCACTGCAGCATCTGCAACAACTGCGTTGAGCGATTCGACCACCACTGTCCGTGGGTGGGCCAGTGCATAGGCAAGGTGAGGGGGAGAGGGGGGGATTTGGTACGCCCGTGTGTGGGTAAGGTGAGGGGGAGAGGGGGATTGGCACGCCAGTGCAAAGGCAAGGTGAGAGAGAGAGGGTTTTTTTTGCACGCCAGAGCATAGACAGGGTGAGAGTGGGGGGGGCGGGGGTAGGGGGGGAGAGCCACGCAAGTGCATTGGCAGGGTGAGAGTGGGGGGGGCGGGGGTAAGGGGGGAGAGCCACGACAGTGCATTGGCAGGGTGAGAGTGGGAGGGAGGCCCCAAGCGCCTTATAGGCCGGGCGATGAGGGCGGTAGGCGCCCTCCCTCATTCCGCCCATCATCTCCTGCTTCCCCAATCGTCCTCTCTCCCGTTCCCTGCATTTTTCCATCCACGCTCAGTATTTGCTTCTCTCCCTTCGAGCTCTCTGATTTCCTATCTCCCCAACACCATTCACCCGTCCTTGCTTCCCCCACACCCCCTCCCCCCCCATCCCGGCACAGCGCAACTACCGTTTCTTCTTCCTCTTCGTGTGCTCCACCACTGCCCTCTGCATCTACGTCTTCTCGCTCTCCGCCTACCTCATCAAGGTGAGCTGTGAGCTGCCGCTCTGCTCAGCTCTCTGCATCAACGTCTTCGCCCCTACCTCATCAACGCGACCTCTGATCTCGCTCTTTATCTCTCACCTTCTGCCTGCTGTGCACTCCCTGTGCTGGGCCCTCGCGCTCGCCACCCAGCTCCCGAAGCTCGCCACCCATCCCCCATGCGATTCAACTGGGTCTACCCCCCTCTCCCCCCCCTCTCCCCCGCCGCTCACCGCCGCTCTCCCCCGCCGCTCACCGCCGCTCTCCCCGCGTCCCCCAGGTGCTGATGGACAACGCCTACGAGCCGGGCGGCGACACGCGCACGGTGTGGCAGGCGCTGGGGCAGGCGCCCATGGCGGCGGTGCTGATGGGGTACACCTTCCTCGCAGTCTGGTTCGTGGGGGGGCTCTCCGCCTTCCACCTCTACCTCATGAGCACCAACCAGGTGCGTGCGTGTGCCTCCTTGTGCTCGGAACGGGCCACACCCCCTCACTCTTGCATCATATAACCAAGCCCGATTTTTACAACTGTTGCCGTTGCGCTCTCACCCCTTCAACCTGCTGCCCTTCTCTCAACTCTTTCGTCTGTGTCTTTTATCGTCCCACCCACGGCCTCCCCCCCCCCCATTCCCCTTCCCGCGGCTCTCAGACGACATACGAGAATTTCCGGTACCGCTACGACAAGAAGGCCAACCCCAACAGCCGTGGCGTGCTGCGCAACGTGCACGAAGCCCTCTGCTCGCCGCTCCCGCCCTCGCGCAACCACTTCCGCGCGGACATCCCCGACCCCTGCCCCCCGAACGCCCCCCCGCTCCCCCACGACCCGCAACAGCCCGAGCTGTCTGCTGATATCCCCCCTGCGCGCCGCCACAGCAAGGGGTCCAGGCCCGGGTCCAGGGGGTCGTCAGGGGGGCGGTCCCCGGCGCAAAGAGGAAGCAAGTCGCCGGCGCAGCGGGAGTACGACCTCGTGGAGGTGACGCAGCTACGGGCGGACGAGGGCGGCGCCATGGCCGACCAGATTGTGGAGGCGGGCGGCGTGATGCCCGCAGGGGCGGGCGTGGCGCGGTCGGGGTCGCGAGATAGAGATGGGTCGGGACGGGAAGCAGGTGGGAGTGGGAGGAAGGGGGGCAAGAAGAAGTCGCACAGTGGGAAGCTGAAGGAGAAGGGGGAGGGGCGGAAGGGGAAGCATAGGGAGAAGGGGGCGGGGGACGGGGCAGGGGAGGGAGGGGAGGGGGTGGTGGGAGCAGGGGATGGGGCGGGAGGGGAAGGAGGAGGAGGGGTGGGGGAGGTGGTGGTGGAGTTGCAGGGGCAGGAGTACGTGCAGCAGAGGTACAGCCCCGTGCCTGACATGCCAAGGGATGGGCTTTAAGTGCACTGATACTGATACTGTGCACCCACCATCATGACAGATTCATTTGTGGGGTGGGGGAGGTGGTGGTGGAGGTGCAGGGGCAGGAGTACGCGCAGCAGAGGTACAACCCCGTGCCTGATGTGCTCTAGATGTACCGACACGAGGGGCTCTAGATGTACCAACACGATGCGGCCACCATCACAACAGTGTCATCCACAGGTGATGCTACGGGCTTCACTGGCTTGACTGCCGGCAGCCTCACATGCATGGGCGGCAGCAGGGCTTCTAACAAACACCTTTAACCATCGCTATTGACACTCATTGTTTAACTGCCATCAACCTGATGCCCCACTACCGCTGCCCTGGAGAGGGTAATGACAAACAGCCATAGAGAAGGGGAGTCTTATGACTGCGCGTGTGCTGATTGTGGTGGATGCACTGCACTGCACTGCTGGTGCCACAACACAACACAACACAACACAAACCAAGGTCGTCCCGGTAGGTCGTAGCAGTGCCGCACTGCTGTTTTGTGCTGGAAGCGACGAGGCGAGAAATAAGCCGCTGTTTGCAAGCCCCCGTGTTCCGCTCCATGACCGCTGCCCGCACAATGTGACCTCTCAAACCCTGGCCTGTCTTTCAGATCGAATTGCAGCTCACACGGTTGGCTTCTTTCGCCAGCCAACCTGACACGGCACTTGGAAGAATCAACAAACCCAATGCTAAATATTGTTTAATTGGAACCCTACATTCCTTACTCTCATTTTACTTCCGAATCGTCTACGGTACCGGCCTACTCTTCCAGTATTGCCTCATCCTACCGAGCTACCAGCACAGGGTACTGGACCCCCTGGGCACAAGCCATCCTAGCGCGCGCGGTTAAGTTGGGAGTTACCTTATGGCGAACTCCTATCACCGCTTGTCAGACCACCTCGCGCCAGACTCATACGGTCCTGCGCGGTGCACAGATATGATCTCGCAATTCTATGTGGTGCTACTCAATTCGACGCGAGTCTGACACAAGGTCGAGTCTGACGCGAGCTGTGGGAACCCGCCCTTAGGGCCAGCGATATCAGGGGAGGAACTTGCTGACCAGCGCTGCACTCTCTGCACACCTGATGCACTCACGGGGAGAGACGGGGGAGGGAGACGAGAGCATGAGGAGAGGGAGAGGAGGCAATAGCATGGGAGAGAGGGGGAGAAGAGCACGGGAAGGGAGAGGGAAGGGAGCTAGGGATGAGAAGAGTTAGTACGAGACGCCAGTCAGAACCAGCCTGTGACATGCCACCATCACATTCCACCATGACAGCCCACCATGGCATTGCCACCACCATGGCCATCAGAACCAGCCTGTCACATGTTACCATCACGTGCCACCATGCCACCATGCCACCATGCCACTGCGCACCTCATGGGTTCATTCCACAGCCGCTGAAACACAAGCGTGTGCAGCCGGCTCTGCTGCCACCTGTCAACCCCCCATTGGTCGTACAGCCTCAGCCGCTCCCCCCGCCCCATCGCCGCCCGCACCGCCCGCATCACAGCCGCCCGCTGCTCGTGCTCCTTCCTGGCAGCTTCCTCAAGCTGAACCTCCCCATCCGCCATGAGTGTCTCCCCACAGCCATCCCCCCTCCCCCCCCTGCCGCGCCGTGTGACCACCTCGCACTGCCGCTGCAGCTTTTCCACCTCCAGGAGAACTGCCTCCGCCGACCACCTATCCGTGCTGCTGTGCGTGCGGTGCAAAGCGGTGCAGCTGGTGAGTGAGTGGTTCGCGGCAGCGTTGGCAATAGGAGTGGTGGCAGCAGTGGGGGCGGGGAGCGCAGGCGAGAGGGAGAGTGCGAGCGAGAGGCGGTGGAAGGAGCGGGCGCGCTCCCGGAGGTCAGTGTGGAGGTGCGACCACAGCGAGCACAGCTGCAGCACCGCCGAGGCCAGGGGGTCGGGCGGGAGGGGCAGGGGAACAGCGGGGGAGGGGGAGAGGGGCTGCAGGGGGAGGGGAGAGGAGGGGGAGATGGAGAGAGGGAGAGGGGTGGGGTTGAGGGAGAGGCGGAGGGAGAGGGGGATGCAGGGAGTGCAGGAGGGGGTGTGAGGCGCGGATGAGGTGCCGTGGCCGGCAGCAGGGTGCTGAATGAGAGCACACTGCTCCACGCCCTCTCCGCTGCTCCTCTCCGCCCTCGTCCTAACTTGCCACTCACCACCATCACCATCACCACCATCATCCCTTGCCTGTGGGTCACAGAGCACGGGCATGCCCACCTGGCTCTGCCCCTTCCCTTGAGCCGACACCAAAATCGCCCCACTTTCCCCCTCGTCCCAGCCGCCCACCACCTCCCACACCACACTGCCGAATAAACCACCCTTCCTGCCCGTGCTGCCACTCACAGGCGCCAGCTCAGCAGGACATGCCAGCTCAGCATCACCTGCCAGCTCAGCATCAGGCGCACTGTCCACGTGGCAGGTGGTCTGGCTAATCGGTGGGGTCAACAGAAGGGTTCTTCCATGAGCTGGTTCGGCCCCTCCTGCTATCCCTCCTCCACTCCACTCCCCCCCTCCCCCCTCCCTCGCCCTCTCTTCCCCCTCCTCCCCTGCCCCGCACCTCTCCTCGTCAGTGTCTGCTGTGGCGGCCTCACATCCCTCCCCTGCTGCCACCTCTGCTGCCTCTCCTGCGCTCTCCCTACCCACCATCACTTCCTTGCCTGCTGCCACCTCTTCTGCTTCTCCCCTCACCTCCTCTTCCCCCACCTCCCCCTCCCCCTCCTCCTCCCCCTCGCCCTCTTCCCCCCCCTCGCCCGCGCCCTCGTCGTCCGCCTCCCAGATGGCGTCCATGCTGTGCGCCAGGATCCACTGCGCCATCTCCGCATACGACATGCTGCCATGCGCCCCCTCCTGCGCCCCCTGCTCCTCCCACTCCCCCTGTTCCTCCTGCTCCCCCTGCTCCTCCTGCTCCTCTCCCCCCACTGCAGCCTTCCCCTTCCCTTCCCCCTCCGCTGCTGCTTCTACCCTTTCCCTACCTGCCTCCACTCCACCCTCCCCTCCACCGCCACTCTGCGTCACTACCACTGCACCGCTCTGCACCGCATCCACTGCCTCCGATTGCAAAGCCAGGCACGCCACCACTTCCCCCCCCTCACACTCGCCGGTGCCCCCTTCCTCTCCTCCCTCTTCCCCTTCCTCTCCTCCCTCTTCCCCTTCCAGCAATCCCGCCCTACTGCACTCCTCTGCTCCCCACCCCACCCCCTCCTCCCCCCCCTGCCCTCCCCCTCCGCCCATCAGCGCCACCAGCTGCTGCCACACCTCGCCTTCCCCTTCACTGCCCTCCTCCCGCCCCCCTTCACTCCCCTCATCCTCCGCTTCACTCCCCTCATCCTCCGCTTCACTCCCCTCATCCTCCGCTTCATTCCCCTCATCCTCCGCTTCACTCTCCTCCCCCTTCTCTGCAAGTGCCTCTAAGTCCACCTCTTGCACTCGCCCCTCCCTCTCCTCCCCTTCCTCCCTCTCCTCCCCTTCCTCCCTCTCCTCCCCATCCTCCCTCTCCTCCCCTTGCTCCACATGCAACCGCAAATCAAGAGCACAGCCAGTCCGCCTCTCCCCCAACTCCCCCCCATCCCCCCCATCCCCTGCATCGCCCGCACCTCCCCCCATCAGCGCGCGCAGCAGCTCAACATCCACCGCGTCTGCCTCGGGATTCGCCTCCCCACGCCCTGCGCCAACCCCTGCTGCTTCAGTCCCTTGCGCAGTGGCGCGCGAGGGGGAGGGCGGGCAGGGAAGAGGAGGGAAGTCCGCGAGGAGAAGGGGGCATGGCGACTCGCGCGCACGAGATGCAGCCGCCGCTGCTGCTGCTGCTGCTGCCACCGCTGCTGCTGCTGGTGATGCTGGAGCTGCTGCTTGCGCTGGTGAAGTGGCGGATGATAGTGAGGGGACGAGAGGAGGAGGAGAAGGGAAGGGCGGGGGGGAGGACGGGAAGCGAGGGGAGGAGGCGGGGAAGGAGAGGGCGGAATTAGAGGACGGGTGGTGGGCGGGGAAGAAAAGAGATGGAGGGGCGAGTAGATAGGGGGCGGAGGAGGGAGGGGAGGCAGGGCGGTAGACCAACGAGGCGGCGGCGATGGCTGCTGATGTGGCAGAGGCGAAGGGGATGAGGGAGAGTGGTGCAGTGCGGTGCAGTGAGGAGGTGGGAGAGAGCAGGCGCACAGGCAGCACCGCCCTCCTGGGCCTGCGTCTGCCGGGCCGGTTGCTGTGCTGCACGTGGTGCAAGCGGTGCTGCGCGCGCTGCCGCCTCCCCTCCATCTGCTCCCCATGCTGCTGATGCGCCGCCTGCTGCCTTGCCCCCTCCGTACGTCTCTCCTCGCCATCCCCCCTCCCGCCCTTCTCAACCCGCTCCTCGCCCTCCCCCCTGCTGCTCCCTACACATTTCTCCCCCGCCTCCTCCCTCTCCCCCTCCGCCATTATCACCATCCTCCCCCGCTCGTCCGCCCCCAGCGCCCACTCCCCTCCCCCGCCCTGCACTCCCCCCTGCGCCCACCGCCTCCGCTGCTCCACGGCGCACCATGTAACCACGGACTGGTTACCACACAGGGCGGGATCTGCAGGCACGAGGCAGAACAAGGCGGCAAGATGGGCGGCGATGAGCATTCGTGCGCCGCCTATGGCGGCATGCACGCGTGCTGCACTCACCCGCCACACGGCATTCTGCTTTTGAGTCGACTCAAAAGCGCATTCTATGCGCGCCACACCCAGCGCAGAGGGAGAGGAGCGGGCACCCATCGGTTGCCGCTCTTGCCCCCCTGGCGCAACACCGCACGGCACATGCCTCGGACTGCAGGGGCAGCGCGCGCACGTACCTCGTAATGCAGGCGCAGCGAGCGCGGAGGGCGCAAGGTGCGCGGGGCGTTGGGGGGGAATGGTGGTGGCGGAAGGGGGGATGAGCAGCGGCTGCTGGTGCTGCAGGTGGCGCCGCACCTTCCCCCAGTACCGCTGCGTCTTGCTGTAGCGCGTCCCACGGGGCCCGCCTGGGGAAAAAGGGGGCGGGAGAGGAGGGATGGAAGGGGTGGGCTGATGTAGGGGAGGCGCAAGACGAGGAGATGCGACACGAGGGTGGGGGAGGGAGGAACGGCAGAGGGAGCAGACACAGGGAGGCAGTCGAGAGGGGGGTGAGGAGATAGAGAGCGGGGGGAGAGGTGTGGGAGGTTGGGAGGGAGGGTGGAGGGGGAAAAGATAGAGCGGAGACTGACCGTTGTGCGCCTTGGCGAGGAGCTCCCAGTCGCGCGTGCGGATGGCGTGGGGGCAGTAGCGCATCCAGTACCACACCACCGTGTCCTCCGCGTGCGCTAGCTGCCTGCCGCCCCGCCGCCATGGACCCAACGGAATGGGCGAGGGGAAGGAAAGGAGTTGGCCGCGCAGCACGATATGCGACCATGCGGACCAATCAAATAGCTTTTAAACGCTAATGTGCGCTAACGACCATCACCTGCGCTGCGAGCCTGACCTGCATTGCGACCACGGCCCGGTGAGCGGGCCCCACGCGTCGCGGTGGTACTCCTCCGATATCTGCAGCGGCCCGATGCTTTGCCCGTTGTCGCCGTCGGGGCAATTCACCCTGGAAAACGTGGGCACGGAACGAGGAGTTCAGACGGGGTGGATCGGGAGCATTGTCGGCAGCATGAGAGGCTGAAGAGGGGTGTCATGCCCACGACGGGTGCACTGCTGCGGAAACGAGGGCTCACCGCGAGAAAAGCGGTGCCTTGAGAGGAAAGCATCGAGCAAATAGCCCGCGCACTGTAAGAAAGGGTGGTGCATCGCCCACCTGTTGCTCGACTCCACGAATCTCAGTGCGTTCAGCAGCGGCCGCAACTGCCGCTTCGTTTCCTCCACCACGTGGCGCGGCACCGGATCGCCGCTCTCCCGTCGTCGCGCATAGCCGCGAGACCCGCTGCGCAGAGCGGCGCCGCCGGGCACGCCGCTGTTCACGCCAATGCCCACGGAGGAGTCGGGGAAGGCCGTCTCCAACCACACGCCGTGCCGCGTCAGCACCACTTGCGGCCACGTCGCTCCCTCGCCGCCATCCGCACCGTCGCTGCTGCCGCTGCTCGCCATGGCGGGCTGGCAGAGGGGACTGCGTGCCGCGACGTCGAGTGTGCGTCAGGAACACATTCTCGCCTAGGATCTGATTGGATCAGCGAGCAAACCTAGAGAGTTTCGGTCATGAGAGCTATCCTGCAAGCTTCAGAGGTCAACTGCTGTCACATTTTAAAGTTTAATGCCCATTCGGCCAACGATGCATAGGAGAGGCGTCATGGCATTGCTCGTGAGTAAGCAGCCATTGATCAAGGCTCTTAGTACAGAAGGAAACAAACAGAGAGCAGGCGGGAAAATAGGGTCTGCGAGTAACGAAGTGTGGCCCAGCATGCAGGTGTGTGGTGCAATGCATGGAGAGAGGGCATGGCGCGAGAGTCGGGAGGGCGGGGGGAGTGCGCTAGAAGGAAATTGAGAGGGGCTGGCTGGGATGGGAGCCCAGGAGAAGAGGAGGCAGGAAGGGTGCCTCTCGTCTCGTGCTCCTGCTCTCCCCTGCTTTGCTTCTGTTCTGCCCGGCAAGCTGGGCAGGATTCACCTCACCTCCCCCCCCCCATTCACCCACTCTTCCCTCTCGCCTGCCCCCATCACTTTTCGCTTGGCTCGCCCCGCCCCATGTCCAGGTACAAACCGAACCGCCCCACATGCGAAGCCCTCAAGACCAACTTGGCCAGCTCCGATTGGTCGACTTCAAATCCGAGCGTCAACCGGCTACCTCGGATAATGTCAAGCTGAGGTTCAAATTGCCTTGAAGTTGGTGGTTTGTGGTTCGGTACCTTTTGGAACAATCCCCGAGAAACGTACGTGATTGTAGGGAGCTTCGGGGATGGCTCGGATTCGGTAAAAGTGCTTCGGAATCGTTTTTGGTGAAGGCGCGACGAGCATGAGGGCGCAACGCAACCAATCAAATTTGTCCCACACACCGAGCCAAGATCCTGGGCTTTGGCCAATATGTTTTCTTCGGCCAAATGTTCTCTTCCCGTGCCTTCAACATAAGAACCCTAATTCCTGATCTCCTTGAGCCGCAAATCTCAAATCCCACCACCCTATGATTGGCGCCCTCTACATCCGCACTCCATAATATATAGAATCTCGCAGGTCGAAAAGATCGGACAAGCTAGTAACTATTTCCTCGACATGGCAGCCGAGCCTAACGGGCGATACCTATTCGCGGGCGACGTGGAAGGTCGCTTGCATCTGCTCTTCAAACGAGCTGCCGCTGTGAGTCGCCTTGGCGGTGGTGCCACGCCGTGAATCGCGCGATCGCGAAGTTCGCTGTCGTCTCCGCGCAGACTTTTTTTACGAGCAACGCTCTCACCTTCCCACAGGCTCTTCGCTGTGTTCTCATCTTAGTTATCCACTTCGTCCTCTCCTTATTTCTAATCCCCTTCCTATCCTCCTCTCTCCGCGCCTCTTCCCTCTAATTTCCCCCGCCCTCCGCGCCGCCAATCGCAGGTAAACAAGTCTAATGGCCCCTTCGACTGTCTCTTCTGCGTCGGCGCCTTCTTCCCGCCCGCCGATCCCGCTGCCGCCGCCACTGGCGGAGCGGAAGGCGGAGCGGGCGGCCAATCAGAGCTGGAGGATTACATCGCAGGGCGCGCCAAGGCGCCGCTTCCCACGTTCCTGATTGGCGACATTGGATTCGGCGCGCAGCGGCTGCTGGAGATAGCTGAGAGGGGCAAAGGAGGGGCGGAGACGAGGGAAGTAGTGAAGGAGGGGGGGGAGAAAGGGGAGGAGAAAGGAGGGGTTGGGGGGGATGGAAGCAAAGCGGATGGTGACGCGGGGGAGGAAGAGGAGAGGAAGGGGGAGGCTGGGGCAGGCAGGCAAGGGGACGGGCCAGGGGGGGGCGAGAAAGAGGAGAACGAGGAGGCAGGGGAGGGGGAATGGCATTCGCACAGGCGCGTGAAGATCTGTGACAATATCGAATGGCTGCGAGGAGCAGGCATTGCTGACCTGTGCGGTGCGTGAGGGAACTTTCACGACAGACTCATGGCTGACGATGCATGATGCATGGTGTGAGCATTCTGGTGCGGGTCTAGAGGCCATGGCAAGTCAATCCTTTCTGTCTGCCTGCTGGAGTGAATCAGCCTCGCCTCATCAGCGCCGCGCCCTGCTTTCCAACCCGGCCCTCCCCTGCCCCACGCTGCAGGCCTCAAGGTGGCCTACCTGGGCGGCAGATACGATCCTGCCACGTACCTCTCAGGGCAGGCGGACGGAGAGGGAGAAGGGGTGGGGCGGCAGGAGAGGGGGGCGGTGGAGGCGCTGGTAGACGCGGGGGCGGACGTGGGGGCGGTAGATGTGCTGCTCACCAACGAGTGGCCCAAGGGGGTCGCCGCCCTCACACACCCCTCCCTGCTACCCTCGCCGCCGCCCCCTGCCACGGCTGCTTCGGAGCCGGCCAGCGTGGATTGGGCAGGTGTTGGGTCGCCCGTTGCTGCCACGCTGGCAAAGGAGCTGATGCCACGGTGAGGGGTGGGGGGGGAATAGTGGCGGGGTACCGAGGAGGGGCGGGGTTGGGGGAGGGCAAGGATGTGGGGGATGGGGAGAGGGATGAGGGAAGAGGGCATGAGGGCATGAGGGCATGAGGGCATGAGGGCATGAGGGACTTGTTGTGAGCCATTCTCACTCATGCACACACACACCCAATCATCATTGCCGCCCTTGCCTCCCCCCCCCCCCAATCACCCCTGCTTCCTCCCAGCTACCACGTAGCAGGTGGCGCTGGCGTCTTCTTTGCCCGCCCGCCCTACATCAACTCGTCCGCCACGTCAGCAAAAGACACCTCCACGTCAGCATCGGGCCCCGTGACGCGGTTCATTGGTCTAGCCCCCATGGGCAACAAGGCCAAGCAGAAGTCCCTTCACGCCCTCTCCCTGCGCCCCGCCTCCTCCCTCTCCCTCTCTGACCTCGCTGCCCGCCCCCCCGACGCCACCCCCTCCCCATTCCTCCCCCACCCCTCAACCGCCAAGAATCAAATCTGGACCGGCAGCCTCGCCGCCCCTGATGGTGCCGCCCGTGCGGCTGCTGCTGCCGCCCAGGCGAAGGCCGAGGAGACTGCTGCCAAGCGCACCTTCTGGGAAAGTTCCAAGGGGGGGAAGGGAGGGGGAGAGGGGGTGGCAAAGCCGGCATGGGCGTTGAAGGTGGAGGAAGAGGAGGCGAGGGGGCCGGGGGGGGCAGGCGAGGGCGAGCAGTACTGGCGGTACGCTGCAGGGGGGAAGCGAGCGCGGCGGGACAGGGGGGCGGGCGGAGGGGGAAGCGATGGGCCGCAGATGTGCTTTGAGCTGTCGGGCAAGGGGGTGTGCTCGAGGGGCGAGGCGTGTCGCTTCAAGCACACGCTGGAGGACGGGTCGCCGCTGCCACGCAACCTGTGCTTCGAGCACTTCAGCAAGGGCAGCTGCAGCAGAGGGGCGGACTGCCGCTTCAAACACTCGCTTGCAGGGGGGGAGGCAGGGGAGGGAGGGGGTGGAGGACAGGGAGGAGACAGAAATGCTGCTGCTGCTGCTGCTGGCAGCAGTGGGGGAGCACCTGATCTCCCCAAGGGCGTGTGCTTCGACTTTGTCCGCAAGGGCAGCTGCACTCGAGGCGACGCCTGCCGCTTCGCGCACTCCCTCCCCTCCACCTCGCCCGGCCTCCTCGGCACGCCGCCTCCCCTCACCCCCGCCTCCCTCGCTGCACTTCTCGCCCCAGCACCAGGAGGGGCAGCAGCAGCCCCAGCAGCAGCGCCCCCCGCCCCGGCGCCGTGTTGGTTCTGCCTGTCGTCGCCAAAGGTGGAGGCACACCTGGTGGTGTCGGTGGGCGACCACTGCTACGTCGCGCTGCCCAAGGGGCCGCTGGTGCCGGGCCACGTGCTCATCCTCCCTATAGAGCACTTCCCTAGCGTCATCTCGCTACCGTCCGACGCGCTGGCGGAGATGTGGCGCTACATGGGGGCGCTGAGGAAGTGCTTTGAGCAGCAGGGGCAGACGGTGGTGGCGTTTGAGCGCTTCCTGCAGCTCAGAGCCGCCACGCACGCCCATGTCAACGTGAGTAATGCGAGGCGGCGGGCTGAAAGGATGCATGGAGAAAGCTACCTGTCTCTCTGCTCTAGACTCATATCCTCACGCCATCCCCCTCTCCCCTTGTGTCCGTGTGTGTGCATGAGCGCGTGCAGGTGGTGCCCGTCCCCCAGGACAAGGCGGACCACGTGCTTCCTGCCTTCACTGCAGCGGCTGCCTCCCACGGCTTCCAGTTCGCTGCCGTGCCCAAACCACCTGGTAATTCACCTGAACTTGAAGCCACCTCGTAATTCACCTGAACCAAGTCCATCTGTTACCGTTTGGGTACCTATGTAAAACCGTAGGTGCAATGCCGCCTCTATGGTTCCTCCTTGACTCCGAATAAACTCCTCTCTCCTCCTCACCCCAACTCCTCACCCCAACTCCGCACCCCCCTCTCCCATTCCGTCCCCCCTCCCCTCTTCCCCGTCCACTCATCAGAGTCCCAGCGGATGGCGCCAGTGGACAAGACAAAGAAGCGGAGCCGCGTGGGGCAGTACTTGATTGGAAAGCTGCCTGTCTTTCTGTCTCTCTCCCTTTTCCCCCTACTTCCCGCTCCCCTCTCACTCCGTTCTCCCCCCCCCAGAGGCCCAGCAGATGGCGTTGATCGACGAGATCAAGAAGCAGAGCCGCGGGGGGCAGTACCTGAGCGCGGAGCTGCCGGACGAGTCCATGCTGGTGCACGCCATCGACCGGGGGGAGAAACTTCCCCTGCAGCTGGGGCGCGAGGTGAGGAGGGGGGGGGGGTGTGACTGTGTGAGGAGAGATGATGAGAGGTAAGGGTTTCAGTTTATGTTCATGTGAGTTAACTGCTGCTTCCCCCCTCACAGCTTCTTGCTACTCACATCACATGCACCAACGCACACTCAATCCCCCCTTCCTCCCCTCCCCCACTGCCATCATCAGGTGGTGGCGGGAGTGGTGGGTGTGCCTGAGAGGGCGGACTGGCGGGCGTGCAAGCAGACGGTGGAGGAGGAGACCGCCATGGCTGAAGCCTTCAAGAAGCAGTTCCAGCCGTTTGACATCATGGGGTAGACTGATGCTCATGGCATAATGGGGTAGCAGTATGCTCACGGTATATTATCTTATAGACCACTGTGTGTTGATGCCAGCTGCCTCTTTTGGTGTTTAATTGAGGTGATCAGGCATTTGAAACAAAGAGCGCTTTATGTGCAGCAGCTTACCACAGTGTGCATAGGGCATGGAATGGGCGCTACAAGGTAGAAGCTATCGTTCATGTGCCGAAGACTTGGAGTGCCGCCAAGATGCCCACATCACTAGCAGCACTGCCATTTTCTACCGAGAGCACATCATGGTCCACATGCATCTACAAGGTATAGGCGCAACGGTGGAGCCTAGAAGTTGTCCTTCATGCGTCTCAGCGCAGCGAAGACGTCCACATCATTGGCCGCGCTGCCCACTCCCAGCGCACCTCGGATCTCCGCGCTGGACGGGCGCAGGAAGGGGTTGGTGGCCGCCTCCACACCCATGGTGGTGGGGATCTGGGGGGGATGCATGGGGGGGGGGGTGCATGGGGGGGGATGCATAGGGGGGATGCATGGGAGGGGATGCGTGGGGGATGCATGGGGGCGGGTGCATAGGGGGGGATGCATGGGGGGGGATGCATGGGGGGGATGCAATGGGGGGGATGCATAGGGGGAGATGCATGGGGTGGATGCATGGGGGGGATGCATGGGGGGGATGCATGGGGGGGATGCAATGGGGGGGATGCATCGGGGGAGATGCATGGGGTGGATGCATGGGGGGATGCATAGGGGGGGATGCATGGGGGGGGATGCATGGGGGGGATGCATAGGGGGGGATGCATGGGGGGGGATGCATGGGGGGGATGCATAGGGGGGGATGCATAGGGGGAGATGCATGGGAGGGATGCATGGGGGGGATGTATGGGGGGGATGCATGCGCAGCGGATGCGTGCATGGGGGAGATGCATGCATCGCGTGATGGTGGGTGCTCCACCCATCATGCTCCATCCATCATGCTCCACCCATCATGCTCCACCCATCATGCTCCATGCATCCATGCATCCATGCACCCATGCACCCATGCACCCATGCACCCATGCACCCATGCATCCATGCATCCATGCACCCATGCACCCATGCACCCATGCACCCATGCATCCATGCATCCACGCATCCCTGCACCCCTGCACCCCTGCACCCTTGCACACATGCACCCATGCACCCATGCACTCATGCACCCATGCACCCATGCACCCATGCCCCCATGCCCGCATGTCCCCATGCACCCATGCGCACCCATGCACCCATGCACCCATGCACCCATGCACCCGCGCACCCCTGCACCCCTGCACCCCTGCACCCGTGCACCCATGCACCCATGCACCCATGCATCCATGCATCCATGCATCTCTGCATCTCTGCATCCATGCATCCATGCATCCATGCATCCATGCCTCCACGCATCCTTGCATCCGTGCATCCACGAATCCACGCATCCATGCACCCTTGGACCCGCGCACCCGTGCACCCGCGCATCCATGCACCCATGCGCACCCATGCACCCATGCGCACCCATGCACCCATGCACCCATGCACCCATGCACCCCTGCACCCGTGCACCCATGCATCCATGCATCTCTGCATCTCTGCATCCATGCATCCATGCATCCATGCATCCATGCATCTCTGCATCCATGCATCCATGCATCCATGCATCCACGCATCCATGCACCCATGCACCCATGCATCCACGCATCCACGCATCCACGCATCCATGCATCCATGCACCCGTGCACCCGCTCACCCATGCACCCGCGCACCTGTGCACCCGCGCATCCATGCACCCATGCGCACCCATGCACCCATGCACCCCTGCACCCGTGCACCCGTGCACCCATGCATTGCATCCATGCATCCATGCATCTCTGCATCTCTGCATCTCTGCATCCATGCATCCATGCATCCACGCATCCACGCATCCATGCATCCATGCATCCACGCATCCATGCATCCATGCATCCATGCGTCCACGCATCCACGCATCCATGCATCCATGCATCCATGCATCCACGCATCCACACATCCATGCATCCATGCATCCATGCATCCACGCATCCACACATCCATGCATCCACGCATCCATGCATCCATGCATCCACGCATCCACGCATCCATGCATCCATGCATCCACGCATCCACGCATCCATGCATCCATGCATCCACGCATCCATGCATCCATGCGTCCACGCATCCACGCATCCATGCATCCATGCATCCACGCATCCATGCATCCACGCATCCACGCATCCATGCATCCATGCATCCACGCATGGCAGGGCGGCTCACAGTGGGCAGGGCTTGCGATCGCAAGCGGGTGACCCCTTGGGTCCTCTGCTGGAGGGCCACATTGCTGGGCTCCACTGCCATGGCGAACCGCGCATTGGCCTGGCGGCGGGCACAACCCACCCTCACAAACACACTCGTGTGCATGCATATGCCACACACCCACCCAACGACGCACGCACGCATGCACACACTCACTCACTCACACACACACGCAAGCACACCCACCCACCGGGCATGAAGCAGGAGGGTTGTGCGGCGATACATAGGTGTGGGGTGGAAGAGATGCAGAGAGGTGGTGCTTGAAAAGAGAGACCAGAAGAGCTAGGCAGAGCTGGACCAGCATCACTTAGGCCCCACGCACACCGCCCTGCACTCGTGCCCTCACCTGCGTGTACTCGTGGCCGCAATAGACCCTTGTGTCGGGCGGCAGTGCGGCGAGGCGCGAGAGGGACGCCCACATCTGCGCGGGGGAGCCCTCGAAGAGGCGGCCACAGCCCAGGGAGAAGAGCGTGTCGCCCGTGAAGAGCGCCGCCAGGGACGGGAAGTACAGCGCGCAGTGGCCTGGTGGGGGAGGAGGGGGGGTTGAGAGAGCAGCGCAAGAGGGAGGGAGAGGGTATGGAGGAGGGGTGGGATGGCAGGGGAGGTTGAATGCCAGAGCAGTGCTAAGCAGGGGAGATGAGGAGCGCCTGAGGCCACTGCATTCCTCCCCCCCTTTCACCCACCTTCTTTCTCTCGCCCTGGCCCCTCTCTCTCCTCCTCTCACCCCACTCCTACCCTCTCCCCCAGCCGGCAGTGGCAGCACCTCTTGTGTGGCCGGGTGTGTGCAGCACGTGCATCTCCAGCCCCTCTATCTGCCACGTGTCACCATCTGATAGCGCCACGTCAATGGCTGGAATGCGGTCCCTGTCTGCAGCCGGGCCAACGACCTGCAGCAAGAGGGTGCGATGGTGGGTGAGGGGGTGCGATGGTGGGTGAGGGGGTGCGATGGTGGGTGAGGGGTGTCATCGGAGAACCCGAGAGAACGGCGTCAGTGGAGCTGGGGGCAGCAGCCGAGCGTCAGCCGCGTCGGACTCTCTAACAGCCGGATTCAGCCCCACAGAGCGCGCACCCACCGTGGCTCCGAATCTGTCCTTTAGCTCCAAATTGCCGCCCGTGTGGTCCCAGTGGTGGTGCGTGCACAGCACCGCCGCCAGTTTGCCGCCCGTCTGCCCCTCACCCCCCTCTAGCCGCGCCGCCACGGGCGCGGCTTCCGAGGGGTCAACAACGAGCGCGGTGCCTGTGGCGACATTACGGATGAGGTAGGCGTAGTTATCTGTGAGGCACGGCACCAGCTCCACGGACCATGCGCTGCTGCCACCCCCGTGCGACACTCCCGCGCCAACCTCCCCTGGTGCTGCCGACGCGTCCGCGCGACCAGCGGATCGCAGCCCCCTGATTCCGCCTGATTGCCTCCGCGCCCCGCGGAGATTGTTCTGCGCTGACGTGGCAGTTTTGAGCGGGTTCCATATGCAAGGTTGTGAGCTAGTGGACGAGGCACGGTGGGCGAGCGCCGCGTGAACGCTGACCGCCAGCGACGACGCGCTGCGCGGAGCCGCCGCAACGCTCGAGCAGAATGTGCGACTCGCCCTGACACCGGCAGAGCTGGAGGTTTCTGTGAAATCCGCCGCTTCCCGGGGCGCAGCGACGGGCGGAACGGCGCGCGGGAGGGTGCACAGGGAGGACGCCCTAAAGGCGGGGGCGAAGGGCGCTCTAAGGGCGGGGCGAAACGACATGGCGGCGCTGCGAGGGGGGGGCGAGTGAGGGAAACGGGGGAGGAGGAATGTGAAGGGGCAGCCACGGGGTGACCTTTTTGCGAATGCAATGCGCGCCTGTTTCGTACCTCATTTAGCGGAACTCGTTTTCATTGACGTAGTGATGTGATTGTTTAGAGATTTACATAGAAGGATCAAAACCTCTCAGATTCACTATCACTTTCAATTCAAGGGTCTTTCCAAGAATATGCTCAGCATCAAAACCTATTTCATAAAACAAAAACTATGCGCTTATTGATTGTGAGCTCCTCGGTTGGAGCAACAACGGACCTAATATACAGACTAAATTCAATCGGACCATCTCAAAATTGCCGCGCCTCCTCCAGCAGCGGCTTCACTCATCATCAGCAGCAGTGGTGGAAGCAGCGGCCAAGGGCTGTGTGCCAAGCTTCTGGGTGCCGGTGCGCTTGCCGGCGCTCGATGGCGAGTATGTCGGCACCGAGAACCAGCTGGTGGGTGGGCCGTCGTACGAGTCGATGGCCAGCTGGCTCGCCGCCCACCCCGCCCGGCCCTCCACGCCGTCCCGCACCACCCACACGTTGCGGTAGCCTAGCGACGCCAGCGACCGCGCCACCTGCTTTGAAATCTCGTTGTCACTGCAGGAAGGAAGGGGAAGGGTTTTGGTGTGCGGAGGAAGGGGGGGAGGGGGGGAGGGGGGGGTGTTGAGGGGATGCAAAGATCAGCAAAGGGTGGTAAAAAAACTGAGTTGGGAGCGCAGCATGCTTTTCAAACAGAAAAAACGCTGGCATGGGAGGTGGTGAGGGGAGGGCGGCACGGACTTGTCGATGACGACGAGCTTGGCGCGGCGGGCGATTCTCTTGAGCGCCGCCACCTTGATGGCTGTGAGCTCCGCCTCCGTGTCCACTGGGCTCTTCAGCTGGTCGCGCAGCTCCACTGGCACCTCCTCCACCCTGACACGCGCGCAACGGGGGAGTGGGGGTGGGGGGGTGGGAGGGGGGGGTCACATGGGGAGGGGAAGTGTGAGGGAATGAGGTGGCGGGGCCATGGTGGTGGAGTGGTGCATGAACTGCCAACATTTGCAACTCGCAATGCAGCCCAACAGGCCATTCCTCTGGTGCGAGTGATCGTGGACGGGATGAGTGCCATGGAAGTAAGGCGTTGGCAGGGGGGATGCAACGGGGGTTGAGCAATGAGGGGAGGACGGAATGGTACACTGCAGTTTGCCTTGAGAGCGGGGAGTGCGACTCACGGGACGTAGATGATTTTGCGGGAGAGCCCCCGGGGCAGCGAGGGCACACCGGAGGAGAGCTTCTGGTCCTCTGTGCGCACGTCCACCAGCACGCTCTCCTCGCGCTCCAACACGTCCAGCGCCTGCGCCGCCGTCAGGTCGCCTGGGGGGGCCATGGGGGGTTGGCGGGGGAGCACGGGGCAGTCAGGGGGACAGCAGCACGCTCTGCCTGCGCCCCAAGATGGTCAGCGCCTGCGCCGCCGCCAGGACGTCCGATGGGACAGCCGGGGCGTTAAAGAGGAAGGGGGGAGGCGGGGGCGGAGGGAGGGGCGTTGGGGGGACACCAGGGGATATTGAATGCGAGGGCGGGTGAGAATGAGAATGGGCGAGAGAGGGGGCGACGGAGAGTGATTTGGACAAGTGTAAAAGCGAGGAGGAAAGGGCCTGCGTGTGAGAGCGATGGGCAGGGGGCGCACCAGCGTAGCCACGGAAGGAGTAGGCGATGCTGCGGCCGATGGACGGCAGCAGCAGGTACAGCCCGAAGAGCCCGCCCGCGGCGATGGCGAGCGCCGTGGGGTCGGACGAGCTGATCAGGTCCACCGTCGACGTCGCATACGGCGTCACCGCCGTGATCGCCCGCCCCGTAGTGTCGCTCACTTCGTCCGCCACGCTCGCCGCCGTCTGCGCGCGCACGCGGACCGGGGGGGGAAAGGCCGGCGGGAGGTGGGGGAGGGGGAGTGGGGAGGGGGTTGTTGGTGGGGAAGACGGGGGGAGGCAGAAGGGGCGATGGGAGACGATCTTGGCTGCGCGTATCGTCAACCATGCACGCACAACCCTTCACGCGGGGCATAATAAGGCACGAGGTGCTTCTAGTGTGGCCACGAGTTTCAACTGCAGAAGCATTGACTACAATGCGGCTTCACTCAGCACCCGTGGTATCCGCCATTGCCCTAAATACGCTTTGTTTCTTCCCAAGGTTCTTTTTGTTGTTGCCCCGCCACCCATCGCTGCTGGTCCGTGCTACCTCAACGCGTTATCCAGCATTATGATCCCGGCTGTCCACACATGGTTGACTCGTGCCGCGTTGGTTCGTGCATGCGTCAACTCAAGGCTCAAGGCCCGTCATGTGCATCGCTCAGCGTACCTTGGCGGCTTCCACCACGGGCGCCACGTCGACGCCCGAGTCCTGCAGCGCCTTGCTCGCCTTCTCCGCCAGCTCCGACGCCACCGGCCCCGCCGCCTTTATCGCCTCCTGCGTCGCGTCGATCACCACCGGCGCCGCGGCTTCCACCAGAGGCTTGGTGACGCGGACCACCTGCTCTGCCACGTCGATGCTCGTGCTGTACACCTTGGTTGCCAGGTCAGCAGTCTGCCTCGCCAGGGTCTCCACCTGGCCGATTATGAGAAGAATAAGTGAGGAGTGAAATACGAGAGGGAAGCAAAATCAGAATAAGAAGGGGAAACAGGCATTGCAGCTTACCCATTAAAACAACAAGTTAACTTCATTTAAAACACCGGTCTGTAGCAGGTATTATCGGGGCGGCCTCAAGACATGAGAAACGAGGGCTGCGCTACATGCCTGAGCAAGTGTGTCCCGGACTTGGTCCGCGTCGACGGCCAGCGCGGCATTCGCGGCCGCCAGCTGCGCCGTGAGAGCCGCGGCAGCCGCCGTGCCAACCCTCTCCGCGTCTTTGTGCGCGCGCATGCTCACTCCCCTCCGCACCGCGCATGGCTGCAGCGCGACGCTCTTGCGCAACGACGCGCACTCCGCGGACTGGCTTCTGAGTCCGCCAGCGCAGGTAGCCGGCTGCAGGCTCGCCTTTGTAAGGCACGACGCGCTGGCCATGATTAATTAGAGGCTTACGGATCACTGCAGGTGTTGGCTGGTGGAGGGGAAGCTGAGCAATGCAATGCTGACATGCAACAGCAGCAGCAACAAATGCGTGCTGCTGGCAGCCTGAAATGCCCTTGAGATGGCCGAGAGGGTGATGGCATGGGAGGAAGGCGGCGGAAGGTGAGGGGAGGGGGGGCGGGTCTGGCCTGAAAAGCTGGCTGCGTGCATTCCGGTGCGCCCTGCTGTGAACCAGCAGCTGGTGGTGGGTGGGAGCTGAGCAGAGGGGAGGAATGGGTCCCCCCGGGGAAATGAACCAGAATGGATTTGTGGCGGGAAATGTCCCGCACGGACGAAAAGGATTGGCCGTGCTGAGCTGGACCAATTACGCACGATGAAATAAAGTTCCGAAGTCCAGCAGCTGAGGGACCGGAGGACGACGGATGGTGAAACACGTGTCGGCGGGTACAAAGAGAGGGCAGCTGGAGATTGAGTGGGCTCTGTAACGATGTCGCTAAATAACATCATTTGAGCTCTATGTATGCTCACTCCTCCATGCTTCATAAGATAGTAGTTTCTCCAAAATATATTGCCAATTTATTTCAAACATCCGAGCTGGATAAACCGATTTTACTCAGCAGAAGGATTGCACACTAAACCTTACAAACCTATGCCTATTCACATCCGCCTTATAAACCTTCAAAAAGGTGAAGGTGGTCATCAAACGTCTCTCCCTTACGAATCTTCTCCAGCTTTCCCTCCTCGGTGACCTGTGTGGCACAACGACAGATACCGGTAGGTAAGTCACAAGTGGACGCCACCAAGCGAAAACACATGCACGATAAGATATATTCCTCACCCAGTATTCAGGAGGGCGCATCTTGAGGTTGTATGTGGAGGCCATGGCCATGCAATAAGCTCCAGCATCGTGCACCACAAGAGCACTCCCCTGTGAGCAGTACAGCACGAGACGCAAATGCATGAATACAGTGAGATCAGCTAGCATGTGTTCAATCAACCTATGTCAAACGCAGATCGCTCCACCGACTATTCCCTGTGTTGCTACTTCACCCATGCTCTCCATGCTGGCAGTAGCACCCCGCACTGACCTCTTGTGGCGTGGGCAGTGCGCGTGCCTTGCCGAGGAAGTCAGCAGACTCGCACACGGGCCCCACCACGTCAAAGCTGCGCTCCTCCGCTCCCACCGGCGCCGGCGCCACCAGCTCTATGTGCTGCTCCCAGGAGGGGGTGTGTGTGGGGAGGGGGGGGGGATTGGGGAGGGGGGGAGGATTGGGGAGGGGGGGTGAGGAGGAGCACGAGTGGAGAGAGCAGGGACGCAGGAAAGCAAATAGGGCGGAGTGAAAAGAAGGGGTTGGGCTGGCACTACTTGCAAGGAGAACCCATGGCGCAGACGCACTCACCTGGTAGGCGTCGTAGAGCGCGGGGCGGATGAGCTCAGACATGGAGCCGTTGACGACGAGGAAGTCCTTGTTGCCGTTGCTCTTCACGCCGATCACGCGGCACACAAACGCCGCCGTGTTGGCAATCAGCGACCGCCCCGGCTCTATGATCAGCGTCAGCCCGCGGTCCGTCACTATCTCCCGCACCTGCGGTTGAGCCGTTGGTGAGGGGGCGACGAGGGGAGCAGAGAGGAAGAGGATTGGACACGAGGGACATGGGCAGAAGAGGAAACGACAACGAGGAGGGAACGGGCAGAGAGGAATGCACTACCAGTGCCCCAAAACGTTGTCACTTGAGCACAGGAACCGGGCAGTGCACGCGGCAGTGAGGGAGGGCGACTCACGGTGTCGATGAGGTCGGTGGGCGAGGGCAGGGGCGCGTTGGAGCGCGAGTAGTCGATGCCGAGGCCGCCCCCGATGTTGAGGTACTGCACGGGGAAGCCCTGCGCGCGGATCTCGTCCAGATACCCCACCATGATGTTCGCCGCGTCGCGGAACACGTTCACCTGCCGGGTCGCCATGGGGGGGGGGGGGGGGGGGGGGGGGGGGGGGGGGTGGGGTTGGGGTTGGGCGGGGGCAGCATGGGAGGTGAGATTATGAAGGGTGGCGTTCGATAGTGTAGGGCACGTGAGGCGAGGAACGGAGCCCGCCTTGGCGCACACACACAGACGGGCGCCTGTTCTGTTCATTGCGTTGTGCTCAGCACACTGTACTGCGTAGTGCACATGGTTCTTATTGTGGGCTTCGAGCGCTGCAGTGTGCCCCCTACAACACCATGCAGGGCGCACCTTGGTAATCGTGGAGCCCAGGTGGCAGTGCGCGCCCACCAGGCGCAGCTGCCCCTCCCGCGCTCGGATCTGGTCTAAGAACCATCCCAGCCGCTCGTTGCGGATGCCGAACTTGCTGCTCTTGTTGCCCGTCGCCACGTACGCGTGCACCTGGGGGGGTGAAGGGACCGGAGGGGGGAAATGGGCAGGAAGGGAGGCAAGGGCGAGGGGGGGAGGTGTGAGGGGGTGGTGTGAGGTGAAGAGCCGCTGCTTCAGCACTTGCAGAGTCCGGTGGATGGGGACGATGCGTGCGACACTAACATCCCTCCCGTCCCTTTCTCTCCCCCCCCTCTCCCCCGTCTCTCCCTCCCTCTCTCCCCTCTTCCCCCCTCTCTCCCCGCGCACTCGCCTGCGGGTCGACGTCGGGGTTGATGCGCAGCAGCACGTTGACGACCTTGCCGGTGGTGATGGCGGCCCTGGTGACGTGCTCAAGGTCGAACTCGCTGTCGATGTTGATCAGACACCCGTGCTCCGCCGCCAGCTCCAGCTCGTGCTGCTGCTTGCCGTTGCCGTTGAGCACGCACCTGACGGACCAGCGCACGCACGCACGAACGCGCACACAAGGGGCGTGAGAGCAACAGTCTGGCTTCGAGGGCGGCCACGCGTGCTTGCGCGAGCGTGTCGAGGATTCAGGTGTCGTGCGTCTACGCATGGTAGTGTCAGAGCTGTAACGAGCGGCAGCTACGCGACTGCTGCTGCCACCGCTCAGTCCGCTCAGTCCACGGGTTTGCAGGTTACTTGCACGTGAGCGGCTCACCTGGAGGGGTCGAAGGCGGCTCACCTGGAGGGGTCGAAGCCGGCGAGCAGCGCGAGGCGGAGCTCGTTGCCGCTGACGAGCACGGCGCCGCTGCCCGCGGCGCACAGCGTCTGCAGCACCTTGAGGTTGTTGTTCGACTTCACCGCGTACCCGATGATCGACCCCGGCAGCCCCTTCAGCGCCTCCACATACGCGTTATAGTTGCGCAGGATCTGCGGACGGCTGTACAGGTAGAAGGGACGGAAGTTGTCCTCCTGCTGCCAGATCTCGTCTGCCACGTCTGCGACACGCAGGTTTTCGACGTAAAGGTAGCCATCTTCCGTCTGCGGGCGAGAGGGAGGAACGGGGAGAGGGGCGAGCGAGGTCAGGCGCGAACGAGCAGGGGATGAGAAGGCAAGAGAGGAGGATAGCTTCATGGCACGCACGCACGGCGGCGAGGTAGCGTGACGACAGAATGCACGCTGCGAATTTCTGAAGCGACGAGCTTGAGCAAGCTGCTGTTCAAGACTCGGTCTTTCGGGTGTGCGATCCACGGCCATCGCATCCCCACGTAACCCCGAATCCGGCGCTCCATCCATTCGACCCCCAGAGCCCTCAGCTGAACGGCAGCAACCCTCCCCAGCTGCTTACGTGGAATGCGCTGGGCGCGTTGCTCACTGCCGCATGCCCGCTAGCCACGGCGGACGGCACGAGCCGCTTCGATCTCAGATTCTCAGGCTTGACGGAGTCGCCGTTATGAGAAATGGACGCGCGCGGAGCGGAGGTGACAGAAGCGAGGGAGTGCTTCTTGAATGAAGCGACGCGAACAGACTGCTGGCTAATAGACAACTTGCTCGAGAGGCTCTCTCCGCCGATATTACCCACGGAGCCTCGTAAAAAGCTCGAAACTGGGCTGGAAACGGCCGACATGGCGGCCAGGCAGAAAAATAATCAGGTAAGTGAGTGTTGAAGGATCGAACTACGAAGTGACAGAGAGGAGAAATAGAGGCGATGGAGGCGGTGAGGTTGAGTTGGCTGGTTTGGAGGGGTGGCGGAGGTGGTGGCAGATCGCCATGGCAGCAGCAGAGCTGATTGGCTGCTGCCAGCGTGTTCCGCACTAACGATTTGAAGACGAATCTGCCTTGAGAATGCCGCGCGGAAACGAGCAGCAGGCGGAAAGGCCGCACCAATGGATGTATCGCGCGCGCCTGCCGCTGCGTCTGATAGGCCTTCTTGGCTCCCGTGGCACGCAGCATTTTTGCTGACGATGCGTGTGATCAAGCCAAACCCATCTTCGATACTGGCAGGCCGTTTATACTGGTGGCTCTCTAACCACACCTAGTAAATTCCGATGATTTCCACGCCATCCAACTAATCACGTGCCTCATTTGTTTCCCTCCCATTGTCCCTCCCTGAATGATAACATATAAGTATGCAGCAGCAGATTTTGCCCACATGATCAATTTTGAGTGTAGGACCAGCACCTTCAGCTCCTCCCCTTCTTATTCATTAAAACATATAGGGGTATGCCAAAACCGTCTGTTGCTGAGGGTAATGGCGACAGCTAGCATCAGTGTGATATGAGCACAACTAACAATGGCAAACCAGGGCGTGCATTCACGCGTATGAGGGAAAGAAGGGTTTTCCAACTAGAAGAGATCACACAGGAAGGTGGGATGTGAGGAGCTCAATCGTCCCCTGTGTAGAGTCGCGAGGGATTGATGAAGGCCGCGGCGGACTCCACGTCGCGGTCGGAGCCGCGCTTCACCCAGTGCGCGTACTTCTGCTGCATCTGCTCCGCCAGCCTCGCCGTCTTATCGCTCAGCACTCTGCCCGAATACTCCACACCACCTGCCATGGCTGCCGGCGCCGCCTCCGCCAGCTTCGCCGGAATCCACCGCCGAGGGGCTTCGCATGACCTTTCCGGCATCCGATGAGCCGCGCGAGATTCCACCCTCGGCCGCCGAGATTCGTCATATCTGCGGGATGAACCTCTAACGGGGGAGATTGATTCGTAGTCATCGCTATAGTCACCCGCGGTAGCGCAGCACTGCACGATGGCGGCGAGCAGCAGCACGACGAGCTGCGTCACGAAGAGCACCAGGTACAGCGCGCCCTCCGTGCTCACTAGCTGCCGCGCCTTGCCGCCCTCCACGGCCGGCTGTAGGTTGCCGACGATCACGTCGAGGCGCAGGAAGATGACCAGGAACGACGCCAGGAATCCCGCGAGGGAAACCAACAGGCAGAACACGTGGCAGTCGAAGAGGCATCCCGGCCGGGCCGCCGACACGACTCCTAACATACCGGACGCGATGGCAAGCGCGCCGAGCAGCATGAAGCCCCAGCCAGGAGGAAAGAGAGGCACGGGGCGTATTATAAGCATGATTATGATCGACGCGACGCCTCCAGCCAGCACGATGAGGTTCAGGAAACGCAGGAAATGAGTCGCCATGTCTACCACTGTCGACTGAACTGACGCGCGATACCTCGACATCGCTGCTTTCTAGCGCGGAGAACTCTAGTAGGGAATTAAGATTTAACTAAGAGGTCGACAAGAAATCGTACAGGGGGAAACAAGAATCAGGCGCAACACATCGTTTCAACTTTTGTTCTGCGAGACAAAGCTGGATGAAAGAGAGGCGAGATACTATGTCTAATGCGGAAACGAGAAAAGTGGGCTACCAATGAGAGCGAACCGAACTTCTGGTGCACTCTTGTCTACCCCGACCATGACTCACTACGCTGCAGCTGTAAAAGTGCTGCCACCTCGTCTGGCACGCACTTGCCAATATGCAGCCTACCATGAGGAGCTGGGCGCTCTTTGTTGCCTGCGAGGCTGCAAAACTGGTGCAATGCGATGTCTTGAAAAAGTTACCACTCACCCCGCCACACCTGCTCTCGCCTTGTGCGAAGTGCAACCAGCTTCGCGAAACCGTCGTGTGACTGGTCGTGACTGGTGACCCTGGGGAGCGAGGCGCGATAAATGGCGGCGTCGCGGGTTCGTTCGTACCCCCGTGGCTTTGGCGAGACCCAGCCCTTGCTTCTCTTGTATCGAAAAGCCCAACCCATGAAATACAGAGTGTCACCTAAGTCATGTAGCATTCAGAAAAGTATCGCCTATATTTGACAATCAAAATGCACCTAATTTTCGATCAAGGAAAGAACCAAATACTAAGGATGTTCTCTAGCACATGATTTGCCACATATAAACTAGGATATTTGGATGAATATTCCGTGCGTGAATTACCCATTTGTCTTATAAACTGCCATGAGTATATGTAAGGGCAAATTCCTACAAAGTAGGATCCGTATCAGTAACGCTGAAACCATTATTGATCGAGTGAATCGTCCTTCTACGCGGAGATCAGAAACAAGGGCAGCCACCTCAGCGTCGCACGCGGAACGCCGATTGGCTGCCCCAATAAGCCACGCTTGCCGCCTCGGAATAACGCATTGACTAGAATGGAGGGTACAGGGTGATTTTGTGCTAGTGAGTTGTACCCTCTAAGAGCCTGCACCTATCTAGTCTATAATAATATATGCATATATGTTTGACACACCCCCTAAACTAGACAAGGGGCAGTGGCTGACAAGAGACATGCACCTCATAATGACACTACTAGTCAAACCTTTGAGGCAAGGGTCAGAAGACCAGTCAAAAGAGTACAAACTATACAAGAGCCAAACCAGGGCAGCACTACTAGTCCGGCCGCTGGAACACAAGCCACAAGGCCAGTCAGGAGAATATATACAAGAGGAGTACACAATCAAGGTCCTAGCAAATAAAGAGCTACTAGAACTAGACCAAGCTGTACACAGTGCCGCTGATGATCTTTAAGCGCAAGCGTCTTAGTAAAGATATCAGTTGTGTTGGCACCGGAGGCCAAGTGAACTACGCGGACCTGGGGGCGCTGCTATAGCTCGACAAAGAGGAAGTTCCACAGCTGGATATGCTTCGCTCTGCCCTCCAATCAAGGCTCCTGACACAGGAAGATCATGGCCTTGTTGTCAGCGTACAGGACCGAGGCTGAGCTAGGCCGCTCACCTAAGTTTGTGAGCAAGATAGTCAGCCAGCGGAGCTCCTGTGCCGCCATGGCACCAGCAAATATCTCAGCCTAACAGCTAGAATTTGCAACAGACGACGAGCGGGTGGACCTCCACGAGATGGCGCCCGCACCAAGGTGAAAATAGTAGCCCTAGGAGGACCTGAGCGTCTTAGCTTCGCCCGCCCACGGAGCGTCTGTGTGTCCTGTAAGGAACACTGGCCTACGTGCTCCTAGCACTAGCCCCATGCCCGATGTACTTGCTAGAAAACGCAAAACCCTCTTAGCGGCCGACCACTGCTGTGGTCGGTATCTGCCTATCGCCACAAAGCGAGCCATGATGCTGAGAGGGTATGCGAGATTTGGACGAGTGCAAGTCATCGGGTACATGAGGCAACCCATAAGCTCTACTTATGGACCACTAGGCTCTATAGAATCCTTTGGGACTGGAGCTGAGAGCCTGTGATCTACTGGCAGAGGTTTGGGCTGTGCGGAGGAGAACTGAAGACCGAACCTCTGAAGGACCTGGCGCACCAAGTGTGACTGTGTGAGAGTCATGGTGTGCCCTGCTCTGTTCCTAGAGATCTGCAGGCCAAAGTAGCGGCGCAACTCTCCTAGGTCAGTGCAGGTGTGTCTTCTCAGCAGCTCGGCCTTTACAGAGGCCAGTGCATCTCTGTATGCAGTAGCGAAGACCAGGTCGTCTATGTAAACAAGGATGTAGAACGGGGTCTGGCCTGGACGAATGAAGAGCGAAGGGTCTGCAAACGACGGGAAAAACTGCATGTCAGCTAACGTAGCACACAGCGTGTCGTGCCACTCACGGGGCGCCTACCGCAGGCCATAAATCGGGCGCCGGAGAAGCCACTCGGTCCTGGGGGCGAAGGTGCCGGTGAAGCCTGGCGGACGGTGCAGGTAGACCTGCTCGTGCAGACTGCCCTAGAGAAACGCTATAGAGAAGTCGAGGGAGTGCAGCTCATAGTTACGCTGTGCTGCTACGTATAGCAGTGCCCGAAGAGTGGTCATCTTCGGGGTCGGGGCAAAGGTCAGAAAGAAGTCAACACCCTCGCGCGGACTGAAGCCTCTAGCAATGTAGCGCGCCTTGAACACCTGCAGCTCTCCAGGAGGGCGCTTCACTTTGAAGAGCCACCGGCCATCGACTACGTTCACCCCGGATGGGGGAGCTGCGTCGACGTAGGTGCCGGTGGATCTGTAAGATGCCCTTTCCGCATCCATGGCAGCTATCCACTGAGAGGTTCAGGGTCTCGAAGTCTCCTCAACGTAAGTGCGAGGGGTCGGGATGTCAAGGGCGTTTGGGTCAACCTCAGGGACTAACAGCATGGAGCAGAGATCGGGAGCGGCCTCAGACAGGAGCTGGTACTGCCTGTCCTCTAGGATGCACCCCCGACGGACGGAGGATGGGAAGGGTCATAGACCAAAGCTGTGGCGTAGTCAAGGTGGCGGGTAGAGGCAAAGTCAACGACGGCAGCGACAAGAGCGTCAAGACTGGAGACAGGAACTGACGGGTCAGTAACAAGAGAGGCGAGAACACGAGGAACAAGCGGACTAGCAGCACGGAGGAAGTCAGAGAGAGGAGGCGGAGCTACAACAAGCGGCGACTGAGGAGGCGACGGTAGAAGCGAAGCACGAGACGCGTGAGAGCGGAGCAGCATATGGTGAGAGCGCTGGACTGGAGAAACAGGACGAGCACGAGAGGCACAGTGAGACCACCAGAAGGAGGGGGGGGGTCGGGTCAGGAGACAACAGTGGAGAAACCGGAGGAGAACGAGGGGGGAAATAAGCCAGGGACGAGTCCAGAGGAGGAAACATAGGGCCGTAGATAGGCGGGGGAGGTTGCGGCGGGGGAGGTGCCGGCGGGCGGTCGGGGTAGGGAAGACCCAGGAGGCAAAGGGCGGACACTAGGAGCTGCTGCTGATGCTCCACATCGACGCTACAATCTCTAGCCGCACCACTGCTACCTCCGGGATGCTCCACGCCAGCACCCTTAGAACGAGAACCCTCTCCAGCACCTGTGCCACCCCTAAAACTGCCGGGACAAGTCACGACATTACCCCCAGGACTAGCACCCCCAGAATCAGCAACCCCAGAACAAGAACCCTCTCCAGCACCGGTGCCACCCCCAGGACCGCCTAGACAAGCCACGACCGTACCCCTAGGACTAGCACCCTCCTTAACGCCTGCACCCTCCGGAGCTCGCGGACCCCTACGGCGGCTGCAGCTGGGCGGCGACGACTACGGCGGTTGCTGTGGTGGCGGAGGAGGAGACACCGGGATGGAGACAGGTGGCAAAACCGGAGCCGCAGGGCCACCAGAGTCAGCCGACTCCTCTACCGGGACAACTGGCGGGAGGGGAGTGACATGAGACACACCAGATGGGGCAGGACGGGGAGGGAGAGGAGCAGGGGCTAGTGGGAGAGTGGGGACCGGAAACATGGGCGGAGTAACTGGGAGACCTCGGCGGGGAAAGAGGGTGTAGAAGGAAACATAATCGTCAAAAGTGACGTTACGAGAGTGAAAGAAACGGTGAGACGGCGGGTGGTAAACGTGCCACTTAGACGCGTCTTGCGGGAAGCCAAGGAAGACACAGGGGACAGTGCGGGCAGTGAGCTTGTCCGTGCCAGAGGCACGAATGTGAGCAAGGTAGCCCCAGACCTGGAACGAAGACGCGTTACCAGGGGACCCGGCCCAGAGGAGGGCCGGCAAAACCTGCGGCCGCTGGGAGTGTGGCCACAGGTTAAGCTCGTGAGCGGCGTAGCAAACAGCGAACGTCCACAAAAGTTGGGGTGCACCGGCACGGATCATGGAAGTACAAGTCACCTCCATGACCAAACCGATGCGTCGCTCAGCGACCCCATTCTACTGTACGGAGTCTGGCAGGGTGTACGATTGGGTGATGCCCTGCGCACAACAGAACTGGTCAAGCCAACCGGAGGCGAACTCGCCGCCACAGTCGGAGTGAAGACGCAGCACAAGGAGGCCGCGGTGGACTTGCGCCGCTACGACCCATGGGATAAGAGCATCAGGCACGTCAGCCTTTCGCTCCAGGGGAAACACCGTGGTGTAGTGCGTGTAGTTGTCGATGAGCACCAGAAAGTAGCGCTCTCGACGCGGTCTAGGGACGGGGGCTGGGCCCCAGACGTCCAGGTGCAGGGTCTGAAGGGGCGCAGTGGTGGGGGGCAACGAGGAGGAGTGAGGAGCACGGCGCAGCCGGCCCTTGACGCAAGGAGTGCACGGAGGTGTAGGCGAGGGAGGGAGGGCAGGGAGCGACGTAGGGAGACCTAAGACAAGACTGTCCTGGGACATGAGACATAGTCGTGAGCGGTGACCTAAGCGGTGGTGCCATAGCAGCGATGGATGGGTGAGCGACCAAGACGAGCAAGCCGTAGCGACCTGGGGGGATGCCCTCACCGGTGGGGACGTAGTGTCTAGCATGAACAGGCCAGACACCGGGTCTTGGGGGTATGTGGTGAGGGGGGCACCTGTGGCGGCCTTGGTACAGATTGTGTACCGCTCGTGACCATGAAACGTAGTGGTGATGCCAAGGTCGTGAAGATAGCCAAAACCAACTAGGTTCCTCGAGAACGAGGGGATGTGCAAGCCTGTAAGAG